TGTCTCATCCAAAATCACTTCCAAACAAGCCTAAAGACCCGTTATTTCAAAATGAAAGAGCACAAAAGAAAAAACAAAAAAAACAAAAAAAACAAAAAAAAAGGCTGTTTTGTGCCCATTATAACGATGCCGTTTGCTGTGTGACAAGAGAATGAAATGGGCCAAACATTGAAAGTGCGCCCAACCAAAATGATGACAAAACAAATGGGGCATTCCGAGAATTGAACTCGGGACCTCTCGCACCCTAAGCGAGAATCATACCACTAGACCAAATGCCCTTGTTGCTTTTTCACGCAAAGTATTACTATTATACCTTAAATTTAATTTAATGGTCGTCTAAACAATGGCATTTTAATTCTATTATCGAAGTAATATTCATTGGAGCGAGCGACCAAACAATAAAATAGTTTCATAATACGTGTGTTATGGGTTTATTTTTTATTTTGTTTTTAGTTTTGTAAATTTTGAATAATTTTTCATTAGCATTTAGGAGTGATCGCTAAAATTTAGGAAGTGGAGTTAGTTCTTCGGGGGTAATAGTTACTTACTAGGAAGTAGTGTATGCTCTGCAAACCTGAGTTAGTGGAGTCTTGTTGCAGTCCTATTTTTCAGATTATTAGTTGTAAATGTATTTAAGGAGAAAATTTTACCTATATATCGGGATATCATTATGGCGCTATTTCAAGCCAATCGTCCATTGTTATGTGTTTTAACTTTTCGACATGACAATGCGTAATAGGCTTGGGATACCACCATAGTGAGATCCCTGATACATGTAAGTTATTCTCCTCTTTAAGTCGATGTAGACTTGAATAAAGATAATAATTAGAATTGTTTAGTCTTTGGAGGTCAAGGATTACTCCATGAAAGCCCAATTCCTTAAATTCATTGTTTTTTCCTTAGACCTTGGATTGGACTAATTTAATTGTTTTTCCACTTTGACCTTGGAATGGAGTTGGGTTCCATCTTGACCTGGAGTTGCTTGACCTCGACCTCAGCTACACCAAACACAAAGATTACTACATAAAAGCCCAATTCCATAATTTCATTGTTTTTTCCCTAGTCTTCCCCTCTTGTCCATATAATCGTGAGACATTGGTTCTAGATTGAAAGAAGTTTGCGATGGCCATCACTCATAGGAACGTGAAAGAAAAGCCACAAGCCATGAAAACATGAGGAAAAACCAACGAAAACATCCAAAAAATCATCCATCATAAAATATATTCACGAATATATATATATACAACATTTCAACATTTGTTGGGTTAACTTTGTATTTTCCATATTTTATGTCTTCAAAATTTTAATTTTACCTAGTCTGTGAGATCGTACTAAAAAAATAATTTGCATACTAACTATTTTGAAGTGTCAATAATAATTTTTTTAAAATAATCAATCAAATATAAAGCGGTTTCATTTTTTTTCAAAAATATTTTTTTGTTTGTAAAACTCTGATAGCAGTTAAAGCTACAATTAACAATCAATTGTACAGTGGGAAGCCACCTATGACAAGACCAAAATATAAAATCCTCCAATTATTAGTCGTGACTCGTGCGTGACTGATAAAATATTTACATATGCTTGGATTGGAAGCATCCCCTCCACCCAAAACATAAATTTCTTCAGTTTGGCCAATTAATCCAAAAGGTCATATTCAATAATTAATATATGATAATACATCAAGGGAACTCCGAATCGAATTTGCCTTTCAAGAAGGCAACTTAATTGACTTGTTGAATTACAATGACAAAAATCTCTACTCTTTAATTAGACGAAGTCCCATCATAAACCCTAAACCCTAAATCTTATTTGTACTATATTTATTGATCATTTAATTGGAGATACCATTGCGGCGTTATTCCGAGCTAATTAATAATTGTCATGTATTTTAACTTTTTGACATGGCAATATGTGATAGGCTTGGAATTCCGCCACGGTGACATTCCCGACGTTACATGTAAGTTTTTCTCCTCTAATACAAATAGGCCCCATCGGTATTAAAGAGATGATCAGCAAGATGGTTAATAAATATGGTCCAAATGACAACACTCTTTGAACATTCCTAATAAGACATCTTGGTTCTTCAAATATGGTTTGAGTTTATTTCTATATAATAAGACATGTAGCTTTGTATCACATGAACTTTTCAAAATTTGAAAATATCCAAGCGAGACTTCTAAATGGTCTTCACAATCATCAAATTATAATAGCAAGGTTAAAAAATTAACTTTCAACAGCAGATAACAGGGACTTGCTTACACATATTAATAATATAATTAGCAATAAGTATATTTTTTATATTTGTCTAATTTTGTATGCATGCATTATTAGTACTAACTTCCCCAGTTAAACCCTTATGGAATTCTAGTTCAACATTGGATGGCCGGTTTTGTATGGTAGTCGAGGTCACGGTGTGCGTGCGTCACCAATCTTGTATAAATAATTATGATTAGGAACTTTTTGTGACACATAGATGTTATTAGAACAAATAAATAAATTATAGGGAAGAACATAACTTAACTTTAGTCAACTCACTTACCAGTAATACGTTTCGTCTTTCCATTTTTTCCAATAAACTTGGACCAAGAGCACGATTAGATTATATAATATTCAAATTGAAGAAAATAGATTTTGTATTACCGTCTCACAACTTCGAACTGGAAGGAATAATTCAATATTAGATGACTACATTTAGGGTAAAGATTGACAACATAACACCTACACAACATATAAGAAAGAAAGAAAAAATTGTTTTCATGTCATTTTTTATAATATAGTCGATCATGAACAGCTCAACTCTTTTATGGATGCCCTAATACTATTATTAATTATAAATTTATGATTTAATATAGGTATTGGTGTCTATTATCTATATGAAGATAGGAGAGTTGTAGATGCAAAATTGCTTGTATTTGACCGGAGTTCGGGCTAAAGGTCTTGAAATGTGGCATGTTCTGATCGGCCGGGAGTCTTAGTCTTTTGCGATCTTGACATTAAATATTTGACGTGACATTAATATTAAGAAGATCGCCGGTGATTAATTTACTAAACCATAACAATTTTTTATAAATTAAGTATGATATGAACTTGCCCTCAGAACTTATATATCTTTTAAATAATCACGATAAGTGCTTGCCCTTCAGACCAAAGATTAATCAGACGAGATGACTTCCACACTAAATAAGTCATTTGGGACGAAATCTTGTAGTAGCTTTTTCTAATGATGCACAATGTGTCATTGTCATTATCTATATTATTTTGTAATTAGGAATTACGATATCCTTTTCTGAACTAAATATTTATTCTCCTTGAAAAGCTGCACATTCGTTTGAGTTTAAAATTTAGTGTTGCAGTTGAAAAGTCATCTAAAGAAAATTCACACGAAATGAGACGGCGACGGAAAAGAATTAACAAAAGTGACAAATGCAGTGTATTCAAATGTAGTGAAGTTCAAACTCAGTTAAGTTTTTTCTATCTTGTTATACTCGGCAGACTTGGAATAAAAATGGCTTCAAATTAGGCGTCAATAAACATTTCTTTTGGTTGTTTTGGGTCTCCACATGCTCCCCTATTGCTCTTAAATTCCCTACCACTAGGCTAGGTTGATGTGTGCTAGCTGCTACTTGTCAAAGCTTTCCTTGGTATGTAGCTTTTTTTTTCCCATTAAACTATAACTTCTAGCTTTGCTTCTTCCACAATTATGTAATAAAAAATATAAAAAAAATTATACAATTATAAATTGCTCTAAATTAATATAATGTAAGAAAAGAGATATTTGAACTTGAGTGCAAAAAAAACGAACTCATTGCCCTAATCAACTAGCGTACATAACTCCCGTCTCCTTTTTGCACAATCATGTATAGTAGTTGAAAAGCATTAGTACATGTGGAAGAAATTAACATCCCAGCCACGACTAACGAGTGAGGAGGGGCTTCTAGAGGAGAGAGGAGAGTATCAATTAATGTGCTTTGTAAGTCTGCATGGAAGTTATAAAACGCAATGTAAAAGTCACCAAAAACGGAAAACAAAACAAAAGATGCAATGCAATGAGAATCACTTTCTCTTATATGGCAATATAAGAGAATCAGGCAGTTTCTTGTGTGTGGACCCAATTTAAATATGTTCATCAAGTTCAAACCCACAAAATTCAGACGAGAACTTATAGTTGTAGTCCTACGCATGCATTGTGACGTTATAACTTATAAGCACGAGAGCCCTTTTTCAATTGCATTCTCATCATTTCTTGCGACTAAGGTATTTGAAACCATTTACTCTATCCCATACTTAAAAATACTAATACAAGATGTCCATGTCTAGTAGAGAATAAAAACTTTAGACTAAGTTAAGCCTTTTTTACTGGACTAGACTTTATTGACGAATCAGAACAGACACGAAAATTGCAAAATGTGGTGCTTCTTCAAAAATAAGTTGGCATATGTGTCAATCAAAGAAATAGGGGTAGGGGAAGAGGGACATGTAAATTAATTGGGGATAGCAGATCCCGGCTCGAAATATATGGACCAATCATAACTTACTATTTCTCTTCTGATCCGATCATCATCTTAGTAGGTTGACTGCCCTGGTCAACAAAAGCGAATGCCTAAGCATTCATGCAGTGATAAAGAAGGTTGCCCAAAATAAATGGAACCACATCTGCTCTAACCACCCGCATTTGGACGTTTGCGCATCGCGAAGATATGGTTTTCAAATGGGACCAAAAAAACTTAAATATAAACCGTGTCAAACCATGTTTAATAGATACGACCTTCCACAGATGCAGGTTTTGCTTAGAGCCTTTGGACTGGAACGCCCAAAAAAAGTCACAACAGCACAGAAGATTTGAACGTTTCATCTTTCTTCTCTGATTGGTCCCCCTCCTTGGCTTTACTTCCAAGTATTTAAATTCAAGCACCGTTCTCCGTGGGTTCTTCAGCTCATCTCTTCTTTCATTAATTCCTTTCCACCATTGATGCTGACTCTTTTTTCCCTCAAGAACAAGTATGGCTTCTGGAGGATCAGCAGCAGCATCCAGCCGCTCACTTCAAAACACACCCACTTGGGCTTTGGCAACAGTTTGCCTTGTCTTCATTTTTCTCTCTATCTTTATAGAGCACTTGATCGATCTCCTTAGCCAAGTATGTATCTAATGACCCTTCGTAAGAAATTACCATCATATTTGTTTTTGAAATTGATTTCACTAATTACACCCTCCATTTTTTCTTATTTTTGTTCATGTATTTGATGATGCAGTGGCTCAAAAAACGTAAAAAGAATGCCTTATTCGAGGCCGTAGAGAAGCTCAAATCAGGTAAGTAAAACGATCGAACCCATGACCTTTCCTAATTCCGACCAATTTTCCCGAATGCCTCATCACTTGGACAATTTTGCAGAATGTATGTTCTAATTGATAAAATTTGCTGAATTAAATTTTTTTTTTGGTTGGGTGCATGCAGTGCTTATGCTGCTGGGTTTCATGTCCCTAATTCTGACAGTGTCACAAAGGTCCATATCCAAAATATGCATACCCACAAAGATTGCATATACCATGCTTCCCTGCAGAAAAAGTGCACCCACTAAAACCACCAAAGCACTTGGTTTTGAGTCCGTTCAATTCATGGAAAGAAGACTAGCAGCAACTTCTTCTGAGGATCACTGTGAATCCCAGGTAGATACATAAATTGTTTTAATTATTTTGTCACTTTAATTTCATTTATTTTTATTTTTTTGTTTTATTAAAATGGAATTGAATTTGCAGGGGAAAACCTCGTTTATATCGCAAGGGGGGCTCAACCAGCTTAACAATTTCATCTTTGTGTTAGCAGTTATGCAGATTGTGTATAGCGTTCTCACCATGGCTTTAGGAAGGGCCAAGGTATCCTCTCTTTTTTTTCTTTTTTTTGGCTATAATATATTTTGCGATTGGACAAAGTCTGATGGCTCTCACCCCACTAAACAATACAAAATTATAACTTGGATGTATGCATTATGTTTATGTAACACGACTTTCTAGAGTTGTCTTTTTCTTGTCTGCTCAAAAGCTCGTAGTGGGCACGGTAGACGTTCGTCAAAGATTTATTCATAGGCAACTTAAAAATGTCTTTGGAACTGGGTGGGGTGTCCAGAGAAAAAAAAAAGTTGGGTGTGCTTAGAATCACCCAAAACAAATCTGCATAGGTCTCAGCCATACAGGTCATAAGCCCACCCCAGTGTAATTTACTAACTGCGAGTCATTATTTGATCTAACGATTAAGAGATAGGACATCATCTAATAAGTCCCGCACTATAGAATCCTACTACTAACTACACCCCTATCAACAACCTCACCGACCAAGTTTCAGCTAATGCAATATTGAAACTCCTAGAAACCGACTCATTGTACCATTTTAGAGTGCATTCCAACCTGAAGCATTTAACAGTGCTTTTGTTTACATTGAAAATGTTGCACTTGGGTTTGTGAAGTCAATTTATGCCACCCCATTGAAAACTTAGGTTAGTAGGTAACAGCCCAAAAAGATGCATTAAGATTCGGATCACACACCGTTAGTCCAAGTGTCATTCCAAAATAGTCAAAGAAAAATAGTATGTTAAAATTTTAATTATTGCATGTAGGCTATTGGTTTGGTGTTACATATTATTTTATTACATGGTCATAAAATAATATGTGGTGGTCACCTGTGAGTTACACGAGTTAAGAGCCACTTAATTTTTTAATTACAAATTGTTCATCCAGATAAAAATTACATTTAAGGGTGCCTTTTAACTCAAATGGTAGAGCACGTCTATGCGTTAAATAATTTTTTTATATATTTTTTTTTGCGACTTATTGACAGATGAGGCGTTGGGAAGCATGGGAAAAAGAAACTCAGACAGTGGAATATCAAGTCGCAAATGGTAATTTAAGATAATAGAAAATGAGATTCGAATTTGGAACTTCGTCTAACAATAATGACATATGATTTAATTGCAACAAACAAATAGTTTTTTCGCGGGTATTTATATTTCAATATAATACAGCAACTAATTCAACCTTCTCTCTCTCTTTTTTTTTTTTTTTTTTTTTTTTTTATAGATCCTAATCGTTTTAGGTTTACAAGGCAGACCACATTTGGTCGTAGACATATGACTTCTTGTACAGGAACAGGGACATCTTTTCAAATGTGGATTGTGAGTTTTTTTTTTTTTTTTTTTTAAAATTATTTTTATTAACATATATGCAGCTCTCATGAATCATGATGAGTTTTTATTATAATTAATTAATTAGTTGTTAATTATATACATGCAGAGGTGCTTCTTCCGGCAATTCTTCCATTCAGTGGAAAAAGTTGATTATCTCACTTTACGCCACGGTTTCGTTTCAGTGAGTATAAATAACAATTTATTTATACACAAATTAAAATATCTCATTTTTATTTTTCTTTATACTTGTGATCATTGTTGATAACAAAATTTTCAGACTCATTTGTCCACAAACAAAAATGCATTCGATTTCCAAAACTACATTCAACGTTCGCTGGAGGACGATTTCAGAGCTGTTGTTGGCATCAGGTTGGCAATTCTATCCATAACCCTAAAATTATTTCTAACACAAATTTCTGATCACATCGTTCACTTAAATATACGAATCCTACATTGCGTGAGATGCGTAGTCACAATGTGATAAATTATAAATGTGACTGAGTTGTATATAAATCCACCGTATTACTAAATACATCTCTCCTAAAGAATAGATTCAACTTCTACAATCCATTCCTATAAATTTGCATCTCAGTAATGCGATCGGTAATTAAATTAAAATGATACATGTACTCTTACTAGAATTATATATATTTGTATTGTTGTGCCCATATGAACCAATCTTACTCCTTTTATAACAACTTAATTACCATATTATTAAATTAATTCATGTTGGCTAATTGTGTGCGTACATCATTTGACAGCCCATTCATGTGGTTTATAGTCGTCATCTTCATCTTTCTGGACGTGCATGGTAAGTAATTAAGCACCATCCAAGTCATTTACTTCTTTAATTAATAAAAATAACTGAATTAATGGTATTAACATTATGAACTTAATTAATTAAACAGGTTGGCAGGTGTATCTCTGGGTTTCGTTCTTGCCACTAATTGTATGTACCAAGTCTAAAGCTTAATTAAACTCTCTCTCGCTCATCATGTTCTTACTTAAGTACTAATTGTTCTCTTAATTAGTAGCTAATTATGTATTATGTGTTGGTAGATAGTGCTGGTTCTTGGAACCAAACTTGAAGTAGTAGTTGCACAAATGGCTCATCAACTTCATGATCAGCATAACGTGATAAAAGGAACTCCTTTGGTGCAACCAAAGGACAGTCATTTCTGGTTCAGTCAACCACAGTTCGTCTTGACCCTTGTACATCTCACTTTGTTTATGGTATAATTGATCTTCTTCGTGATTAACTCCATAACTAATGCTTGATTACCCTAAGTTAATTCTTATGATCCGATCATCCAACTGATTTGCTTTCATCTTTTCCAGAACGCATTTGAACTTGCTTTCTTCATTTGGGTCACGGTGCGTTGCTATTTCAACTTGAACTAATCATGTTCGTTTTATTTAGTATTTTAACATGTCCCTTTACAAACATTATGTTATCATATTGTTAATTTGAACCAAACTATTAATCATGTGAATTTTTATATGAATTTGTGTTCAGATTAACAATGTAACAACATAACATGTCAGACTGTTTAGTAAAAGAACATTATTCGTGTTTAGTTCACTTAAAACATTTTCTTTACCTCTCTCTTTTCTTATTAACTTCAGCTACAATTTGGGATACACTCTTGCTACCATGAACACATACAGATTATCATTATACGGGTGGTCTTAGCGTAAGTGTCATGCTCATCTTCCACGGTGTGTTTTAATTACTCTTCATTTACATATGTTGCCGCTACACAGATTTGGTAAAATTTTAAATCAAGCTGCCTAATTAATTGTTGACGAATTTCTGCAGGGTCACTGTTCAAGTGATGTGCAGTTACATTACTCTTCCACTCTATGCCCTAGTGACTCAGGTATGCATTCCTACAGACATGAACATATAGGTTTTTTCTCTTGTCGGATAATATGTTACATTGTGTTCCCAAAGGATTAATTTGAGCCTCACCAATGGTTAAATTAATAGTTTTGATAACATAACATGTCAAATTATCTGATAAGAAAACGTTCTTATTTCCTGTAGATGGGATCAAATTTCAAGAGTGCAGCAGTGCTTGAAGAGCAAACAACAAATGTTATGAAGCAGTGGCACGCTGAAGTGAAGAAAAAGAGGAAAAAGAAACAAGACTCTTCACAATCTGGCCATGACGAAGATTCTACTACTGTAGGAAGCAGTAGGGGAATCACGAACTCCTTGGACTTCTCTTCTCATCGCCGGCAGCCAACTTTCGCAGAAATCACCCAAAATTTTCCTGGAAACACTGAGATTGTTGATGACAACCAAGAAATTGTGGAAGATCATCAACAAAGAGTAGGGCAAAATGAAATTGAACTAGCTAGTAATGTTTCATCTAGTGAGGTACATATAGAAATGCCGGAAGTGACCACAACACAAACTTGAACAAAAACTCTTTTTTTGTTGACAAGATACCTATATAAGCAAAACAAAAGCACATCAAAGCAAGTATGATAAATAGGATTATTCCATTAGAGGATTGTGATTTCTCAAATCAATTTGACCATACTAGTGTTTTTTTTTTTCCTCCATATTTCGAGTACTTTATTATCTACATGTATATATTTTTTGTTACATTGAGAGGAAAGAAACCTTGGGGTTTCAATCTTGGGTGCCAAGTAAGGGGGGAAGGGGGAGGGCCACAACAATTGTGGTAACCCCCGTTCGACTTATCCATGTGTATCTTTTAATTGATGGCCATTCGGTAACTTTTATAAAATAAAATAAAATATCTTTAAAAAAGAAGAAAAACTTTACTGCAGAAAAGAATTGTAATTTTTATCCTGATTCAATGAAAAGAAATACATGAGCAACTGAGCATGTTGATGGGCGGGGCATCTTCCCACCAAATCGAACCAAGAAGAAGCCGTAGAGTTAATTTTAGGGATTTTAGCTCATAAGACTGGGTGAGCTTCAAATTTAAGATCGCTGGTCTGCAAGTCACGGTCATCTTTTACCATACTAGATGATGTCATGTTGATAATCAATTGATACAGTTTAAAAAAGGTGTTTGATATTTATATATTAAAAAAGAAATAGTAAGTAAATAAGATTAAAAATCTTTACATTATACATAATTAATGACTTTGAAAAAGTGACCAAGGCAAGAAGCATCAATCTCAAAAAAGAAAGCTGCTAGAAGAATCAACATGCAACACAGTACAAGATGTGAGACAAGAGCAGTGCCCATTTGCCCATATGCCCATTTGCAGACAATAAATGGAGAGGCCCACAGGCCCAAAGGCAGATCGAAAGCACCAACATTTTGGTGTGAAAATCAATCAATCAATCAATCAATCAATCAAATTTGGTGCGACAAAACATAGTTAAAGTTGGAGACCCACTTGTGAAGAAATTATTAAAAACATGTTGGAGCTTAGTTTTCAGCCTTATTTGACTCAGATTGTTCATGTTGGGGCACCCATTGCTGCGACAAACTTACCTTAAGCTTTGGTGGTCAGAAAGTTTAAGAAAATTGCAAGAGATAGCTTTTAAGTAATTGTCTCTCTTTTTTGTGTGTTTATTTTTATCAACCAATATTTTAAAAAGTTAAAAATAATTTAATTACTCTGCAGTCATACTTCTATTTCATTGCCAGTCATGAAGTTGAATGTGACTCCAAATTCAGACATTGGAAAAACCTTGGTGTAAAGATGGAGATGGACAGTTGGGGAAGAGATTAGACAAGTGGGGGTTTTCTTTTCTCCCCATATAATACTTCTTTTAATAATTTTCGCTACAATTTCAAGTTTCTTGACAAATTAAAGTAATTTTAAAACTTAGAGACAGATGATTAGATTTTTTAATGGTAGAGAGTATGACGACAAGAATTATAGTGTAATCTAAGTCTCTCATAAGAGTCAATTGAGACAATCGCTTCGGATGCTTAACTAGACTAAATAGAGCCTCTAATTCATATCAAACTCTATATATTGCCCCAAGTTTTAAACTAAACCCATCATCCAAATACTCCATAACTCTCTATTTTATAAAACTTCCAAATAATTCCATTTTATTTATGTGAATATGCATAAGTCCATTTTATTTTTTATCTATAAGACATCGACATCGATATTTTATTCATTAAAAGATCATTGGGAATTTACATCTTAAAAAAGATATCTTGTGTTGTGTGGGGGGGGGGGGGGGGGGGGGGGGACTATATTCCCAAAAAGGTGATCAACTCTGAAATAACCAAACTTTTGCTCTAAAGATGGGAATAAGTATTCTAATGACTTGAGCTAGAAGTCTTCTACGAACATAATTTATCTATAAGCTTAGGATGTCTGACATCGAACGAGAACATGCCATGTGATGAAGTACTTTTTGGATTTTCTTTAAAGCAGTTAATCTTCAATTCTAAATGAGATTTGTTGTTTCTACATATATATATTCATGAATCATGACTCAGTCTCCCTCTCCTGCCCACACATCTCTCAAATCATGGTCGCATAAGAATGGGCTCATTGGTTCCTACATGTCTGATTAATTCCAAAACACACATATATATCCAAGCATAAATAATATTTATTTAGGGTTAATTTGTTAAGTACTATGTAAGGGAATGGAAACAAATTCTTTATCATACCCTATATATGCTGGAGCATCGTACCAAAATGTGGCTTTTGGTTGCATGCAGCAGACCAGACCAGCCAGACCAAATTGGCCCCTTGATTCAACCTTATTTAAACTCTTCCTCTAAAAATTATAAAAGGGATTAGCTGCCAACAGGCTGTCCTCTCTCATTTACTCCTTTTTTGGTTCAATATCAAACTCTATACCATTTGCTGCTTGCCTGTTAGTTACTGATACATATGACAATTTTTTGAAGAAAAAAGAAAGAGAAACTTGGAAATCTGAGAGATCTTTTTAGGGAGAAAAACTTAGTTGCAATGATGGCGTTAGCACACCCGACCAGCGATCGGTCAATAATGTTATGCCACGTTGGAAGTGTTATTATGCGTGTCATAGTATTATTGATCGGGGATAGTAAAATAATGTTATCACCTCTTATGAAAGTCGTTCTTTTTTATAGGAGGGTACGTGCCAATTAAAATAAAATAAAAATTAAGGAGAAGAGAAGCTATTATGACTTTGATTTTAGTTTTTGAGTTGCTGCAAATCAAATTATACATCAATTTTCATCTACTACTACTTGTAGGTTTTGGAATCAGGTGATATAGATTGGGTGTAGGCCCTACTTGGCTCTTGTTTAATCTTTCTTTTATCAATCATCATTAAGTGATAATAGAGAGAGTCTAAAACAAATCTTAGCTCCAAACAACAATATCTTCTTATCTATAATTGTGTTTTAATTAAATTTAGTATTATCCATAAAGTATGATGACTCTGTGGTCACCTTTTCTTTCTTTTTCGATTGTTATCCGTGACTCTTGTTGTGATGCCCAAAATGCAAGCTTGTAATCATGGCATGGGGATACCATTTGCCTCCCTAAACCCTTTTGTCTTTTGGATGGAGAAACAAACAAGTAATTAACCAACAGATCTATAGCTAGAACCCTTCAAAATATATAAGATCTCCAACACCCAATATACATATTTTACCAATATAGCATACAAAATATTTTATAAGTACTTACGTCAAACAACGTCAAACACATAATAAAAGTGTAACACATTAAAACAAAAAGCATATTTCATAAAGATAATATGCTACTATAACATGTTAAAACGTGTTAGAAGAGTACAGTACGTAACATGACGCGTTAAGTTAACATAACATTGAAGGAATGTTAACCCAGATAATAGTTTTCTTTTTGCTTTTTGGATCAAAAGCTAATAGTAATCTAAAAACAGGTTTTTAGTTTTACTTTAAGTACTTAATACAGTGAAGGAATGAGAAGGTAATTCGAATATTTCCGAAAGCGGAAAACCCCACCAATTTTGGTGGGCATGTCAACCAGCCCTCATCTTTGGCTGGGCCTTGCTAGCTACTAGCTGCTAGTAGGGTCACTCCTGTGTCATTATAACACAGAGAGAGAGAGAGAGAGAGAGAGAGAGAGAGAGAGAGAGAGCAGACATGGACATATGAGAAAAGGGTACGATGAATGCGGGAAACAAAGAAAGAAAGACGATGATCATGAGAAGCCAAAAAGCTAATTAAAGTTAAAAGAAAAGACCAACGACATCAACAGACAAACACAAATTGATTAAAGTCGAAAAACAAACAGTAACAGTACTGATGTGATGACCATACTGAGAAAAAGAAAAGAAAAAAGATGTAATGGATGGAGTGAGTTAATTTGGTCAGTTTTTTTGATTTGTGAGTAGTATTTGTCAAGCTGTGAGTGGAAGCAGCAGAAAAAGCAACCGGCATGACTCTCGAGGGTTTCTTTTCATCTCTCTTCATCTTTTCTCTCTTTTTTTCTTTCTGCAGATACAACAAGTAAATCGACTGCTGCCCTAGCAGCTGATGACACACAAATATCAAACCCTAGAGGATGACACCTTGGGCTGTGCCTTTTAATAAAGTCAGTCTAATTATATTAAGCGACAAAACCCTCGCTTTGACATCTCAGTATCTGAATCATCATGTTATCCAGCTTTTCTTTTCTTTTCTTTTCTTTTCTTCTTTTTCCTTTTTACACATTTAACACACTCACCATCTGTACATTTTATCATTCTATCAATTAATCATCCTATTCCTAGCTACATGCTTTTTTATTTTTTATACATGTTTTAAAGTAATCAAGTTTGGAGTTAGTATCTTAACCCTAAAGTATTCACCTGAAGTATACTTGTGCATTTGTTGTTAGTATCTTAAATGATGAATTCAAAACACGGCGCAAATAGTGTTAATTTATTCGATATGCCACATTAGCATATCATGCGGTGTATTAAATACACCCAAATATTATTCTAATTATAACTTATTTAAAGTCAAATCCAACCGATTATTCGACCAATTTGGCCGGTTTTCGGTCCCAGTTGCCTAGCCTAGTACAAACATATTAAACATTAGGCAAATCATGTGTAGCAATAATGGAGGATGGGGCAATCGTATACTCCGCCAGTGGAAATGATAGGTTTTTTTCCACAATAGTTGTACATTTTTTATATTATCATAATCACCGTAGAAACCTAGGTCATGCAAACTCCTGATAAATTAAGCGGTTTATAATTTTATTTAGATCCACCTCGGGGTTCCAGATATAGTGCAAAAATATACAATCTGAAATTGACATACATGTACCTGCATCAAAGTTACAAAAGGTAAAGATCGGGCTGTAAATTTATTTTCTTGATAATATTTTCCGTTTAAGGTTCTTTTGGTATATCCTGTTTCGGACCAAGCAGAACAAGGCTGATATCTACATATCCCCCCCAGCCCAAACGGAGAGACAAACAGTCTATGTGATGTCCATTTCAAAATTGTCTTTTATGCTTTTCTTAACACGTGAACCCATGAGAGAGAGCATCTCCTGACCTGAAGAAAAAAAACAATGGTAAGCTTCTCAAGGGCATTCAAGGATACATCAGTTTGATCATTCTTGTATATGGTTTTGTAATTTTCCCTCTTTCGTATTTTTGGGATTAAAACTCGACATATTCGAAAATTCAATCTGTCGAGGATCTTCTTCGCAACACTCTTTTTTTTTTTTTTTTTTTTATTTAAAAAAAAAAACATTTTATTGATGCCTATACAAAAAAGGGTTAGGTAACTTGGGTCCCAAAATGAGATACAATTTCAAAATGAAATGCATCATGCATCTCATCATACATCAATGTTAATGGGAATGGAGGGAGGCTTATTCAGATGATGCTTCTACTTTGAGACAATGGAGTAAATACGAATGCCCGTATATTTTGGGATGCCTTAAATGCATGCATGCTATGGTTTCCATTGTTTTGGTAATAATTCTATTCTCAAAAAGGAAAAGAAGCTGTGGCTGCAATTTTTTTGTCCATACTATTTTGTCACAACACTGTATTTGTTGGCCAAGTTGCATTGCTACTTTCGCTACTCATGTACAAAATTCTCCGTCCACTTTTGGAATCTATTGAAGACATGTCAAATTCAATTTGGTAAAGCATGGTGGCAGCCCTTTATCTAGGCTTAGGGTTGATTAAATCCTACATTTTATTTTTTTGGGTTCTTCAAAAAGGTTATTGCATTTTTTATTATAGAAATAATAGGATATTTATATCGAGGTAATTCATCCTCAACAAAGTTTAACCACACTTATATATCAAACTCACCACAAATATGTGACTCAAACCTGAAATATCCTCAAATTAAGTGGAGACAATTATGTACCACAAAAAAATCGAAGGTTGATTGGTCATTTACTTACATTTTATCAGATTAAGGTAAAAATACAAGTGGCGAGTATGAATGATATATAATTTCAATTTTTTTTTTGTTTATTTGTGTCTTCATTGATTTTAAGTAATTTTGTAGGGAAATAATAGTTGTAAGTAGAAATAACTAAATTATAAGTCACGCGAATTAAAATAAAAATTATAGTCATTTTTGGGATAATATATTCAAAGTTATGATATCTCTTTCAATGAGAACATTAGAAGTTTTATTATTATTAATTTGATTTTCTTTACAATATCATATTCTACGGAATATAAGATAAAACTCGAATACGAGACAACACACACATTATCTTGACCAACTGAACCGATTAATTTGATTGACTAATTAAATTGCTGGTTTGAACAAACAGAATCATACGCGGGAAGAGTCCGTTGACAATACAATAGAGCTTCGTGACAAATGAACAGGGCGCGTGATGTCAGTGAGAATAGGAGGGGGACAGCTTCGTAAATGCTCGTGCGCTGCACATGTCAGTTTCTCAGAAGTTTAACGGAGGAGCACTCGGTAAATACAAAAACCCCAGAGGACAAATTCGGTATATCAAAAATCGAGGCGTGTGAGAGAAAGAATGTATGTGTGGGGCAACGAAGCAGCGCCAAAGGCGCAGGCCAAAAGACATCGATATCTCCCACACGCGCTCTTCTCTCAAGACCATGCGTCAGACTGAATAATCCATAATCGTGTAGCACACGCGCTAGAAGCAGAGTGAGATAAGGGGTTGGGTGTTGTGAGAAAAATAAGAGATAAAGGGTTGATAAGACTTGAGATGGAAAAAAGGGTGTGTGGACTGAGCAGGGAGGGGGGTGTGATGAGTCAGTGAGTCCTAACAACTAACAATAACAACAACAACACTCCCACCATATTTGCTGCCAAAAGTCACAAGGGCCCCTCTCTCTCTCTCTCTCAACTTCTTTTTTGTTTTATTAATGGCCTCTTTCTGAATGGTATCTCAACCATAAACTGAACTAGTGAGTTATACATTCAACATAAAACTGAATTTTTTTTGAAAAGATCATCACTTAATTTGAGCATTTTTTGTGGACCATTTGCTCCGTCACTCTTATATCTTAATACACAACCTTTGAAAAGAAAAAAAGAAGAAGAAAAAAAGTAGTTTTCCCATCTCCCATTTTCTTGTTTCATCTTGTTTTAATTGTGACATTTAAGAGCATGTAATTTATTTAAGAACATTGGCAAAAAAAGAAAAGAGTATGTAATTTATTTAAACTTAAAACAATCCCCAATTAGTTAAGTCGGTAAAACAAACAGGTTAATAGAGAGATGACTTGGAGCGACACATATTAAGAACGTACATCTGTGAAATAGACATTGTGAGTCGGTTGTTAAGCACGAAAGCTTGATTAAATTAAAGCTCCTCTTTCCAAACACAAAATATAAAAACAAAAATTGCAAATCTAGCAATTCTACCAACAACACAACAATTTGGCTCACAAGGTACTCTCATCTCTAATTTTTACTGATTTCTTTCACGTTTATATAAAGAGGAAGAAGAAAAAAAAAAGGAATGGAAACCCCTTTTTGTCTTTTCAGTTCTTTTTTACTTACTAAACCTTCCTTTTGTCTTTGGTGGAGGACCTACGTCCTACAGTGAAGGAAAATTACTAATTAAAAGGAAAAAAGATAAAGCCAAGAGGCAGAGCAAAAGCAGAGAGGAGAGAGAGAGAGAAGAGAGAGAGAGGGTGGAGAGTGTTGGTAATGTAGTGTCTTAGCCTGTCCCCCCCACCCAACACAGTCCCTCTCTCTCTCTCTCTCTCTCTCTCTCTCTCTCTCTGTTAAACAGTCGAAGTCGAAAAGCCCATCACCACATTGGCTTTTTCCGCCTTTTGTTTCTGTGTTCCTATGCAATTGTCTACGTCTGCTGCTTCTTCTGCTCCCTCTTCTCAGTACCTGCAAATGGGGGAGGAAATGGAATCATACTTTGAATTTCTTGTTATCATTTGATGCCCTCTTCTCTCTTTTTTTCCCTTTTCATCTTTCAGCCTTCTCTGCCTCAGTTCACTGACTACTGGGTTTTCCTGCAAACCAAATATGAATTTCTTCTTCTTTTATCTTCATATGCTCATACCACACATTCCTCTCCTGTTTTAGCTTTCTGGGTACCCCTCGAAGTATGAGAATTTCTTGACATGATTTGACCTCCTCATTTCCAATTTTCTATTTTTGCTTTGTGGGTACCCTTTATTTTTCCCGTTTGATTACTCATTTTACTCTAATCCCCATCTTTTGTTGTTTTCAATTTCTTGCTACTTCTGCCGTTGGATTGTTTACTGGGTTGTGCTTTCTGTTGAGCAACTCTGGACAACATAAATATTACTGGGTGTTCATGGAAATTGATCTGAACCATGCAGTGACTGAGGTGGAGAAGAGTGCTTATTGTAATGGGGATTGTGACAAGGTGGGCGGTGGCTGTGTTTATTGTTTGTCCTCTTCAACTTCTTCATCTTCTTCAAATTCATCTTCAGCTCCCGTGGCTTCTTCAATTTATTTGGAGCTTTGGCATGCTTGTGCTGGTCCACTCATCTCACTGCCCAAGAAAGGGAATGTGATTGTCTACTTCCCACAAGGTCACTTGGAACAGGTTGCCTCATCCTCTCCTTTCTCTTCCATGGAGATGCCCACCTTTGATCTCCAGCCACAGATCTTCTGCAAGGTTGTGAATGTCCAGCTACTTGTAAGTACCAATCTCAATTCTTTATGCATACTTCCATATAGAATTTCCAACATTGTAATTTTTTTCTTCTTCCAAATATGCTTGCTTTTTAGTTTGGTTATGAAATTTATTGTCTATTGAATTCTTGAGACAGGCTAACAAGGAAAATGATGAGGTCTATACACATGTCACTTTGCTTCCTCAGCCAGAGGTATGATTCTTGATTGACATTGAAGGTACTTCATCTTGGTTAAGTAACTAAAAAATGACCGTGTACTAGAAATTACATGTTTCCTGTTGGAAACTCGGAGTGACAGTGTTCTATGTGACTTCTTAAGTCTTTATCATTGTAGATTTAAAGTTTCTGTTAGAATGCATCTTTTCTTTAAGGCTGCTCAGTTTTATCTTTCTGTAATGGTTATATTGAGTGCCAATTCTGGGTATTCTACAGTTGGTAGGAACAAATTTAAACGGCAAAGAGCCTGAAGAGTTAGGAGTGGATGAGGGGGATGGAGGATCACCTACAAAATCAACCCCTCACATGTTCTGCAAAACACTTACAGCTTCTGACACCAGTACCCATGGAGGGTTCTCTGTTCCTCGCAGAGCTGCTGAGGACTGTTTTCCTCCTTTGGTACGAATCAATGCATTTATATTTCTCTGGTGTTCAAAGAAGATATTTCTGTGTAACTTTAAACATATTTTTTATTTTCTGTAGGACTATAAGCAGCAGAGGCCCTCTCAAGAGCTTGTTGCAAAGGACCTGCATGGGGTGGAGTGGAGGTTTCGACATATTTATAGAGGTAAATTATTTATAACTCTCTGTGTAGTTTGATTGATGATTAAATTTGATACAATTCAGTTTGTATTACTCATCAGGTCAGCCAAGGCGACACCTGCTCACTACAGGATGGAGTATTTTTATAAGCCAAAAGAATCTTGTCTCGGGGGATGCTGTGCTTTTTTTGAGGTAACTACGATTAATTTCCTATTTTAGTGACAATTGGCCAAGGCTTAGTTATCATTCAGATTTGTATATTTTCCAATTTGGAGGCTGTTTTTGATCTTTAAAACGGTGAGAAGTAGCAAAAATGTCATTTATATAAGTGATATTAATGCTTGATTGATTTTGGAGATTTCATTGTCAAGGAGTTATTTAATATTACTAAGGATGGTAAAGCGTTGATTCTCCGCATATTGGTTGAGTATATACATATATTCAAATACTTAATGCCCCAAAGGCAAAAATGAGGTTTTCACACATGGTAGGATATTGACTTGTGTTATGTGTATTTCATGAATAAGAATATTATGTCCTAGGAACAAGATTATTTTGATGTCTCTGTGGTGTTAAAAATTTGCTTGATTGTGTTCATTGTTTGGTAATCTTGATAGCATGAATCATTTATAATGTTCTTTGTAGGGGTGAAAATGGAGAGCTAAGGTTGGGAATTAGAAGAGCTGTTCGACCTAGAAATGGTCTTCCTGATTCAATTGTGGGCAACCAGAATTCTTATCCCAGTGTTCTCTCTCTTGTGGCTAATGCAATATCCACTAAGAGCATGTTTCATGTATTCTACAGCCCTAGGTACTACTACTATTTGGAAATTTTATCATGTATTGTGTTTTTTATTTTATTATTCCACTTTACTTTTTGGCGATAATAGTATCAACTCTTTGGTGGTACTGGTTGATGAAATCAATGGAAATATGATTCTATCAGTAACCCCATGGTATATTGTGTATCTTTATATGTAGCCTTTTTCATTAGATCACTAATTTATTGTGTATCCTCCCAATAAGCCAAACCTAGTATTTAATATCTGAAAATGCATATTTACCTGTACTCTTCAAATATGTTTGTCTTGATCTTGTGTGCCAAAGATAATTGAAGTATGCTGCCACATAAAAGATAGAAAAGAAAACTTTACTTCCCTGAACGTCCTAGGGGACTGAAGTATTGTGACATTATAAACTATCAGGCTGAGGTTCCTTTATCAGGAAGTACACTAAAGAAATAGGAAATGGCCACAACTCATAAAACTTAACTTCTGTGAATGTTCATAGGGCATCCAGCTTATCATTGATGGTTCACATACAATGTTTCTGACTTTGATAACAGTCTATAGAAATGGGGAGACATGATCATCAATAAAATGGTTAGCACTATTTTTTTGTTTACTCTGCCAATAGACAGCAGAGTTGCTTGGAAACCTACCAAAAAACCTAATAATCTATTGACTTCAGAATCTACGAAGTTGTTTATCCTATGTTTTGTGCATATCATTCCTTTAAGGATGATTCTCTCTTTATAGTTTATACGAGGCTTAGTTATGCTTCCTATCGTTCCATTATATGCTTAATGACAGTGATGTCTCTCTCAGATAGTTATTTAATTTTCCTTTAATAGTTTGTTTCTTACATATAAAAAATTTGATCTTTTGCCAAATTTTTTTAACATGGAAGCACCCAATGGTGCAGTTCACTTGACATTCTTCAAGTCTTCTTCTCTTTAAAATGATTTCTGTGCCTAGCATTATACTTATTCTCTTATTCATCGTGTTTGAATTGGAGATATCCACTGGAGAAATTTTTTTAAATTCCTCTGTTACGTTTATGAATTTATTTTATGTATTTAGGAGGCTATTATTTATCATTGCCTATAGAAGGGGCGAGGAGGGTTAAAGCAATTCATAAGGAGCTCCTAAGGTTACTGCCTAACATAGTTCACTATCAATTCATTACTAATTGGAACTACAAGTGATGGACTGCATGCATTATGAAAAGCAGTGGGGAAATGTCGCACGTGCAATGGGAGCACTCTAATGTAATGAAATGACGATTTACTAGGATTTCAAAAAGTAAAAACAAAATTGTGGCTGTTACAATCATCACATGATATCAGGCTTTTTAACTAAGCTGGGATTATTCATGTGTATAATAGCATCTTTTTTTTAACTTGATTCCTTGGAGATTTGTAAACATGCTAGGTTGGGCTTATGCATTGAACAGAACCTTTGAACTTGTTTGAATTGTGGTAATGCAGGGCAAGCCATGCAGAGTTTGTCATCCCCTACCAAAAGTATGTCAGAAGCTTTGCTAATCCAGTGACCACCGGGACAAGATTCAAAATGAGATTTGATAGGGATGATTCACCGGAAAGAAGGTATTTATAAGTAGATTAAATGGCATAGCCAGCATATTTTCCTTGTTAAATTTTCTATTGATACAACTTGTAGGTGTAGTGGTGTAGTGACTGGCATCAGCGATTTGGATCCCTATGGATGGCCTAACTCCAAATGGAGATGCTTGATGGTATGCTTTGTAATTTATTCTCCTTTTCTCCCCTTGGTACTTTTATTGGATTGATATTCTCTTTCATTTGAAGAAGTACTTGTCCATGGCACAAATGTTGATCCTTAGAATAACAAATGGGAAGATTATGGTTTCAAATGGATCCCATCAATTGACACTGCGGCTTTCTTATTTAATTGTGTCTAACCGTGCACCACATATGCACTTCCTTTTGTGTAAAGAGACGACAACTTCAAGAGCTATGATTCTATTATTGCAGTGTTGCAGCAATTCTTATACTTACCCCTTTATTTTACATTTACCAGGTCAGATGGGATGAAGATATAGGAAATGATCACCAAGAACGAGTCTCCCCGTGGGAGATTGATCCTTCCGTTTCTCTCCCACCTTTGAGCATTCAGTCTTCTCCAAGATTGATGAAGAAACTGCGGACAAGTCTGCAGGCAACCCCGCCCAACAACTCCATAACTGGTACAACACTTCCCAACCAGAGCAAGAATTTTTCATTTTTTTCAACTTCTATCCTCAATGTGTCAATTTTCTTGCAGCTGGAGGGGGTGGGTTTATGGACTTTGAGGAATCAGTTAAATCCTCTAAGGTCTTGCAAGGTCAAGAAAATATAGGTTTCATATCACCCCTGTATGGATGTGATACTGTAAACCGCCCGCGAGATTTTGAGATGCAAGCTCCGGCACATCCAAGTCTTGCATCAAATGCAACACAGAAGGCTACTATTGGCGAGCTTATGAGGGCTCGCCACTCCACCTACACAGGATTTGCGGAATCTGATAGGTTTCCAAAAGTCTTGCAAGGTCAAGAAATATGCCCATTGAGATCTTTGACAGGAAAAGCAAATTTCACCCTAGGTGATTGGGAATCCAACCTTGGTTGCACATCTTTCAACATTTATCAAGCGGCCAAACCAAATTTTTTCTCTCTAGCTTCTGAATCCCTTCCAAATATATATTTTCCTTATGGTGACATTCGCAGAGCTGGCCAAGATCCTGTGATGTGCTCTAATGCTACTAACTTACCCAGGGAGAGTATGAAAATCAACCCATATTCTATGCAAATGGGAGTTACACGAAATGAAGTTGGAAGGCCAAATAAACCTAGTGAGCATAAGCCGCAGGAGAGTAGCTCTGCTCCTCCCACTTTAGTGCCAAATCCAAGAAATCCCAATGATGAAGACTTTAATGGAACTGTTACTGGATGTAAACTTTTTGGGTTTTCCTTGACTGGGGAAAATCCCACTCCAAACTCTCAGAGTTCCAGTAAGAGGAGTTGTACAAAGGTAAGCTACAGTAGCCCTCAAGTTGGATTGTAACTTGCCATGTCTTGGACATCTTTGCCAACTGATGTTACATATATTGAGTGAAGGTTCACAAGCAAGGCAGCTTAGTGGGAAGAGCCATTGATCTCTCGAAACTGAATGGCTATGGTGACCTGCTGAGTGAACTAGAACGGCTATTTAGCATGGAAGGCCTTCTACGAGATTCTGATAAAGGATGGCGGATCTTGTACACTGACAGTGAGAATGATGTCATGGTTGTTGGGGATGACCCATGGCAGTAAGTGTCCTCTGTCTCTGTCTCTGTCTCTGTATCTCTCTCTCTGAATTAAACTTTTATGTTTGCCTAGTTCTTTTGAACGATATACTCGTGCATAGTCTTTTATGTCATACGAAGCAATAGCATAAATGCAGCTCTAATTTCGGTTAACAATTTGGTTTTTAGGATACCAAGCAAGGGAACAAGATGAGTACTTAAAGAATTAATTTGTTCTTTTCATTTTTCCCCTTTCTAGACAGAGATGCGACGTGTGTGTGTCTCCGTGTGTTTTTCTCTTCTTCTTTTTAGCCTGAATTATAAAACGCCATTTCATCTTAGCTTGGTTAACTGCAGAATAATATGTTGTTTCGCTATCAGGAAATGTTGTTTTGGAGTTTCTGAACAATCCATATGAACATTTTTTATATGACCTTTTGAAAATGATGGGTTCTTGATGCAGTGAGTTTTGCAATGTGGTCTCCAAAATTCATATATACACTCAGGAAGAAGTGGAGAAGATGACCATTGGAATGATCAGTGACGATACTCAAAGTTGTTTGGAACAAGCCCCAGTCATGCTGGAAATGTCAAAGTCCTCATCAGTGAGCCAGCCAGATTCTTCCCCAACAGTAATCAGGGTCTAAAAAGAATAAAATCCAGGGTTGTCATTAGGTTGTTATAACTTTATCTGCTTATGCAAATAATGCGCACCAGAACCTAGTTATGTATTTTCCGGATTTCCTAGGCCAAACACATATTGAAAATGAAATGCGTATGGCCTTCTAGAGATTGAACTCTTTCCCATTGACATTAAATATGTAGTACTGTGACTTGTTGAGTGTAAATTGTTGGATATGTTCTCTTAAGTCTCCGCCTTAGTGGAGAAGATGAAAGAATTTTTAAAGTTTATTTGACGTTTGGTACTAAGGTGGGAGGAACAAAGTTTGGTGTTCAGGATGCTGACCACCATATAAATTTGTTCCTGTAAGGTGAAGGAGATCTTTTAAATTTGTTCCTGACTTGCCTCAAGCTTTACTGTGTATGGACAAATGAGGGATATAAACTTGGAATTAAGGTAGAAGTCAGAATATCTAAATTCACACAAATCAATTCCCTTGTTTGGATTCATAAACAAAGAAATTTAAAATTTTCATGTGAAAAAAAACCTTGAAACAGAAAACAAACATGTAAGCTGCCATCGCCACCACCTCTACTACCACCAGATTGCCCTGGATGATGCCACCATCACCGCTGCCACCAGACCCACCGCCTCTATTACTACCACATTACAATGACCATCGCCACTACTACTACCAGCACCTATACTACCAACATATGACCATCGCCACCACCACAACCCGACCCACCATCTTACCACCAGCATCATACATGACATGAGGGTACCACCGCCATTAACATATCCTAACCACAACCTCTCATTTATAAATTGATACCCTCTAAAATAATAAACGTCAAATTCCATGTTTTAAATCTCATTATATTTCAAGTTAGCCAAACAAAAAACAGAGATGCAATAGATCTTACTTGTCAAACCTCAATCACACAGTAGAATTTCAAACCCTGGATCTTTTGGTTTATTTCTCCGACCTGCAGCGGTGTGTTCAAATCAAAGTCACTGTAGAACCCTTATTCATTACTCAGCCAAAAAGTACTCCTGACAACCACCAAACAAGGCTTCTCTTTTATTCCCGAGCATGGTTTAGACATTAGAGTACATACAATTGAGTATGATTTTCCAGCAAGAGTGAAAAAATGAAATTCAATTTCTGAATTTAGTTTCTTAATCACCAGAAGAAAACTCTGATTCTCGTCCAATGCCAGGAAAATCAATCTACTTAAAGATGACCAACCAAGTAAGATCAGTCAGCCATTTTTTCTGCTATCATGGACAAACCAGTGTACATTTGGGTTCGATCCTTTATAGATTCTGTATTCCGAAATATGTGTGTGAAGTAAACTTAAATGATTGACTGCAACATCAGGTGTATCTTGGATACAGTGCTCGAGTACTGCGGATTATCGCAGTTCAGCAACTGGACATGAGTCTCTCACTGCTCCTTAAATAGCGCACGACCAATTATCATCCTTCTGATCTCACTAGTCCCTGCTCCAATCTCATATAGTTTGGCATCTCGAAGGAAACGACCGGTTGAGTACTCATTTACATAACCATTACCGCCTAAGCATTGTATAGCCTGCAACATTCAAAATAGACTTAACCATGTGAATGGAAATAATTACCCATATTATGCCATGCCATTCAAGCAATACGTAGAATATGATTTATATAATCAACCAAGACCAAATTGGTTGGCCTGACTGGGGTTTATGTTTAAAAATTACTCATTTGCAAAAATAAGAGAGAGAATGGAATTTATTCAGGATCTTTTACCTGCAAAGCTACCTGTGTGGCTCTTTCAGCCGTACAGAGTATAACTCCAGCACAATCCTGAAAATTTGTATCAAGAAGAGTTATTATTTGCCTAAGCCAAAGCTTTTTTTTGCCAAATGCTAAAACTGATAAAATTATAACTTAAGTGAAGTTAAAAAATTCAGAAACCCCAACAGCACCTTTGAGTCAACTTTTCCATTGTCACACTCCCTTGCAACAGAATACACATAGGACCTGAAAATGAAGGGGGGACAAAAAGAGAGAAATGGTTAACTCTGCTACCAGGTGAATATTACAAGAAATAAACAAAGAAAAGCGGTGATAAAGGAATAAAAATCTTTTTACCTTGATGATTGCAAAGAAGTATACATGTCAGCAATTTTCCCCTGTAATTGCAAGTTCGTTAACAGCATAAAGGCTACAATTTAAGTACAAACAGGAGCTAGAAACATCAACTTAAGTTGTGTAAATACAACAATAAACCTGTATAAGCTGAAACTCTCCAATTGGACGGCCAAACTGCTCTCTCTGTCGAACATAAGGAAGGATAACATCCATACATGCCTGCATAATGCCCAGGGGTCCAGCTGCTAAAACAAGCCTCTCCAAATCCAATCCGGACATCATGACATAGACACCTGAAAGAAAGTTCAATAATAATGTAGGTTGAACCAGAATCACGACAGCATAAGACGCTTATGCTACCCACACTAAGTACATAGGATAAATGACCCAAAAAAAAACTCCTAAAGATTCCACTTGCTATTCCAATATCAATGGTATCTACATTCCCTCAACAAGAATTTCCCCGGGAAGCAATTAGTTTCAAGATTCAAAGTGTTATCATCTTATCACTCAAATTAGGATAAGAAAGTCCTTCTAACTGCTTTAGGTGACACTATGGGAGGTCAATGCTATAACAGAAAACTCTTGGCATAGCTAAGTTCATCATATGTTACCAAAATGAGTATGGCTGAGCAGTTACAGTGACGGAAGAATAAGCCCAAAAGCAACTTTGTTCTGCTCTAACAGTGAGTTCTGACAACCGTAATAGTAAAGAGCAGCTAAGAAGGTTCAAATTAAAGCCATAAGATAGATGAGCAATCAGGTTCAAACTATGTAACATATCATTGCTTGCTAAGTAATATAACATGCAACGTATCCAAATGATCTCCTTCCAATAATGAAAGTTGTAAATATACGTATCACTACACCTTTTCCTTCCTGCCCAAGAACATTTTCTTCTGGAACAAAGCAATTCTCAAAGACAAGTTCACATCTGCTCAGACCATTGCCACTATTAGTAGAAAAAGAGAGAACGAAGAAGGGAATGTACTCCCAAACTAGACAACTTCACTTAAAGCATTCTGGACGTACGTATCACTTCCTCGCATGCCGAGTTTGTCCAACTTCTGAGCAGTACTGAACCTGCATTGAGGCATAAATAACTTCATAAAAGTGAGGGAATTCAAACTATTTGTCATGCATTTTGTTATTATGGTTTGATTTTATGCATTGCAAGTAGGCTTCATTTTCTCCTCTTCTGCTTACATCTTTTGGGATCATTTAGGGCTGCGATGTCACCTAAGAGCACTATAGATTTATATGGAGTGCTTCTATTCCACCCTCTTCTACTAAAATGCTTAATTAAGTTTATCCTTTACATATCTTGTTTCTACATTATTTTAAATTCATCATTGATCTTGTTTCTACCCTATATATATGAATGTAAAATGGATATGTAGAATGAAAGTAAAGTATTTTAAACTTTGAGTAAATGTAGTAGTAATTATGTTTAATGCTTCAACATTATAATAGTGCTAGCAGAACTTTTTGAAAAATGTACAAGCAACCTATAAAATGGGCAAACAAATTACTGGAGGAGGGACCTAACTAAAATTTAGAGAAAAGATAGTCATTGTACTTGATCTGATAAATGTTATGGATCCAAAATTCCTTAAGTTCCTAATACTAAGTTTCTAACTTGTAAAATATATGGGTTTACACAAACAAATTGATCAATAAACAGGTCGGGTTTGTATTAGAGTCGTCTGACACAATTAATTACCCGGGTGTTCCTTTCTCGATGATGAATGCTGTAATTCCTTTTGAGCCCGCCGTTATGTCTGTTTTTGCATAAACAACCTGATCCAACTCTAAATATCAGGTAAATGAGATGATAAATTCACATGTGCATGCATATATGTATGAACACGCTACAGAAATATTAGATATGATATAGCGGTACAAAGCCTTTAGTACTGTCAAAATGAAATAGTATGCTAAAGACACTGCTTTGAAAATGCAGTACTAGTATAACCACTAAAACATAACTCCTAATGAATGTGGGCCAACGTAAATGTTTATAATTATAGGCTGACATAGTATAGCATGCATATCATTGAGAGCTGCACCTGATAGCAATCATTAGTAATAAAACTTAGTCCTTCACACGTTTAAGTTAAAACATTGGGATATTAAACAAAGAAAGTCCACATCTGCTGCAATTCATTGATAACAGAATCATCCTTGAGATTATTCATGGAATGGTTCTCAATGGGCATCGAGAGACTGCATCAGGGGACATCTTGTGCATTAGCCTATTCTATAGGTTCCCAGAGTAAGCTGTACGAAATCTTAAACCTCTTACATTCCTGGGAAAAGATGCTTTAAGCACAAACTACATAAAAATAATATATATGTACAAGTCAGATAAATTCTACTCTTGCATATACATATTAGACAGTTTTCATTATGGCTACAAAAAGTAAAATTTGACAAATATCCAACATTTCAGAGCATACAATACAAGCAACAGATGAGTGCACTTACACCCCCACATACACAGAGAGAGAGAGAGAGAGAGAGAGAGAGGCATATGGGTTGTAATATCCATGCTTAGCTAAAGCAATTCTAACAAACCATACCAATGTTTGAGCAACTGGGCCGTTGGTACACCACATCTTGTTCCCATTTAAGACATAACCCCCATCTACACGATCAGCCTTGCACTTCATGCTAACAACGTCAGAACCAGCTGGAGAGAGAGAGAGAGAGAGAGAGAGAGAGAGAGAGATCAGCCTAATTACCTTAAATGAACCTAGATAATACTCAGAATTTAAGTGCAAGATGAAAGAAGTGTAATGCACATAAATTACAATTGGGTTCACTCATTGCAAGAGCCCCCACATGCTCGCCACTGATAAGCTACAGAATGAAAGATGAGACGTTGTCAATCAAAAAGGAAAGAAATTGAAAATTAACTAATTAAGAAAGACTCTAGAACAGAAGAAAGTGATTTCATGTGACATAAATAATACCAACTTAATGGGTTGGAAAATAAGAGAGGAAGGAAAAAAGGTATATCAAGCTACCCAGGAAGTTTTCTGATCAGTATTTTATTAATAAAATCACTAAAGTTTTATTTAATTAGTATAGCCCACAGAAAAACTGTTAAAAATGTATTCAAAACCAAATAATTAGCGGAGTGCATGATTAAATTCTCCCAACACTCCTCAGGATATGTATGTCACATGCCATAGTATATTAGTGACTATGAGCCATACTCAAGTAATCGAACTTTTTTTCTTCTCCAGAAAGATAGATGCTTTTGACTGGTTCCTAAAATTTTGTTCAACCAAACTATCCAGCCATCCTTACAGAATTGACAAGCCCAGCATTAGGCCACACCATCTTCCTTTCCTCTCCTTCCCCCACAAAACTTGAGAGAACAACAAATGAAAGATATGGTAAATCTGACTACAGAGTGATGACAATGATTGACGATAAGTGCAATTAGAACATACAAATATGAAAAAGAGCTTTTCCACCTAGTAGATGAAAAGTAAGAGTCCAAACATATAGGAAACCATTGCAAACTTCTGGGTCAGAAATCATTGATCATCTCATGCTTAATTGGCTGAAGCAGCTTAAATAAATTAGTGCTTGAAGATGTAATGGCAACCGAAATAGTAAGCAACAACACGTGAGGAACAAAGTTCTATAAAAGAAATTCAGTTTGATGATGAAGAGAGATGTCGAAATTCTCTACATGCTAATGATTGCAATGCACATTTTGGATAAATAATAATCATTATCATTATAAATAATAAGATAATCATCATAGCAGAGATAAGTGGAATCCGCCAGAACTCTTCATCTCTAATTAAGCATGCCTGTAAAATTGTAAATACTACACTGGTATGCATAAAATTGAATCAAACGAAGGTAGAACCTTTGGCAAATACTTCTGTTTCTGAGTAGGGTTTCCATGCCTCACCTACCAAATAAAAAAATTACAAGCTTATCAGATATGAGCAAATGCTGTCACAGATGAACTCAGTTCGTTTGTTTACCAATTGATTGATGCACAGGTTAGAATGAGCACCATATGAGAGACCAACAGACCCAGAAGCACGACTTATTTCTTCCATAGCTATACAGTGATACAAGTAACCAAGACCAAGCCCTCCATATTCCTCTACAAGACAACCCATGGTCAATTTTCTAAACCCATGAAACTGCAGATTATTCAATCAAAATGCAGAAAAGAAATGAGAGGTTTATAGTTTCTAACAAAACAACTGCATCCTGCATGAATTGCAAATAAAGTAAGATCTTTGATCATAGCCTTGGAATAGTAATTCCATCTTCCAATTCAAAGAAGGTTGGACATCTCGTATGACAAAGGAGGTGAGGGGGCCAACACATGCTACATATTAAGATGTTCTTGGAACATTTTATTTCTCTATCTTACAGCAAGCTAGACTACAAATTTATAATAGCTAAAAAATTGTCATGTAAGTAAGAACTTGTGATCCTAACAACTGAGGCCCAAAAATATCGCGGGTAGAAGCACATCCAAACAAAAAATTTAAATTATTTTCAATTAAAAAAAAAGGGAAGCTTCCTAAAACAAAGAGCAACACCCACATAGCATCACATTCACACCCAAAATTGCCTGTGTACACAAACACGAATTAAAACAAAAACGATACAACACTCAAACCCCAATGGAGTTTAAACTAACTGTAGTTAGAAAAGCTCTTACATAACATGATGAAAGTCTACCTGGTGCAGTAATTCCATGAAGATTAAAATCTCCCATGAGTTTCCATAAGTTCACCTCTTGAGGGAAATAATTTGTGTGGTCTATTTTTGACGCATGAGGGGCAATGTGTTCTTGTGCAAACTGAGAAACACTTTCTTTAAACTGCATTTATGTCAACAAACAAAAAAAAACAGAAAATTGTCTCAGTGCTAAAGAACACTACGGAGTACTTTAAATCGTCAAAATGGGCCCGACAACTATTTTATCTGGGGCCAGTCTGATTTCATTCTGCTCCTGCTCTAAATTTATCACTTCAATTGAAAGGAAAAACCTTTTGCTAATATGACTGTAAATTAATTACTTCATTCACTTAAAAAAATTAAAAAATATAAAATTTCCAACAGATTGTTCTCCAAATTTTCGCAAAAAAATGTAATCAACATAAATACTTCTACTTGCAAACTTGATTCATATATATATATAGAGAGAGAGAGAGGGAGAGAGAGAGAGAGAGACCTGAATCTGAGTATCATCGAAGAGTAAAGCGGTAGAAAAAGAAGCACACTTTCTCCGATTTTTGAAAATTGCGGAGCATTGAGACCTCGCAGCAAATAGTCTTTGCATATTCACTTTTATGTTTTCGTTTTAGAAAGAGATAATATATATAGAGATAATATATTTATAGAGAGAGAGTTTCAGAAGAGAAGAAGACGAAGACGACGATGTCTGGCATTGACAGTAGCTGCTAAATGCCAACGAGAGCCAACATGGGTGTCGTTTATAATAGCTTTATATAGACTAATTAGGGAATTTCCGTTATAATTAAACTTTGTGGGCCCTTTTGGTGTGGCAGCGTGTGATTGGGTTCTTTGAGGAGATAGCCAATCAGATTTCAAAGAGGTAGTTGAGCTCAGTGGACTTGAGTGCAGACTAGTTTTTCAGAGTGGAGTTTGAGCTTATCAATATTGGGCATGGGGTGTTTTCAGGGACAGACAAGGTTTATCCATTTTCATCATGTCATGCTGGCTACGTTATCTCTGGGATCTTAAATAGGAAGGAATAGGATTAGGCTAGTAGATAAAAAAAATTTGGTTGTTATCGTGGCACTCTTACTACCAGGCCACAAGAAGACAACCTAGGTTCCATTCGGATGAAGTGGTTCCGAATCTATAGATTTGCAATTTAGATTATATTGTAAAATGGTTTGTATAGATTATTACAATTCGTCTACGTCAATATTTAGACAAGAAAAACGAAATGAATTTTAAATATACTACACCTAGTTATTTCAAATACATTCAATCTAATATGGTTCTTGTTTTCATAGTAAATTTAGCTTTGCGGTCAAATCCAAATCCTTCCATCGAAACAGATTAGATATACCTCCACACCAAATTAGCCAAGAAAGCTTGATTTTCATTGCCTCATACCATCTCCCAAGTAACCAAATAGATTTTCCTATTTTCCTCATAGCCAAGAGGAACCCTTGTGCAGGCAATCCAAACTTTACAGACTGAAGAAGTTAAACTTGACCAATTGCCTAGAGCTGACTCGTTGAGTTACCTAGCTTCGAGATAGAGGCTTACTCATTACCTTTTCCAAGAGGGAAGCCTCTGGTGGACTTTGCCAATCACCTTTTGGCAAGCTACGTACACTTTTTGATTCATGTGTGTCTATTGGTTGCACCACCAAATTTTATGGTGCGCTTTTATGCATTCTTTTTCTTATCACCATACTTGTATTTTTTCACAATTTTAATTCTAACTATCTCCAATCATCTCGTAAATAATTCTCGAATTTAAAATTAAAAAAATATTATTCAATAGAGTGTATCATTGATAACTTCCCTAAAACTTTCCCCAAACCTAGTAGCAAGGATAGGACTCCCAAACACTTTCTCAACCCAAGCTCATTATTGGAGAGCTCCTCCCTAAACTTGACTACTTTCCCAAACTTCCCCTCAAATATAAGGAAATTATAGGGAAAGTGTTTGGACTACTAATGCGATCAGGTCACGTTGGATTACTAATGCGATCAGGTCACGAGAGAAATAGACTTATTGGTGTATCCCAAAACCTACCTTATTATGGTATAGTATACAATCTTACATAGATCCGTAGTATGTTTATTGGTATTGAACTTTGGCGCCCATAAAACAAAGAAGTTAAATGCCAAGCAAGTTTATTTCCTTTTTTGTGTTTTTTTCAAAAGGACGTTCTAACTGTTACCCAAAAAAGAAAAGAAAAGAAAAAACCTTTTCTTTTATTTATTTATTTTTATAAACCCTTTTTCTTTTTCAAACCCCAGCAAAACCGGGAGAGGCCAGTGACTATATACCGCCCAAAACCCACGAAGCTCAACAATGCCAAAACCAATAGAGAGATTGAAACAGTCTCTCTTGTTAATTCCGCTCTGTGGGAACTAACATATTCGAAGTTTCCCTCAGCACCTGGACCCGGACCCAAGCAACGACAAGCAGCATTGCTCCAGCCATGGAATCAAGAGACAAAGCCTCGCCTCCACCAAAGCCCGCCAAGTTCTCAGTGTACCAGAACCCATCCTTGTCCGCTGCCCTCACCGCCAATAGCCTCCGGCCTTCGAAGCATGCACTCCTTTGCATCTTCTTTCTCTCCTCCGCCTCCGCCGTCGCCTTCATTGCCATGTTTTCCAGGTACCCAATTGCTCAATTTGAAAAGCTAGGGTTTTTAGAGGGTTTAAGCGAAGATTTTGTTTATTGGGTTCTTTTATGTGTGTTTAATATGAGAATTTCGCCCTGTTTGATTGTTGAGAAAAGGAAGGAAGAAAGAATGGGGATAGAAGCTTGAGTTGAATTTATCAGTGTTTGGTTTCTGGGAAACAAAAACCCTTTTATTACTTGCTATGAAAGTGTATAAAAGGAAGAAGGAAAAACAAAAACATAAAAAGACTTCAAATTTATAGTTTGGAGCTTATTTTTCGTTTGGGTTTTTTTGGGTCCTTTTAAGACCTGAATGAACAAACTAAATTTGCATAGCATGTTTGAGCTTATTTATTGACCAACAGGAAATCCAAGGATTTAATTATTCATATTAAGTTTTTGTTATTTATTGAAGAACGAATTTAAATTAGAAGAATGTGTTTTTAGATCTTTGGTTATGGAAATTGGATTTGGCTATATATTATTGCATGGGGCTAACGCAATAAACTGCCTTGAATTGTTGAAGGGAAAATGGGCTTATTGACAATTTGAAGCTCAAAAATCTTTCCCAAGAGGCAGCCTGTAAGTTGTTAAATTCAATCCAGAAAACTTTGATTGGCATGAACTTGATGCTTTGATTGATATAGTTTGTTTTGAACATCTTGTTTTGTCCTTCAGATTTGTTTTCCAAAGCGATACAGACCTTCATGGGCTTAGTATTTTTGGGAACTCTATTTGCACTATTTAGAGCCATCTCACTGAGAAATGCCGCACCCTCAAAAGGAAATAGTGACAAACCATGCCACCTTACAAATCGTCAACTAGGACTTTTGGGAATTAAGCCAAAGGTTGAGCAAGTCGTATCTGAGTCTTCAAAGAAACCTCCCAAGTCTAAACCCCACATGTCTTCCCCTTCAGATGTACTTGTTCCACTTCATCAGCCAATCACCAGTTCAAATCGTTTGTCTCGAATCAGCGGGAATAAGTCAAACATCAGTGGAGGAACTAAGATGGGATCTATCAGTAGCCCTTCTAAATCACCCGGTTCTACATCTTCTTTGTATCTTGTGTCGGGAGGTGTTTCACCACTGTCTTCTGTTCAGAATTCGCCTGGAGTAGATTCAGTGGTCTCCACCCCTTGGTCAAGCAAGCGAGCATCTACAAGAGAGATAATGTCAGAAGAAAAGTTTGAAAGGTTCTTGGCAGAGGTGGATGAAAAAATCACAGAATCAGCGGGGAAACTGGCAACTCCACCACCCACCATTAGAGGCTTTGGTGCAGCCAGTCCAAGTTCAGCTAACACATCTGGAACTACTAGGAGTACACCATTGAGGCCTGTGAGGATGTCTCCAGGTTCTCAGAAGTTCACAACTCCCCCAAAGAAAGGAGAGGGCGAGCTTCCTCCACCTATGTCCATGGAAGAATCTATTCATGCATTTGAGCGTTTGGGCATCTATCCTCAAATTGAGCAGTGGCGTGACAGCCTCAGGCAATGGTTTTCTTCGGTTTTGCTTAATCCTCTACTTGACAAGATTGAAACCAGTCATATTCAGGTTTGTCTTCACCACTTCCACCTCCTCTAACTCATCTTGTTTGTCTTCATATGTTTAACATGAGCTATGGCTGCTTTGTGGTTGGTAAAAGAATGTTATGTTTCAACCGCAGAGCAAAAATCTGATGGCATGATATGTGTAGTAGTGCAAGTTTCTGTATATAGTGCATTCCATCAACACGAAGTCAGTATAAAATTATTAAATTTATAGGTAATCCAAGCAGCTGCCAAACTTGGGATGTCAATTTCAATTAGTCAAGTTGGAAGTGATTTACCAACTGCTAGAACTGCTACAGTGTCTTCAAATGATAGGACTAAGGAATGGCAGCCAACATTAACTCTTGATGAAGATGGACTTATGCATCAGTTACGAGCTACTCTCGTCCAGGCTATTGATGCTTCGGCCTGTAAGTGCTCTTCACTTATGAACATATTTCATTTAAAACTCTTTTTGGATTGTTTTGGCAAAAGATATGTGCTGATGTTTTAATGCAATGCTTCTCATCATATGCAGCCAAGCTGCCTCAAGCCAATCTGCAACAAACCCCACAGCAGAATCCGTTGGTCCCTATTATGCAGGAGTGTGTGGATGCAATCACTGAACACCAGAGGCTTCATGCATTGATGAAGGGAGAGTTAGTTAAAGGTCTTCTACCGCAAAGCAGCATTCGAGCAGAATATACAGTACAAAGGATTCAAGGTGCTTAAAATCTTGATTTTTCACTATGTATCAACTTATGCAGGCATCTCATGTAGGATATCTAGGGGAATAGTTTTCAGATTGTGGGTATGTAGTCTTAGAGTTCTGAATAATGGGAGTTTTTGAAATTAGGATTTGACTATTTAAGAAAGATTGATTAACCTGAATTAACTCATCCCAGTAGATTTCTTGGATCACTCCTAAGGTAGAAGACCACACTTTCTAGGGTTTGAGAGAGCTCAAGTGGCCGCAAACCAAAATCAATCTTCATTTGGTGTACGCATTACAAAGCTTATATGGGTATCTGCCATGACTTGACCTTAATACAGTAATCTAAACCCCTGAAATAAAACAAATCTAATGGTTATATTTAATAAAACATAATCAAAAGACAATTTTTATTAAATGGGCCCACAATAAAATATCAAATTTTTATTAAATGAACTATACATACTCAAATTACAGTACTATGAACAGTAGCTTGCAGTAAAAATAAAAAGTCCCCATGTCAGGCCGATCAGAACTATCCACCAAATTTCAAGGGCTTATTTTTACCAGTCTATTCATGAGAATAATTAGGTTATGTTAATGGGAAATATATATTATATGTATATCCTTTGCCTCTATAATCTAAACTTGGTTTCTCCCTGGGGAGTTTTAACAGAGCTTGCTGAAGGAACCTGTTTGAAGAATTATGAATATCTTGGAAGTGGAGAAGTATATGATAAAAAGCACAATAAGTGGACTCTTGAGCTGCCAACTGATTCTCACTTGCTCTTGTATTTGTTCTGTGCTTTCCTGGAGCATCCAAAGTGGATGTTGCATGTGGATCCTGCATCCTACGCTGAAGCTCGTTCTAGCAAAAATCCCCTATTCTTGGGAGTCCTACCTCCAAAAGAAAGGTTTCCTGAGAAGTACATAGCTGTCGTATCTGGTGTCCCTTCTGCTCTCCACCCTGGAGCGTCTGTACTTGTTGTTGGAAGGCAAAGCCCCCCAGTTTTTGCCTTGTATTGGGATAAGAAATTGCAGTTTTCTCTTCAGGTAAGTACTTACCACTTGCCACACTTATGCCAAATTAGTGTTCTCTAGATTGCTGGTTGTCCAATCTTCATTGTGCCTGCAGTATTGTTTTTTACTCACATCTATACATCTTAAAATATTGATTGTGGCAACAATTACAAAATCCCTGGAAATGGGATATGCTGTTGTATTGGTTAAATTGACAAAGAGGTTTCATCTTTAATTCAGGGAATGACGGCACTGTGGGATTCGATTTTGCTTCTGTGCCACAGGATTAAGGTTGAATATGGGGGGATTGTTCGGGGAATGCATCTTAGTTCTTCAGCCCTGAGCATCCTCCCTGTTCTGGAATCAGAAGCTGAGGACTGACTGAACCAAAATATCCCCTTGCAATTGCCTTCTTATGACATACATCATCAACAGGTCCCCTGAACCAGCATATCAACAGTTCATCAAGGAATTTGTTTCATTGCTGAACTTGCCAGACGGGGTAGGATCTTTTCTTCCTGATATGAGGACTGTTCAAAGCTAAGGTTCCATTTGACGGGTTAGGATTATTCTGGAGATGATTGACTTGGACTATACTGAAGATTATTCTGCCTGTCTGCAGATCCAGTATCTCCCTAGTCATAAGTTAAGGGTCCATTTGGATGGGATAATGTAGTAGAACGATTTGGATTTTGACAATATGAATAGGTTAGTTTTAAAAAAGGACACGGGGAACGCTAATTTGTAACTTGAATTACTAGTACAACCTAATATTTTCGAGTTCGGACTAAACGAGTCATTTGTAATGCCATTTCTTATTTTTCTTCGTATAAAATTGAGTTGTTATTACCATTATATAGTTAAATTGCGTAATTGGACTGTTACTTTCAATCCATATATTAACATGCAATTTCCTTCAACGGATATGCCAATAACAATTAGACGAAAAGAAAAGAAAAGAAAGATATGCCGATAACAATCTTTCTTATAAAGAATTTGCTTCAACAAGTTGCCCGCCTAGCTCATGACCTTGGTATTCAAACTTCAAATTCTAAAACCACGACAACCAAACCTCGACTCTTAACTCAAGAGAGTTTTTCCTTCATTTGAACATGGTGAGCAAGCCAAATACAACAGTCCATGGCGAGGCTGAGTTTCAAGGGACATCCCCTTCTCTACTTTGTAACTCAAATTCCAACTCTAGCCCTCTGCTTTTCTTCATCTTCTTCATTGTCTTCAGCACCAACCCAGATCAAGCATCCAAGGCACTTGGCCTCTATCTTGCTCAAAAACCCAACAAGTCGATCAGCCACCCAACAAATCCACGCTCACATTCTCACCTCTGGCTTTCTCCTCCATCACTCCATTTCCACTGCCCATCTTCTACTCTTCAACACTTTGCTTCGTTGCTATTCCTTTGGCCCCTTCCCTCGTGAAGCTTTCACTTTCTATAAACACCTCCAACATTTTTCCCTTTCCTTCGACTCCTTCACCTACTCCTTCCTTCTCCACGCCTCTATTGCCTTAAACTCCACCAACCCAGGTGATCAAATCCATGCCCTCACTCACAAACTCGGTTTCCATTTCCATGTCTATGTTCAAACTGCCTTGCTTAATATGTATGCTGCATGTGGCTCTTTGCTTCTTGCTCTCAACGTGTTCTACGAAATGCCTGAGAGGAATTCTGTCACTTGGAATGTCATGATAACTAGTTTGGCGAAATGGGGTGAGCTTAAATTGGCTCGGTCTCTCTTTGATCAGATACCAGCCCCTACTGTTGTGTCCTGTACTGCCATTATTGACGCGTACTCACGTAAAAATCAGCCCCGTGATGCTGTTGCTTTGTTTCGAAGAATGGTTGTTGAAGATCACGTTGAACCTACTGAGGTTACACTTTTGGCCATATTTCCAGCCGTTTCGGTTCTTGGGGCTCTTAAAATTTGTCAATCACTTCATGCTTACGGTGAGAAGAGAGGATTTAATGCATCTGACATACGTGTCACCAATTCCCTATTGGATTCTTATGCAAAATGTGGCTGCATAGATAGTGCATCGAGATTGTTTGAGGAGATACTTGTTGAGAGGAAGAATTTGGTGTCATGGACATCCGTAATCTCTGGGTTTGCAATGCATGGAATGGGGAAAGAAGCAGTCGAGTATTTTAATAGTATGGAGAAATTTGGTCTCAAACCGAATCGAGTGACATTCTTGAGTATTTTCAATGCTTGTAGTCATGGAGGATTAATTGATGAGGGGCTGAACTTCTTTGGGAAGATGGTCGACGAGTATGAAATCGCACTGGATATCAAGCACTATGGATGCTTAATAGATATGCTAGGGAGGGCAGGGAGATTAGAAGAAGCAGAAAATATGGCTTTGGAGATTCCTTCCAATATCGTTAATGTTGTGATTTGGAGGACGCTGTTGGGTGCTTGTAGCTTTCATGGTAATGTGGAGATGGGTGAGAGGGTGACAAAGAAGATAATGGAGATGGAGAGAGGATATGGGGGTGACTACGTGCTTATGTCCAACATCTTTGCTGGGGTTGGAAGGTTTAGTGATGCTGAGAGAATGAGAAGCTTGCTGGATGAGAGGAATGCCTTCAAACTTCCAGGGCATAGTTTGGTCTAACTGGTGGTGAAGATGGGCAACTATGATGGTTGCCAGAGATTATGACTGCCTGATGATTTCTAGATAATCTTAAGTTTGAGAAAACAAGGCCAAGATCCTGTGAACAAGCTTCTGAGGTCAGTAGTAGCTAACTCGTTTGGGAATGCTTCTCTAGGAAGTACTTCCACTTATAAGCGCTTCTACCAAAAGCGCTTTTATTATAAAGATGTCAAAATTTTCATAAGAAATCGAAGTGCTTCTTGGAAAAACACTTGGAAGTGCTTCCTGAAGAAGCACAGGGTAGGTGGTTCTCCAGAAAACTCTTCTATGGCCCAAAAGCGCTTCTAAACTTTTCTGCCAAACGCTGTCAGAAAGCACTTTTAACTGTTCCAAAAGCACACTCCCAAACGGGTTAATGCTCATAGAACACATGGTGGTTAAAATTCAGTTTCTTCTCGAGCTCTGGCTGGTCCAGTAGGGAGTGAAAGACACATTCCCATGGTGTTAGATGATATGATCTAGCATTTGAGATTGCAGAATTATGGGTTTGCAGTTGAAATGGACATTCAGAATACTCTTGACTGCAAGAATGCGGAAGATAGCTGGTGTCTGAGAGAGTGAATGAGTTAGTGTCTTTATACTGCACATAGAAAAATGTACAAGGAAAGATGATATTCATTTTTTCTTTCATCGATATGCTTCAGTGGAAATTAAAGCAAAATGAAACTTATATCCCAAGGCACTCATTGGTACATTCTCCTTTGAGTCTCTTGGTTATTCTAGTCTTTGATGCCTTGTTATCAGCTTGATCCTAACATTTCTGATGTCCTCAAATGGAGGCCTTCTTCTGCTGGTTCCATTTACCACTGCTTCCACTTAGAATAAAAAGTGCGTTGAATAAAAGCATGGTAATGGCTTCTGCAAGTGGATGCAGTTGAAGGGCCAATTTCCAAGTAGACCTTTCTCGCCTCATTTCAAGCTCAATTGCACAATCATCTTTTCTTCTTCTTCTTCACTCTTTCTCACATCAATTCAAAAACTTAAGAACTCGTTATAAGAAGCAACTACCGTTAGGAAAATGTTAATAAAAAATGTAAAAGACCCCCTTTTCCCCAATTCTTGATCAGCCAAGGTACTGCTCTCTTAGGCTTAGGCTGTAATAGGCACGAAGAAGAAGAAAAAAGTTTGAGAAAGGGTGTTAATGACAGCAGGTATGGAAAACATCAATGAGGAGAGAGATTATTTAATTAATGAGACTTAATCTCAACCATTCAATACATTCTAATCTAATGGTTAAAAAATTGTGTAAAAAATATAGTGCTATGGTTCTGCCCCCTATATATATACGCTGCACGCAGGCTCCTCTAATGCTTCACAAATTGTCGAATTTCATCTCTCCCTTTTTGCATTCCATAAGTATTGCTCTCGCTGAATCCATTTCGACTTCCTCCTACTTTGTGCATCTTCTTCCGGAACTTTGATGCACTGCTGTTTAAGTTCAAATTCACCTTGGGAAGACTTGAAAAGCAAAATGAAGCTGCGACCACCTGTAGGTCCAAGGCCAACAGTACTTTGCAATTAATTGGCAGAATAAATGCTGATACATAACCATGCTACATTTCATATTTTGACATCCCAACAACAACAGCAGAGATTAAAAGATAAATAATTTCCTTTACAATATCAAGAAAAAATTTGGGTAACTGCAGATTGAGACAGTGAACATTAAAGATATCCTTCATAGAGTGTGAATAAGATTTATATGCTTCTTTTGCCGCTTGGCGCAGATAGTAGTTGCCCTCAACCATCTTCTCCTGCATCAGTCACGGCAATACATAAGGTTCCTTGGAACCAGTTATTGTGTAATAATAGGTAACAACGGAAGCCTGAAAACAGGAAATTACCAGTTGAGACTGCACATTTTTCAGCTTATTCTTATTAATTTGTTGCTCTTCAACGGGGACTTTTTCAGCCTGAAAACAGAATAAAATAAAGAATTGAAATGGAGAACAAGCACCGCATGTAGCAACCTAAAAAAAAGTGATTGGCGCTTGCTCTAAATACAGACACCCTTCCGGAAAGCATGGCACTTTTGTTGTGTGTGTGTGTGGGAGGGGGGGGTGGGGTGCTGGGGTTTCGTTGCTCCTGTTCATTTTTTCTTCTTGACTAAACCATACCTTCAAATAGCGAATAAATTGCATCTCTTCGAGTATGAGGAAAAGAAATGCCTTTCCTTTTCCACCTTCCCCTCGAGCTGTTCGACAAACCCTGTGGATATATTCCTGCAAGCAGATATCCCATTGTTGTGAAAGCGTTTAAGAATAGGAAAAAGAAACAGAACTCGGGAATGGATATATTCTTCATGCTACAAAATGGATATAGAAGAACTACTTGATACAAAATTAGTTGAAATATGTCAGTAAAGAGGGAAAATTAGACACCTAGGGATCATCTGGAGGATCAAACTGCACAATCACGTCCTACAAGCAAAGAAAAAACAAGCATTATATTTACCACGAGCATTTGCTTATTGTGATACTGCTATAATGTGACAAAGAAGTGTATTGGCATAACATGATGTTCAAAAAAAGTTTAGAGAAATTGCAAAAAGAAAGAGGAAGCATACCACAGCAGTTATCCAGGCCACGAGCAGCAACATCAGTACAGAGTAAGATTCCTTTCTCAGCTTTGCAGAAGTCAAAAAAAGTTTTTGTCCTCCTCTCCTGCTTTTGCTTTCCATGGATATAAAAGCAATCCACATTAACGTATCTAAGAAGGTCAGAGTGGAATTTGACTGAGTTACAAGAAGGGAAGAAGACCATCACTTTCTTAGACCGAGTCGCCACCAGAAAAGAATATAGGAGAATAAATCTCTCCTCACTAGGCACAATAAAATAGCCTTGTTTCAGCCCTTCATTGGTGACCTGTATATATTGCACATGATGTCAGATTTTAGAGATTAGGGTTAAATCAAAACAAGAAGAAAAAACATATATTCATATAAGAATATGAAGTCGATTTAATTTCAAAATAGACACGATGAACACAAAATAAATGTAAAAGGAGGAATACATAAAACCAGATGGATTCCTACCTTAGTTCTTCCACCATCAACATCAATCAAGTGATGTTCTTTCAACGAAAATCTAGCAAGATCTTGAACCTACAGGTTTAATGGGAAAAGTATTTTCAGAGCAAAATCATGGGAACACACACAGATGCGTACACTCAAAGCATTTAAAGTTAGTGAACTATTGAACTGTGCGTAGCGTATCAATTTATGCTAAAGATATTTAAAAACAATGTAGAAAGCAAGAGACTGAGGCACAAACCTTCATAGTTTGGGTTGCTGAAAATAAAGCTGTTTGCCTTTTCTGCACATCCATTAGCAACTCAATCAGCCACAGGACATAACCGCATAAAATCCATATGAAATTGTAACTAAAACCTTAGAATTAATGCATCTAGGCCAAATGCCGAATATAATCACACAGTTAACAAAACTCCAAGCTGCTCCTATTAAAAGAAAATCACAAAGATATGTTGTGAGCTGGGTGCATCTACTGTCTGCAGCCTAGAGTCTTTGTAACAACGTAGATTATTAACTCAAATACTGTACCTTGGGTAGAAGCTTAATAATCTGTTTCATTTCTTCCTCAAAGTTTGCTTCCAAAATCCTATCAGCTTCATCAATTATGAGGCACTGCAAGTCCAAGAGAACAATCAAACTAAGGATCGTCAAATGATGTGATGTCGTGATACAAGCTTTCATCTCAATCAAACATATGTAGCTCAACCACACAAACAAGATAAATTTCGTCTCTAACACAACAATCAAAATTGCAAAAGGACTCCAAACTACACTCCAGTATCTCAGCCAAAGGATTAATAACCACAAAGAATATTCAAAAGTCAGGTAAACATTACGTAGAATTTTCTTTCAATAAGAAAGCCATCTGAAGCAATATGCAACATTTCAGAAAATAACCAGTTACAAATAATTTTGAAAAAACAACAAAAAAATTGCCGAAGAATAGATGAGAATGACCTTCAAGTTCTTATATATGAATCCCTTGGTATTCTGGAGATGGTCAAGAAGTCGACCAGGGGTTGCAGCCAATAGATTTACTCCTTTTACAAGACGTTCTGCTTCACCTCTCCTAGCTGCACCACTGATAACCAAGTCAACAGTATGTGAGTGGTACTTCAGAAGGTCCTTAGCCACGGCATAGGTCTGAATTATTTGAAAGGAAAAGTGGTCAGGGTAGAAGAAGGGGATCAACTGTAAATCTCAGAATACAACAGCATAAAAAGTAATAAAGCACAATTTCTTTCATCTTAAAAGGCATAAATTTTTACACACACATTTCCATTTTCGGCTTCATTATCTTTAGGCAAAAATTAAATCTTAACCTAGATACGTCAAATTTGTTGAGGCATCAAAAAGATGTGTTCTTGAATTGGAGCGAGCTCAATATAAGAAGAATGTAACATTTCTAAACAAATAACGAGAATATGCCAGGGTTTCTCACCTGAATTGCAAGTTCCCGTGTTGGGCAAATGACAACAACACCCGTTCCATTACGAGGAGTAAACTTTGTGTGATATAGCAACTCCAAAGCTGGTATAAGAAAAGCAAGAGTCTTCCCGGATCCTGTCCTAGCAGCTCCGAGGACATCTTTTCCGATCAATAGTGATGGGATTGCTCTGGCTTGAATCTGCAGGTGTAAATCTTTTCCTACCAATACTATAAAAGGCCAAAGCCTTGATTATTAGAAACTTATAAACCCTGTAAATTAGGAGCCAATAAAATCAAGTTCAGCCAGAAAATTTACCTGTGTCATATACTGAAAGTTGAGTTCCTGAATGGCCTTGAAAGTGTTGGCAGACAAATTCAATGAACCAAAGGAGTCTGTGCTCATAATCCCAGACTCTCACCACTTTTGACCTTCTTCTTCCTCTTCTTCTCCTCCTCCACCCCCTCTGCGTTGGCCTCTGCTTCCTCTCCCTTCATTTTCTTCGTCTTCTTCTCCTTCTTATTGTCATCATCACCTTCTCCTTTCTCCTCTTCTTCGTTTTGTTGGGCCTGATAAGGGTTTCGAGGCTCTGATTCTTCCGATGGTTTCTTCCCTCTCTTTCTCTTGTGCGTCGTCTTCTTCGTCTAGTCGTCCAGAGATGCGTAACGGATTGGGTCTGTCATGGCGACTAGTTCTCAGACGCTGAGGAATAAGATGAGCTCTCTCGCAGAAACTCTGAGAATGCAGCTGTGAATTGAGGGTTTAAGGTTTTGTTTTGGTCAATATGAGGGTTTAAGGTTTGATCGCTAAACCCTAAGCTAAGCCAACCGTGGTGGATAGTCTGTTTGGGTTTGGGCCCACCCGAATTCCACTTAAAGATCTATTTATCTCCGCCCAATTAACAAAGGGCCGTTCCGGATTAGAAATACTTTTTCCCAGAATTCTCACCCATCAGTAAGACAGTGAGTCTATAGACTCGGGACTCTCAGACAGGTACTGGGCGAACCAAGAAATTTTGGCTGCTACCGTCGGTATAGTGGCTGAGATGCAGCAGCAACAACAACAGTTGGGTTTTGAAGAATCTTCAAATATTGGTAGCAATAGGGTGAGTCTATTGATTCGTCACCTTCCAGAAGCCATTCCTGAGGAGACCCTGTTTCGGCTGTTGTCCCACTATGGTGCTTCTTCTGTGCGCTCTTGCTCTGCTACTGGCCGGTCAATGCTCTCTTCTCTTCCTTTTCAATTGTTTGCCTGTTTCCTTTTGTCCCCCTCACTTTGATCTGTGTATATGAATATAGGTTGAGGAACTGCGCATTTGTAGATTTCCAAAATGAAGGCTTGGCTTACCAAGCACAGCGTCAGTTGAACGGGTATTGCCATATCTCTTTTACTTTCTTGATTCAAGCAAAAATGTCATATTCTAATGTTCTGTTAATAATTGAGTTGGTGGCTGTGTTTTCTTTGTTGGGTAGGCTGAGGTTTCTTGGTAAGGTCTTAAAAGTGGAGAGGGCGACCGCTAATAATGATAAGCCATCGCAGGCTGCTAACAAGGATTCTCTTTCTATAACCGCCACTTCCAAATCATCTTTGGTCCACAATCCTACCATCAATAGAGATATTCAAGAAACTGAAGTCTCAAGATCAGAGCCCATTGCCCCTAGGCTTGGTGTAGACTATCCCTTTCCTCCTCACCTTGAGTATGTTATACCTTTTCAATTTCTTTGAATTCGTGAGACATTTTTCATGAGGATATCTTTTTTATGAGTATTACATACATATGTTTTGTCTATTCTTCATGTGATCGTCTGATGTATATTTTTTTCTTTTCTTTCTTATTCTTCTAGAGATTATAAACTATCATCAATACTTGTTACTGTATTTTCAAGTATGTCCTGAATTCATATTACAAGAGTTCCTTTGATGATCCTATTGTCTTTGGCCCTTAGTGGCCGGAAAGGAGTCTCTCAATTTCAACCAAACTATAGCTATCTTAATACAAGGCTTAGAAGATATGCTTTGGTGAAATGAATGAGGCTACAGTGGCTTAAAGTTTCAGCTTCTTGTTACATAAGACAATAACCCAGTTACCTTTGGCCTCCCTTGACGTATTATCTCATATTGTGGCATGAATGGCATGCTATATCTGTTATGAATGTCTAATAGGTTGACATTGCTCTGTTATGAATGTCCAATCGGCTTATCTTTCATTACAGGTATGCTTACCCGCCACCAGATGGAAATATACTGACCAACATTGTAAATGCTCTTATCGCCGTTCCTCGATTTTATACACAGGTTCTCTCTAATCTCATGCTAAGCTAATGTTACTATACTTTGGCTCCCTTAATTTGAATTTCTACTTCATTTTGTCTAGTCAACTAGACATATTTTTGCAGCCATATCAATTAAGACTTAGAATAATCAACTGTAGGTTTTGCACTTGATGAACAAAATGAATATACCAGCTCCATTTCGTATGGCTCTTCCCTCTCCACCGCTACCACCTTCAGTACCCGTGCCACCACCACCTCCCCCTCCTCTAGCTGCAAAGCCTCCCTCAGCAGATTTATCAAGTGAAGAGTCAGAAATGGAGTCTTCAGACGAGGTAACTACTTGCCTTTAGATTGCTAAACGCTCATTAGATAACATTTGTATGTGAGAGAGAGGATAGAGAAGAGGGAAATGAAAGAGAAGAGGGGTAGTATGGTTTTATTTAATTATTTATTTAAAAAAACTGAGAACAATTTAAAAAAAACAAACAAACAAAAACCATTGTTTCTATTCTTTCATTCATCTCTCTCTTTAAAGAACAAAAGAAAATACTGAAAATTTTACCAGACAAGCACCAATGCATCTGGACCACATTGATCATTTCTTTGTGCATGCAATCTACAAATACCATGTGCAAAGAATACTTTCTCCTCCCTAATTCTGGAGATTTAGAACCAGAGGCATGCCAGCTTTTGCTTGCCAGTCCTCAAAAAAGTTCAGTTGCAAATTTTTTCTTTTAAAATAAGTTTTCAAGAAGGATAATTTTTAATTCATCTGCATATCTACACATTTGTATACCATGGGGAAATGATTTTGTGTTTCTCCAATTTGATATGCGACAAGCAATTAGTTACACTGACTGTTTAATTATTCTAGTTGCTTTATACATTCTTTGAGACTTTGAATTGAATGTTATTAGGAGGTTGATGGAAAACCCTCGAGCGGAACTTCAAGAGGACGGAAGCGTGTCAAACGAGAAGCTATTGTTGGTCCCGCAGTTGATAAAGATGTAGCTCATGAAGATGTTGGATTGAAACCAGCTATTCTGGTCCCTAAAGAGAGGCCAATGATAAAAAAGAAGAACCCTATCGTACAGGTGATTTACTTTTCAAGATGAATGATCGTATTTGTAGTATGATCTCTTATCTTCAAGTAATTTTTGATATATTTTCTTGCTTTGTTGCAGATAAAAATTGCCCCCAAAGTTGTTAACAATGAACATAAAGATGATAGCATTACCAAAGACTCAGAGCATCCAAAAAATGAGAGTTCAGATATTAACTCTTTTGCAACTCCAGAAGAACTAGAAAGAGGAAAGTTGCCTCCAGAAGAAATATTATCGCTGCCGATGTTTAAGGTATCAATATCGAAAATTTTGCTTTATTTTGGTAAAATGAGCATGCGACACAATCAAATTTACTAATTTCTCTGTGGAAGGATCAAACATGTATTAACCCAAATTCTTATCATGATAATATGACAGTCTTAAGATATAATTCAATAAAATTTTAAGTTATTTTTCTTAGTTGTTTTCATAGTATGTTTCCTCGTTTTAGTCACTAGTTTTAATTTTTAAAATTTATTTTTGTTTTCTGGTATTAAAAACAATAAAAAAACGTGACTTTATTATAAAGTTTGTCACCATTGATTAGCATGAAACCAGAGTTAACTTTTAAAAGTCCATGGCAACGCAAAAGAGGATTTTTGTGTCTGCGGTTAACTTTTTGCAAGCAAACTTGTTTACTATTCTAATTTTGCTTAGTCTGTATTTTGTACCGGGTTGTTTGTGGAATTCAATTGCTTTGTGCCTATTACATATTATACAAGGTTGGTAGGTGGGGGCTGGCATCAGAGTCTGAGGAGGTGCCAAGTAGCCAGCAAAAATATATATGAATTTTGAGGAACTTTTTCCTAATAAATATAGCTGACAAAATTAAGATTTAGCTGACTTCCGAAAAAATAGTATGAAAATCTCATTTGGAGTCTTCAGAACTATGCAGCTGGGAATCCTGCCTCTGTGTTGTATATAAAGAACCTGGCAAAGGACATCGTTGCTGATGACTTCTACTACATATTTGGTGAGCTCACAATCCTGATGAATTTTATGTCATTCGTTTAATCTTCTTTTACAGTAGGTTCTGAATCTTAGTTTCTTCTGCATGTTTTTTGTTTTGAGATTTCTAAGAGTAGACTGTTGAGCAAGTGATTTCTTTACACTTCATTTCTCTTCATATCTCTCTTGTTTTTGGTGTCCAGTCAGGAGATATGGCTCCAAGAACTGTCAAACTGGTTAACCTTTCTACCTACAGTAATGCTTATATTGTGCTTGTAGGGTCATTATTTGGAAGCGTTGATGCAGCCAAATCTGGTCTCAGTCTAAAGCTTATGCAAGTAAGGTCTCTTGATCAACCTCTATGTTTCCAAGTGAAGCTTTGCATATTTGATTCAGTTTGATGTCTTAAGTTGTTTTTTAGATGCACCACTTTTGAGATAGTCTTTTAAAGTACAATAGCAAACAACATTTTGTTGTCTTTTGTAATTAAGTATGTTGGCGGAGCCTTGCTACTCTTATTAAAAGGATACGGAACACAACTGTCAAATGAGAAAATTGTGAGAACCTCTCTTTGTCCATCAACTTCTGACGGACCAGACAAAAATAGGTGGAAAAAGAGAAGATTATGAGGTGTTTTACCTTGAACGAGAGTTTGAGAGGAATATGGTGGACTATAAGGTTGAACGAGAGTTTTACCTTGCCTTTTGAAGAAAGGATCTCAGAGTCCATTTATAAATTTGAATGCCTTGATGAAGACTACTTGTTGTGAAGATTTCATTCTTTATATGTAGTCTCTGGCATGATATATATAGTACTGAAACCAATTGCAATTTTTTACTGGTCTTTGCATCCGCATTAAGTGACAGTTTCCTACTTGCATAAGCTGATAGTAATATTTTCATGTCAGGAAGGAAGAATGAGGGGCCAAGCTTTCGTGACATTTCCATCAGTTGAACTAGCCCATTATGCTTTGGTACGTATCTTGCCAATTTCATATCATAATTGTTCTATAATTTAGTACCATGGCGGTCTTGGAGGCTTGCCTGCTAGTTTTATGGTCGTATGGGGCAGGGGGAAGCATGCTTCAACCTTATGGGGCTGCTTGGTGCAGTCTGTATTTTGGAACATATTGCTGGAGCGTAACAGAAGGATTTTTTTTATGAGTATGAGGGAGTGGGTGTTGGTGAATTATGGGATAGAGTTAAATTTTGGGCAGCTTTATGGGCTTCTGTCACTTCAGATTTCAAAGACTGTTCTTATTCCACTATATTGAGGGATATGGCTGCTGCTGTGATGTGAAGTGTTTTTTTGCGTCTGTTTATTTTTTAGCTTTTTGCTGGATCTTGTTCGATTCTTTCTGGCTCACTTCCTTTGGTCCTTTTGGTGTTGCAGACTCTAAGTAGTTTGGCCAGTGCCTTTGTTTTAGTGTGTCTGTTTCTGGTTCTGGTTTCGTCTGTTCGTTTGGCTTGTGGATGCCTTATCCACTTGTTGTTCCTTTTCGGTTCTTTCAATAAATTTTGTTTCTTTTCAAATATATATATATATATAGGTTTTTTGATTACATATTGGATTATACAGTTTTGCTTATCATTCAAGAAGATCTCTCTAGTTCTTGTGTTATCTTGCTTTTGAGTTGGAGGAGGTATAAAAGTTCTCACTTGTTGTGCATTATAAACCTTGGTTGCAGAATCTAGTGAATGGGTATGTATTCAAAGGCAAACCAATGATCATCCAGTTTGGCCGGAATCCTGCAGTGGGCAAAGCAAATTAAGGTTGACTATCAGCGGAAAGTTCTAGAGGTTAGATTTTGTTTCTTTCTCTTGCCTTGTATTTATAAGCAAGCTGCTAATACTCACTTTTTTTTTAGTATTATCATTTGAATTTCTAATGACTTATTGCTCCTCAGTCAACCATTTATCAGTTTACTAACATCAATAGACGTTCTGTGGTGCAATCCAATCATGTTGTTTTCTTTTTTAATAAATGGCTTGGGGTGGGGTTTTCTCCAGAACTCATAAAAGCTTGAATGTCCTGTGGTGCGGTAGAGAGACTTTTATATAGTACTACCACACAAGGAGCAAAAAGTGGACTGTGAGCTGGTGCTAAAAAGGTTGAAGATGCATAACCAGATGATCTCAACAAGGCAATTCCTGCATCAATTCAAAAGTTCTAAAAGGAAGGCATAGGTTTTTTTCATTTATCCATGCTGTCTCCAAGACCTGGCCAATTAATTGACCGTACGATTCAACTTGTGGAGTCGCTGATGCAGGGTACCAATTGTGGCATTCCTCTTCCCATTGTCCATATTGTCTTTTTTTCATTTTTATATGGAAATGAAATTTTTTTGGGGGTTATATTTTTCAGTTGTAGGCTTAAAAGATACAAAGATGAGAAGCTTGTAAAGGCGGAAATAAACAAGCAAATTGACTATTTTAATTTCATGATTTAAAGGGTGGATTCGGATGAAAGGATTTAGATTTGAGTTTCATATATAAATTGCTTAATTGAACCTTAGATTTGGGATACTTTTCTCTTGAGTATTAAACATTTGATTGTAAAGTAACAAAAAAAGTTTATTTAAAAAACAAGTAATCATTTGTAGGATTTTAGGGACTAATTGGAAATCTCAACAAGCCAGAGAGACCAAAAAGTATCTTTTAGCCCAAAATGAATGAGACCACCAATTCAAGGTCCAAGGAGAAAAGCCCATTTAGCTAAGAGATGAAAAATGTTCACCTCAGGAAAAATGTCAGAATTGAATATGAATTATTGAGTTATTGTTTACAAGAGACCAAATTTTAAAGTAAATTTTTTAAGCTCCAAGGGATTTTAGATAACGAGAATTTTTTGTATGCACAAAAATAAAATATTTTCATCTCGACAAAAATTATTCCGTCTAGACAGAACATAAATCTTCATCCACAAAAATGCTAGGAGAAGTTGTAAATAGTAGCCTTGTTCAACGTTAATTGATGACAGGGGTTCAAAAACCCATTGAAAGCACTTTGTGGTCAGGGGTAAGTCGAACTCCGAGCAGGGATTAATCTCATCCTTCGAATGTGATGACACATCGTGGTATTGACCAACAACCAAAACAAAATGAAAAAAAGAACTCTCTTTGTTAATCAAAGATGATAAAAAAAATATAAATAAATAAACCTTTTTATATTAAATAATTTTAATAATTAAAGGTGATAATGTAATTTTAACTTTCTAATCTTCCATTAAAAAAAAACTAAAGAAATAACTTTGTATTTAATTTGTTTGGAGAAAGAATATTTAGTTAAAAGAAAAAAAAGAAAAAGAAAAAGAAAAAGAAAAAAAAGAAAAAGAAAAAGAAAAACCTAGGAAAATCTCGGTACATTATGAACTGGTCTGTGGTTCTGTGCTCTGGGTCTCATCACTCCAAGAGCCACAGCAATCCTGATCAATCGAAACATGAACAACGGCGAGCAAAGACGCTTAAATGGAGAGGCAGAGGAAGACGAAGACGAAGACGATGCAAACAATGGAGGCCTCGCTGCTTGGGAACGAGCCTACGCTGATGAGAGGTCATGGGAGTCACTGCAAGAGGACGAGTCTGGGCTTCTTCAGCCCATTGACAACCAGAGCCTTAAACATGCTCAGTACCGTCGTCGCCTTCGTGCTGCCTCCACTGCTCGAATTCAAAAGGGTCTTATTCGTTATCTTTACATTGTTATCGACCTCTCTAAGGTATTTGATTCCCATTTGCTTAATACCCTTTTGAGCTCTAAGGAAATTTTGTTCAATTTTGGTTATGGGTCTGTCTGTTTGTGTTTGGAGAGAGAGAGTTTAGCTTATTTTTCTTTGGTTTGATCTGATGGAATTGGTTTTTCTGGAATCTTTTGTTTAGTAAAATTTGGAACTTCAAATTGATTTGAAGTACATTGACTTTATTCTGGGTTGAAGAATGGTTAGAGCTGAGTGAGGACAACCAAGGACATTGGTTTATATCATCTTCAATCAATAATGAAAATGATATATTAAGATACATGGATGTAGAAGTTCTTTGATAGTTCTGGGTGATATGTATCTACTTAATTTGTGATTTCAAATTGTTGCCTTTGGTTTCTTTTAATATTTGTAGGCTGCTGCGGAAATGGATTTTCGACCAAGCCGAATGGGTGTGGTTGCAAAACATGTTGAGGCTTTCATTAGAGAGTTTTTTTACCAGAATCCGCTTAGTCAAGTTGGCCTGGTGACTATAAAAGACGGTGTTGCTCATTGCTTAACCGATCTTGGTGGCAGTCCCAATTCTCATGTTAAAGCTTTGATGGGTAAGCTGGAATGCTCAGGTGACTCGTCCCTACAGAACGCATTGGATCTTGTACATGGGTATCTGGAACAGATTCCATCATATGGTCATAGAGAAGTTCTGATCTTATATTCAGCTCTCAGTACCTGTGATCCAGGAGATATAATGGAAACTATCCAGAAATGTAAGAAATCCAAAATTAGGTGCTCAGTTATTGGTCTCTCAGCAGAAATTTTCATATGCAAACATCTATGCCAGGAAACTGGTGGCTTGTACTATATTGCATTGGATGAGGTAAGTTCAACTAAGTAACCCTACACTACTAAAATAACATGAATTCTGGTTTTTCAAGGCATTTGAGTACAAATTCTATCATCTGGATGAAACGTTTCTCAAGAATGACCTTGATGATAACCCAAAATAAGAAACAGTGTTGTCATAGAGACTGGAAAGTGGTCACAACATTTAAATTTATTTTTTTTTTTTTTTTTTTTTTTTTTTTTTTTTTTTTTTTTTTTGAGTCTGTGTCATCCAGTTATTTATTAGATTTAACCGACAAGTTTGTTTTTAAAACATTCATTCTGATATGTATCTCCTTGCATAGCCACACTTAAGAGAGTTAATCTTGGAACATGCACCTCCACCACCAGCAATAGCAGAATTTGCAATTGCTAATTTGATAAAGATGGGCTTCCCACAAAGAGCGGCAGAGGGCTCTGTGGCAATTTGTTCATGTCACAAGGAGGCAAAGGTTGGAGGTGGATACACTTGTCCAAGGTGCAAGGCACGTGTATGTGACCTACCTACTGAATGTCGCATTTGTGGGTTGACGCTCATTTCTTCTCCTCATTTGGCAAGGTCTTATCATCATCTTTTCCCCATCGTGCCATTTGATGAGGTCTCTCCATCACTACTAATTGATCAACAAAACAAGTTTCCTAGAGCTTGTTTTGGCTGCCAACAAAGTCTTCTCAATCCCGGTAAGTATTTATGTACATAAAATAGATCATTTGGAGCTTTTGCAATAAATTTGATCGTACATGCATTTGAATGGCATTTCTACTGGTCATCTGTGTTTTTGTTTGGTTATGAAATGTTGTAGATGTAGATCAGTCATGTTTTCTATGATTGTGTTGCTGTCAACATTAAAACTTCTGCAGGTCCAATAAGGAAGCTGGGAAGCTTAGTGATTCTTTGCCATAATGCAATTGTTCCCCAACTAACATGCTCCCTTAGGAAGCAGCATCTAGCTGCTTTTGGGTGTAATAATGATAAGACTACTTAAGAGGAGAAGAGTCTAAATTGGAATAGGTTAGATGATGAGAGAATGAGAGGCATCTTATCCCCTCCAAAAAGAGGCAGTAATAGAAAAGTGAAGGAAGAGAAAAGGCAATTAAAGTGAAAAGGTGAACTAGAAATTTGGCTCAACCCTTAATTATAAAAATCACAGGGAAAGAGTAGGAGCACCTCCCAAATAAAACTAAGTTATTCATTGATGTCATATATAAACCTTGCCTATGTTTTCAGCTTTTTACCGGTTGCATATGTGAAGTGTCTTTGCCTATGTAACAGGTGGCATCACTTCCCTGGCTTACTTCCTTTTCACTGTTTATGACACAGGAAACAAACCCAGCCTTCGTGTTGCTTGTCCAAAATGCAAACAGCACTTCTGCCTTGATTGTGACATTTATATTCATGAAAGCTTGCATAACTGCCCAGGTTGTGAGAGCGCTAGGCATTCCAAGATACCAAATGCTAACAAAGGATGAAGTACTGCTGCCTCCACATATGTGGTTGTCTCTCATGACTGTTTGTACTACCCGTACTTATGACCTGGCTACTGTCACATGTGGCAGTGTTCAACCGGAGCCGCTGGGTGTCTCTGATGTTCTTCATCAAGCCTTACAGAAGAAAACACAGTAATTGACGGTACATTGATGAATCCGAGTTTCCAAATTGCCATAAACGATAGTTTCAGAAACCGAGGAATTTTTTTCCTTGTTTGTTGCCGACACCATTGCAGCTGAGGATTTGTTAGTCATAACTTCATAGAGGAGAGATTCGCATTTGAAAATGCAGATATGTTAGCCTTAGTACTGTGAATTTGGATAGATCTGTTGTCTTGATACAAGTTTTGATCCGTTTGCTTTGGTTTTGCTCTGTCTGTTGATGGCTTCACATATAATGCAAGATTTATCTTTCATCTCAAGTAATCAAATTTGTTAATGTAAATTATGTAAACGAAGACAGGTTAAAAAGTTTCATTTATAGAATCATGTATTAATGTCTTCATAAGGGTGTCCAAGTAATGGGAAATTTTCAGACCAAAAATAATTTTATAAAAAACTTAGCTTTAAACCATCTAATCTTCATCCAATGCCTCACACCACATCAATGGTTGGGTGTCTGGAATATTGTGGGGGTTTGAATTTTTCCACGATATTTTACTGTCCTTTGTTTGACGGATAATCGATGACAGGCTCGTGCCAAAAAACACGAGCTTAAAATTTGAAACATTTTCTTTGTCTTGAGGAGCATGATCATAGGCTCAAAAGTCAGAATAGTCTATCATGAAACTCAGTTGGAAACGCATAAAACTAATATAATTTCTATGTTGCCCCGCCATCGGAGGTGCAAGGGCCTTGCTGTCCTTCAAATGAATCTCTATACGTTACTACAAATATCATGCCCGAGTAAAGGGCACAAAAAATTCATTAAAACCATGCCAGACCATAAAGAGAAAAACATCCATTTTGACAAAAAATGATCTCTATAAACAACTGAATCTGAGTGAATATTTACAGGCTATTGCTTCTCACTATAAAACCGAGACAAGGCAGCTATCTTGTATTTCTGTGATGGGGTTCCCCCAACTACATCCAAATATTTGAATTGATGGATTCAAATCACATCTCCTGTACAATACCAGCACTGGACCTGCAGATCATTAAAGAGGACTTGAACAAGCCTGTTTCTGTTAAGTCAAACAGGCATCACGAACATAGCTGAAACGTGAACAGGATACTGAAAAACGATAAAAGGCCTCAAGCTTACAAACCAAGGGAAAAATTTTGCAGGCGCCAGCAAAAGTTTGGCAATCATGCAGTCTATTTGGATGCCTTGTGTATTAAATCACTTTGTTCTACCCCGGGTGCCTTGTGCCGCATCTAACACTTCATCTCTTGTCAGGGGCCAAATGTCTGTCAGCATTCTTCAAATTATAAACCCAAAACTAGATTCTCTGAGTCAATCATAAGATTACTCCAGGATATGCTTTCCATCCCAGGGAAATAAAATTAAAAAAGGCCCAAAAGATAGTTCTCATAAAGAAAAAGTTCCAGTTCCTCTATTCAGAGTCCGAGTCAATAGAAAGATACAACCGCGGCCTGACAGAACGTTTTTGGCGAGGAAATGAGAAAGGACTATTTGATCTCTGCCTACTTGTCTTGTCAGATCTGCTACCGTCATTCATACCGAGAAGCAAAGAAGCTGCAGAAGGTACAACAGTGATGAGCCTAATGATCATTAAACTGCAAAGATTTCCAAAAAGGGAATGACAACAATACAATGGCTGGGACAATTTCCACACCCTTATATTGCTATAGCCAGTCTCTTTGATAAGGTTATTGTCTTTTCAACTCTTTCTATGCAGATTTCCTAAAAGAGAGATATTTTATAGATGAAGGCACAGAAGCATTCCTTCAGTTCTCTGTTAACCTCTATATTCTGGTCTCTGAAGAGGCTCACAAAGAATCTGCCTCTCTTCATCGTGCCTTGGTGAACATGGTTCAATTCCTGTTTTGCAAAGAAACTAGAGTAAACTAGGATGTACATGAGGCAGAAATGAGAAGAGCTTTAAAAGGTTGCACTCGGAGTACAGCAACAAGCTTGGAAGAGTTACAGGTTGGGCAGTGTCCTACTTGAATTGCATATTTTAGTCCCATGGAGTTCATGAACTTGAATATGTGATTCCACATGAGTTTGAGCTTGAAGAAGCTCAGTAACGCTCACTTCATTACTCAATCTCACGAGATAGCACTCACTTGTACAAGTAAAACTTACTGCCATAAAGGAGATATCGCTCGCTCATACAACCCATAAGTTGTTCAAAGAAGAAAAACAAATTTGACTATGTCTCACATTTTAAGCATGTTTATAATCTATTCTCTTTTAGTTCCTTCTACCTTTTTCCATGGTCATGAATCAAAAATTTGTGACATCATCACACCAATCTAATAATTGAGTAAAAACAAAAAACAATTTCTAATTGTGCTCAACGACAGAGCTAAGGTGTGCAACACAGTTTTGCTGGGTTGAACTCAACTGGTTACCCGATTCAATTACATGACTGAATTATGAAAAGGAAGATGTCAACCAGAGTTCTAACCACTAGAATATGGTGAGAACTCTAGAACTCAGTTTTACTTAAAACCTTCAACTATTAGCATGGCACTCTAGAAGCATTAAACTTCATAGAGAGACTTAAACTAGATTAAACAATTTAAGCTTGGCCACCTAATTGAAATAAATCAAAATATACACAAAACTATCATCACTAGCTTGCAAATATTCTGGAACTTGATGTGTTTTATTGTTTGTTTAATATTAAAAATAACCAAATTGGTTTTTTTTCCTTTCTAATCTATTTCTTTGGTTTAAAGACTTTAAGCTTCAAAAGCTTTAAATAAGAAAATAACTTCTTTTTTTTATTTTTATAGAGGCTCGGCCACGGAATTCAACAATATTTGAGAAAAAACTAATGATACTAATTAAACAGGCAGAAGCTTAGCCACGTAAGGGTTAAGAGATAATTGGGAGCAAATGTCATATGCTATCAACTTTTGTTTCTCAATAGTAGAATTAAAGTTATAAATATTACTATCTTTCTTATAAGAAACTTGCAAAATAGTTGAAAAGTCAATAACCTGATTAAAGATGTTGTGGCTATAGCAATATAAGGATGTGGAAATAGCACCTGCCTGAACTATGTATATTGAAGGTGTTGCAGCTGGGAGAAAAGGAAAAATAAACACAACCCATTTCCTCCCACCCTCAAACCTTTTTTCATATCCAGTACAAGTTAAAAGGTAAAAATTTTGATCACCAATAGAGTAAAACCAGTTCTCAAACAAAACCTTCACAATGAAATCAGAGGAGATGTATATTAAACCATTAGCATAAATAACAGTCAAGCTACCTTTAATGCCAATCATGAACCGATCTAAAACTCATTGTAGCAATTCTGTCGAAAGAGAACGAACCTGTGTCAGCCAAAGAATCCATGGCACCATCCCTGGATGGCATTTGCATTCTCGAATTTAATCCATTTGGAGTTGCAGGCGCACCATTAATGCCACTGGCATCACCCCCAAGCCTCAGAGAAATCCAATCATCAGTAGGGACACCATTTGACATATCAGCCTGATCTCTCAAATCGGAATGCACTGATGCATCTGATGGTCTTGTGGGAAGAAATATTTGAAGAGAGGGATCATCACCAGCAAAAGCCAATGGATTATCAACTAAGCCATCATTCATGTCAGCATCTGAACGACCAACAGAAGAATCAGGTACTAAGCTAGCAGATCCCATGGCAGTTTCTGAAGCCAAGGTGTATCCATTCATAGATGTGGAACAATTGATGGAACCATGTGGCAGACCAACTAGGGTATCTGGTACATCTGCCTCAGAACTAAATAATTGAAACCCAGGGCCTGATTGAGTTCCGGGAGCTAATGGTGGCCAGAGCGGAATAAAATCATCATCGTTGCCATTAAAAAGACCCAAGCATGGATTCCCACCAGTCCCAAGCGTGGGATCTTCACCATATGAATCAGCAATTCCAGAAGGGGCCACAGGAAAATTAATCCCGCCAGTATCATTTCTCTCACTCCTGTAGATGGTTCCAGCGGGCATTATGTCGTCATCGGAATCACTTAGGACAATAACTTCTGCATCTCCTACAGTTGCAGAAGGATTTTGTCCAGAAAATCCATACACAGAATCAACATTTAGAGAAAAGGAATCCATCTCAATTCCGTTGTTAGTAGAGAAATCAAAGTTCCCACCACCATCCTGATTTACACTTGCATCTTCACCATCCCTACCACTTCCGGTGGCACTGCTACTCATTGGGATAACTTTTACCTCGTGGTCTCCAAATGGCACTTGTAATCTATTATCCGAAGAGGTGTTCATATCTTCAGGTTTGCTGAATTCCCAAACACCATTGCGATTCTTCCTCATTCCTAGTTTCAAACCAGTATGACCTTCTGAAACACCTTCCTGTTTGACCTGCTTCAAAACTTCAGTTTTTGGGATAATTTCTTCATCTGTTGGGGCAAGTGTACTATCAGGAAGGTACCACCGCCCAAGTTCCCCAAGATCCCTACGATCACTTTCACTCTTAGTCTTCACTCGCCAAGAACCATCAGGCTTCACCTCAATCTCTGCTACATCTTCTCCACAATACCTCATCTGTAACAACCCATGACCAGGGAAAAAAAAACACAGAAAAGAACAAGAAAAAAAATGGATCAATAAAACAATACTCTAGAAACACAATTTTCTGTAGTGCATAAGAAGGCATTACCTTTGACGTGATACGATTAAAATATGGATCAATAATGACATTCTCCAGTGCATAGTTCTTAAGACAAATGGGGCATTGCCACTGCAATCATAAAGCAAAGCATGCTTTAAAACTAATAAATAAATAAATAAGGACAAAACAACCACATCTTTCATTTTGTGTAGAAGCTTGCCTTCCTTGACCGTTGATTCATTTCCACAAACACTTCAAGATCAAAACAGCCCATGTGAAGGCAGGGCTTGAATCTCCCAGCAACCTTCATTCTTGAACCACTCATCTATCAAATACATGCATAAACATACCCAATTCAGTCCCAGAAACAAATAGCACATACGAACAAAAGCATGAAAGGTGTTCCTCGACATAAGAAAACCTCTCTAGACAATTGATATCCTGTACTACAGAATTACTACATTGAAAGTAAAATATAAACCACATTGATAGTATTGTTTGTGTTAGAACAATTAGGGTCAGCATCAGCTAATATTGGACTGTCCCATCAGTAGAGGGATGTTTATCCTTGGTACAACCCTAGGGAGAGGCACTCACAACATTGGAACTTGATGAAACACTCTAAACAATTAGCCTAACAAGCACTATCGAGACAGACTCCGGAGAATCAACATAAGAATTTGAAAAATAAGTTAGAAGAGAACCCCTTGGTTATTCGTATGGTTGGCAATTCAAACATTCTTGAATCCAAGAGTTGAGATTAATTGCAATGCATATAATTCAGCTCATACACAAAAGTAAAATCCATACAAAATATAACATTCCACAATGCATTATATAATTGTGTTAAATTTACTGGCTTCATAAACTCCTATAACGAAGTGCGCAATTTTCGTCTCACAAAAGTCGATCAGAAAAAAAACGATTTACCGGACAACGCAGATTGACAGTGAAAGAATCTGCAACAACTTCCAAATCACTGTCACTATCATCGTTATCCATTGTGGTCCCGCCACCAACGCAACGACACACACGAGCAAGAGCATCTTCAAAACGCTCACCATCAGACTCCTTGGGAATCACATTGAGAACCTAGAAAAATAAAATTCAAAATATTTTACTAATATAATAAATACCAAGGAAATACACTAACAAATAACTATTATCTGTTGGCGTAGACAAACTTGAACATGCACAAGTACTGGCAGCAATATAAAACAAATACACTAGTCCTGTATATTTGCAAGCCATGTATAATCTTGAAATACATCTTTATTCCATTGATAAGTATGATCTTAAAGCTTCGATGCTAAGGTGACAAAACATCTTCATTCCATTGAATTCTCCCATCTTCAACAACATTTTACATACTGAAAAGTCCAAAACAGGCATACAAGCCTGAAACACTTTACATCAATAAAAGAGTTCCTAGGGATTCAACGACAGCAGCTAGATCCCATGTTGATTCAGACATCTTTGCCAGCTATGCATCTTTATGTTTCCACTGTCTCTCCTCCCATCAGACACAATTTCCAGCTACCTCTCTTCCCACTTGTTGGTTTAAAATTAGTCCGAAAATGTCCCCCTGGATCGACACACCAATTTCAAACCTTCCATACTCAAAAGAACATGTTTTGTATTTGGGTGAGAGAGAGCCAAAACAATGTAATCCATACACATTGCAAAATTTAATTTTTCTGCCCATCACTCCCGTTTAAAGCTCATTCTTTGCTGCACTAAAACACATTCCCAACATTTCCAAAGATCCCTGGAAACGTTATATGGGGTACATCTCTAAAAGAAATTGACTTACAACAGACACACACACACCCTTTTTCTTTCTCCATACTCATACTGGAATCACCAAAACATTGACATATTTGCAAAATTTCTGCCTGATGTCACTTTTTTCATCCTTCTAGTAGTTTGCGGGACTTAACACACGTCTCTTTTTCAGGTTGCAACTTTTACAAGCATATACTAAAGAAACTACAAGATGCGTAAATACAAGCTCAACTATCCAAAAAAAAATCATATTAAAAAAATCAGCAGTACCTGTTGCAAAGTGCGTCTCTTCACAATACGAACCCCTAAGCAGAATATACGGGCATCACATCCTGTTAAGGAAATCTTATTAATTCCGTCTTTCGTGTATGGTGTGATCTGACAAAACAACATGAAGTACACTAAGATACTAAACACAGAAACAACTTGTTAAGTGTTTTGATTCACAGAGCAATCAGAAAATGCCCTGCAGTCACAAAGAAAGTAATCTCATCGAAAATAGCAAGGTGATATGGGTTAAAAGCATGGAAAGAATACTGACAACTAAAAGCAAATAAATGTACAGGTAGAACTCACAATTGGACCATCATCACGACCATTAGCTCCAAGAAGTTGCGAGCCAGGTCTATTAATTGCACGAACAGGCATACCTGCGTATAATCCAGAGAAATCTCCAATGAAACACAGAGTACATTCAAGTAAATGCATTTACATATTCCAAATACATAACCAACGTGACCTCTCTAAGACCACATTTTAGATTTAAGCTCAAAATTCATCAATAAATGTCAAACAATCAGAATTACCATACCATTGACCTGTAGATCTGCATATTGCGGCCATTGCATCCTGAATGCAACTTTGTCATTTAGAAGCATACACCAAGCCTGCAAAATAATGTCAGAATGACAAATCAACGTATTTAGTGCCATGTACAAGGCTAATGATTCCCCAATCATCATTCAATACATTAACCAACCTGGACATCATATTCTTGTTTAGACAATAAGTCTTTGTCTGCCCTGGTGAGGTGAAATGTTTTCTCCACAGTTTGGACTGGGTTTGAACTGGACAATTTGCAAGGTCAATGAGGAACAATATCAGATGTAAAGTACAGCATTCAAAACATGGATTGTGAAGTAAATGCTATTAAGAAAATGCGCACAGATTATCAAAAAGGGGATTTTTCTTCTCTGTATGCGAGTGTACATAGATCTTTGTCAAGTAGTTCATAAGAATAATTCTACTTCTTGTAGAGTAAATCAAAAGAGGATAACATGGAGTTTTTGGCAAAAAGACATTTAGTCATTCAAAAATATACTGGCCCATAAACAGTATTATGAATTGTGAAGTAAATACAAGCTACTCCCAAAATTATATCCTATGTATCATATTTTGGGCTAGGTCTCATACGCAAAGTAATGGCATCTTCGGGACAAAACTAATTGTTGCTTGGAATTAGAAAATTATTACAGGGCACGTGCATACTAAATACACATAAAACACATATAAGAAATTACTATAAAAAATGAACTCTGGATACAAAAGTAACTAGCTCCTAGAAAATCTTTTTTTCTCTTTTTGTAAGCATGATTTTCCAAAATTCCTGTCTACCAAACACAAAAATTTAGCTCAACTTTCCTCCTCTTGTCATCAATAACTAAATAGCTTCAAGACAAACAGGGAAAACAAACTACTATGAACTTCACATATCCTAAGCTTGAAGTCAATGCAAAGACAGATCCACTCACCCATCAGTTGGACTATTTGTAACATTCAACTTAACAGGATGTAAAGGATGTTGAATAGTTACCCAAAACCTGAATAAGAAGAATCAAATGGTTAAGCCAAAGAAAAGCCATAGTTTAAAAGATGACAAAGAATCTGCACTGTTAACCATAAGCAAAGTGAGGCAATAGCCATTACATCAATAAGGTCAAGGTAAAATGCCGAAAGCCATATGGTCAAATCAGGCATAATCATTATGTTGGGACGGATTTTTGCCACTTAGATCCAGCTAATGTCATACCAACCACTAAATTATACCCCATAATGATCTAAACACATCCTCTCCTCCTTGCCAAAATGGCACCTTCAACTACACTCATAAATCATTGCCAGTGATGCTCAAAAAAGCAAGCAAACAAACAAGAAGAAAGACACTCTAAGCCCAAAGTGAGACCTAGTTGACACCTGAAAGACATGTCTGCTCAATATCGATTCTTTAATTTTGGTTTCTTCTGACTAGTACAATAGCTTTATTCAAATTTAGCTTCTTTTAAAATGATTTGAATGGTCAATTTCAGATTATTCAAAAGATGACATACTATCCAACGATTATACCAGAAAATAAATGTCATGTGAAATAAGAATAGCCTGTACGCTGAGTAACTCAGAATCTAAAGTTATCATCTTCATGACATACAATTTTCTCAAATATTATGACATTTAAGAGAAGCTAACCATGGTATTGTAAGCTAACGACTAGGAGAGATTAGCAACCCAAAGGGAAAAAATGTTCAAATGTTCCAATGGTACATAAACTGAGTATAGGAGGTTATAGAGGTCATAACACCAAAATGACATATCGCATTGATGCACAAATGCAGTGATATGAAATATGCTAACATCATAATATGGAAGATTTAGCCCAACTTAGAAATGAGAAGAAGTTGGGAGAGAGGCTCAGCACGTATGAGTTAAACAAACCCCAAAAACCCAAAAATAAAAAAATAATAAAAAAAGAGAAAAAAATTGGCTTCGTGGAAAAATTAATTATAAAGAGTTTTTATAACAAGAGAATACTGGTGCCACATACGGATCAGCCCGACTTAGTCGACACATTTCACAATAAAATAATTCGGGAACTGGTAGATTGCCTTCCACAGGTTTCTCTGGAATAATAACACAACTCATGTGTTGCCACACTTGGCATCTTGGATCTTCACACTGCCATTAAAGCAACCAGAAAAGGGAAAACCATAAGAAAGGCACAGTGAAGGTGTTCAAATGAGAAAAAGTTTCATGTAGAAAAAGTAGGTCAAATGACAAAAGGACTGGACATATAGAAGGCTTGTGTTTGTTAATCAAACACTTGTTTGTGTGTTTAATACTACAAAGAACCATGCTACATCTAAGGAGACTCAAGAAAATATGAAAATTTGAAGCATACCTTGATCATTGACTCTGTTTCTAATAAACGCCCACAGAGACAGCGAACCTTTATATCTGACTGAAAGGGATCCTCAATTTCACCTTTTATTTTCACATTACTGCTGTCAGAGATGCATTGTCCCTTTGATGCTAAATCAGGGGCCCCAGAAATCTGCATTTTTCTGGAGAAAAGAAAACACGAGAAAGTCAGAGGAAAGAGAAGTAAACACACACACATCTGATTACATAGCTTATGAAACATGTAGGAGAACTGCAGCTCTACATGATATCATTACAAGGGATAGGTCAGTAACTAAGGAGTTAACTAAAACAAAAGGCAAAGCAAGCGAATATTCCAGCCCCTTAATAAAATCATGCAACAAATATATGAAAAATATGAGAACATACCTATAGGTGTCATCTACAAGTTCCGCCACCTGTTCCTTTCTAACTGTATTCTTCTTTGGCCACATTTTAGAAACTGTACATAAATAGAAATAAATACAGTACTATCTTTTAAAAGAATCAGACATGGAACATATACAAATAATTAAAATCATTTGAACATATGATGTTACAAACTCACACAAACAATTATTCAACCCACCCCATCCCCCAAAACCAAACCAAAAAAAAAAGAAAAAAGATTAAATAACACAACCCAATCATAAAAAATTAAAATTAATACGGTTCAGCTCATAGAAGTTAAAGCCAAGGACAGTTCATTCAAGAAACATATTTGGGTAGAGAATAAAAAGGAAACGATCATTAGGATCGAAGATTTTAAAAATCAACAAACTATCAAGCTGTAGAATCACTTGATTCTATATTGTTATTTGTGTCTCAACAATTGAATGATTGGATGACAACCCTTTATTCTATGCAAAAAGATTTAACAGAAGTGTAGATAGCACCAATTTACTTCCACTGGATTTACAACTAAAATGTCCTCACCGGTTTCCTGAACTAGAAAATGTTCTTCCGGAAAAAAGAGTCATAATTCTAAGATTCTCAAACATCAGATACAAGAGCCCCACTCATTTCTAGGTCAGTACAATACAAGACAAATAGCAAATTAAAGCCACTTCATACAAAGTACCATTAGTGTTATACATATGTAGCACGCTGAGGATTCACAGCACCGAATAATTTATTATAGAGAATAATTGAGAACAAAATAGTCATAATTTCTTCAATGTACTACATGATGGATGATGAAAAGGAATTATCCATGTTTACCCCAACAGATTAGCTACATTTATAAAAACAAACAGTATACCCAATCAGGACTGTTATTGGAACAATTAAAGCATCTGAACCAGGAAGAAAACAATTGGTAAGATCCATTTACCTTGATCTTCAGAAAGAAGTGCTAATATCCGGTCAACAAGATCCTGCATAATAGACATTGGTGAATCAGTCAATGGTCTTCCCTTACAACATTCAACTTAAAAACCAGGTAAAATGGCTCAGAAGATACCATGGTAAAAAGTAGGCTATTTTTTATGGCAATGAACAGGCCACATTTGGCCTAAGTTTACTTATTTTATACAAGAACAGAAAATTCCAGCAAAAAATATATCCAAATAATTTGACAGATCCATGCACTCAAATGTCATCACGGAAAGGACTAACAATAATAAATCCATCTTGACTGTTGCAATATTTTCATAGGATTGACAGTGGCAAACTTAAGTGATCGGAGGATTTTTTTTATTTTTTTTGGGGTCGGGGAAAGAAACAGAGAGACTAGAATTAACCAGGCAACTCGGATAGTCATCAAGAATAATAGCACAGAACACAATATGCAATCATTTCTTTCTAAAACACAACAATAATTACATATCAAGGAAAAATTCAATCCAACCATAACAAATTGCACCTAAAGTAAAATATAGAACATATTAACAAGGTCTAACTTCTTTCATAGGAGTATTAACAAGAACCATAAGAGCCACAAAAACATGACTTCCTGTGAACTCCAAAAATTTATGCCACTGTGGCACAAAATGCAGTGGCAAGGTGAGCACATGGATAATATCCACAATCTATGGGAAACCAACATCGCAACACAAAAGCGGTCTTTCTGGCATCTCACCTGCTTCTTCCCCTGCTTTGAAAGGCTTAATTGGGTGAGAACATCCTTGAGCTCTTTTATTCGAAAATACGCCAATTTTTCCTGCATTAGTAAACAAAAATTCTAATAAGTTCACCGCAGCAACAAGTAACATTCAACCAGTGGGGACACCAAAACAATTCACTGCAATAGTAAGCAAATATGGAGGTACGAATAACAACTCCAATAACTAACTGCAAAAGTACGAACAAACACCGATATAATTAACAACCGCAACATCATACCCTCTCTACCTAATTTTGACTTCCTACTGTGAAAATAAATAGCTAAATCACTCTTTTCTCAAAAAATTCATCGTATCTGCACTACTACCTACTGTTGTGATTCTGAAAGAAATAAGTCACTAACTCCTTTGACAAACCAAACCATGCTAACAGATAGATGATGCTTTAAACAAACAAAATTAGACAGACTGTACAAGTGACCATATACAACACAATCTCTCTCTTTTTCCTTCAAATGATAGAGCCAGTAAACCCAAACACACTCATCCAAGAAAAACTGTAGATAGATATTATGAATTTCAGAAGCTCAATTTAACATAAAAACTGTCTGCTTCAATGAAATTAAAAGTTGCATGAGATACTTTAACATATATAAAAAAATTATGGGACATGGAAAAAAATAAAACTTGCAGCCAAGTATGTAACTAGATTTACTACACTTTCTTAAAAGCTAATTCCCCATCAACACTACTTGCCCGACCATTCGTGATCAAACTGTATTCGAGTAAAATGTCTTTGCTTGCTTCTTCACATTTCTCTATAGTTAAATCTTTCTTCTTGTGTCATCCATTCATACCTTATGCAAGTCACACAAGCAACAATAAGGGAAAAATTAACAAGAACCAAAAAGATATCAGACCCAACTACATTATGTCATATACTAATTGGATAAAAGACAAACCAATTGACACACATAAAGCTGCTAATTAAGCTTATTTCGACTAATGCTTACAATCCTGCCAGTTGCATACTGGTTGACTAAATTCACTAAAGTAAAACAAGACCACAATTGACTAAATTCACAATAGCAAAGTAAAATTTCTGAAGCAAATGTTCTGCCAAATGCCAAAACTACATCCACTACAATACAACTACAAAATTGCATCCATCAAATTGCATAAGAATCAACACAAACTTAATATCCCAGCAAATTTCAGAACAATAATCATCAAGAAAAAAAATGTAATCAAATTGCAACAAATCAACTAAATACCTTGCAACTAGATACCAAATCCATTTTCACCACCAAAAATTAATGCCCAAGAAGTACAAAATCTTCACCGGACCAATTATTTAATCAACCACCAAACCAAACATACCAGCACATAGCCTCCACAGGGATCGATCTAACCAAAAAAAAATCCAAAAACAGATTAATCAGAACCAGAAAAACAAAAACAAAAACATTTCAACTGAAAGTCCCGGATTGAATAGCAACAACAGCATGCACACACAAAAAAAAACCCTAGAAACCGATTGAAATCTTACTTGGGTGAACGAATTGGGGGACGAAGTTGAGGGTTTTTGCTAAAGCCGACTCTACTCCTCTTCGTCCCTGTTGTTATTGTTTCGCGTTTTGCGTTTCTTTTTGACCGAGACCCAACCAGAACCAATCCCCCAATTACAAAAGTTCGGACGTATCGCCGATTATCCAATCCGGATTTTTCACGGGGACAGGTCCGGGTTCGGTTTCGGTGCGCTCACGTGTATGTTGTATGCCACGCCCTCCCAGCTCTGGCTTCTTTTTAGCCTTAGGTACGGCTACGGTGCGGCTCTTGGGTCTGATGGAATAGTCCTGTACCCCGCTAAGATCTCGCCACGTCAGCAATCACTAAATAAATTAAAATAATGGCTTTTATTTATTTATTAATAACCGTACAATTAGGTGTTCGATCATAGTGGACTGGAAAAAAGCATGCACGAGAGAATCAGGAAAGATGGAGGAAGGAGCACGGAACGATCGCTTGTGGGTCCCGCAGGAGTACCAAATTTTCTTTTTTTTTGGCACATGTATGAATTATTTATATAGAAAAAATTACTAAATTTCTTTTTTCTTATATGGTTTTATTTTTATTTTTTTTGGTGGAGAAATTATCAAAAGGCAGGTGGGAAACTCCGAGCGCCGCGTTAAAAAGGTGGACAAAGCGAGAGGGGGGCCCACAGAACGAAAAAGTAGAAAAAGTCATTCCAACAAATTGAACGACTTGAATTTGAGATTCTCCACAAATTGCTTGGTAAAAGTAAAACAATTGGATTTGGTTTCAATCGCACTTCTGATTGCATTAGTTCAAATGAGATTTTGTAACGATTTCTATGGGATTGTAATATCTTAAGTGCTATCGGGAGGTTGACAAGTGTCCTTGCGAAACATGAAAGTTTCCAATTGGTCCTCTTCCCCTCAATCATCATTCAACTATGCTTGGAATGTCTAATAAGACCATTAGCTCCCGCTGGTCTCTCGTCTTTTGGTGTTTAGTTAATGTTGCTTTTAATTTAGGTCATGTTGTAATTTTATGTTTTTTCGATCTTACAGTTGTACTTATTTTCATTTAAAATTAGCATCTTCATACGCGCTTCCGCTCCTAAGAGAGGTTTTTTAAAATTAAAAAAAAATTATTTTAGAATTAAAAAAGATAATGGGTAATTGTGTTCCATAAAAATAGGATCTATAATCTTATTTTTATTTTAATATGAAAAAGTTTAAATTTACCATATTATTCTTATTTAATGTCATTTTTTGGTATTTTGAATGTTTTATCATTCTCACTTTTTGCTTTATATATATAGAAGAAATAAAATAAAATAATGTTTTCGTAATTTAACTATATGAAAAAATATGAGTGTAACAAATAAAATTTAATTGATGATGTTAATAAAGTTATTGACTTAAATTTTGATTATGAGATTGGGTGAAAAAAACTATTTGAGGTTGTTGTATATATGACTAGTTGTATGAATCCATTCACATAATGCATAATTTATGACATGGTATGACATAATTTTAGTCAAATATCTTATTTGAAAAATTCATCCACCGACAATTTGATTTGACTTGGCTAAATTATTCTTTATTTTATTGTAAACTTTTCCGGTCTAATTCGAACCAAAAATATTGAGTAAAAGATAGGATGACAATATCGCTAAACCTCTAAACTATACCTCATTGACTACATATCTAATTTAAGTCATGAGTAACGGATTGTTGCACCATAGAATGTGTTGTTTTTATTTATTTATTAGAATTTGTTGTTTTATTGTTATGATTAAGGTTTATTTCTCGATATTTCATGAACTTTCTTATAACTTTGGGTTCTAAATAATTGTCTATTTGGACATCAATTATAAATTTTTGGTGTTACGTAAGTCAGTAAGGGTGGGTAGGGTCTGGATTTTACCTAGCAACCGCGGCTAAACCAATTACAATATAACATTTTGGTTCGGTTTAATTTTGACAAAAATCATGAAAGAAACCAAACCAATTTAAGATGAGTTGGTTAAGCCGATTTGGGCCTAAGCCCAATTCTGTTTCAATTTACATTTTTTTCAACATTATTAGCCCAATTACAATCGAAACACTTTCAAAACACTGTAATTTGACTCATGAATGAATGAAAAAAATATGTAAGCTCTTTTAATTCATTAAATGCTTAAAACCTGTTGATTTGCTAACAAATCAAACACTGGGGTGTAATAGCAAGTCTCTGATCTCGTGTGGCAAGTATGTCCATCAGGCTTCCCAAGGTAAATTATCTGAGAAATAAGTAGGGGAGTAATAAATCAAGCACATAAACATAGATTAAAAAATATATTCTAATTAAACTAGCAAGCAACGTGCAGAGTCTCGATCACAATTTTACACTATCTAACACTGTTTCAACCTGAAATAATACTAACAAATATTACAGTCGACTCTCATCCATTTGCATATCCAAAATTCTAAAGGGAGAGACCTTTTGAATGCACACTCGGAGAAAGTTTTCAAGAATGCTTCGGATTGTTATCACCATTGAGAGTTTTCAAACGCTAAAGGAATCCCACTTGGGTTTCATTACTGTGTAACCAAATCAATTATCCTTTTCACATTACAAAGCCAATCCAGTTGAAATAGTAGATAAAAAAATAATAAAAAAAGGGAAACTGAAAGGGAAAAAGCAGAGCGGAATGCTAAGACATTGACAAAATCAACTCAGATTTGAACATGCTTTTACAAACAACTCAATTCATAAGTAAGTAAAACTAACCAATCTTAAAAATGCAAACATCTCAATTCAAGAATCATAACATGCTTGAATTTGCATTGAAATTTTTACGTCTTATGCCATGTGTTGAAATAAAAATACAAAGAGTCAAATCAATTAACACCACCAACGGCAGAACCAAAAAAACCCAACTTTACCAAACGACTCTAAATCCGAAAATCAACAACTCTCCCCACCCCCTTCTCTCTCTAACAGCTTCAACAAATTCTTAGAGAAGCCACTAAAATTCATATCCAACCCACCAACTTAATCAAATTCTTAGAGGATATAAATGCTAAGTTTTCACCATCAAAACCCACATCAGTGCATTCCGGTATCACATGATTCAAATGTGAACAAGAGATGTGGGTGCGTTTGTGTGCTGATATACCAACTCACCTTCAGACTTAGAGAAAGAGAGGCGTAATGCTGCTGCTGCTACTCTGTGCTGACGATAAAACAAGCGTATGTATCGAATGTAGGCACGTGTGCGTGCTCTCTAATTTTACAGGCCCCACAGCAATTCCAAACCCAACCCAAATTTTGGCCCAACCCAAGCACGTCTTTGTATTGTTATATTCAGAAATTGATCTTCACACCCAATTTTAATGCCAAATCTGCCCTTATTTTAAATGAAAAATGACACTTTAGAGCATCTCCAATATGTCAAACTGTCACATTGACATGAAATGGCAAAAATTGGGGGTTAAAGTTGCTCCAACCGAGTAGTCAAATCCTGCATAGATTTGAAGGCTGGAAGATATATGTCAAAAATAACATATCAAAAAGCTTGATGTCAAATGTTATTTTAATATTTTTTTAGTCATGGACCCTACTATCATTTACATTTTTTAAAAACTTGATGCATCATATGTGCCTCATTTGCTTTTAAAAATATAATACAATAATATGATATTTGGCATTTCGGGTGGGGTTAAATTTTTTCCAAAGTTTGAAGATCAACTTTCTGAGTGTGAAGAGTTAGACAATCATCTTATTTAAAATTTAGATATGATCACAAGTTATAGTTTTATGATTTACATAAGTAAATTAGTAGTACATCTTTGTAGCTTTGTTTCGTGTTATTTGGAAACGACTTGATGGGGTTAAGTGGTGGGTGTATGTTTCCTTCTCGATCAACTAGCTTTCGGCCTAGTGCTTTATTTTTCAGTTTTTTTTTAATTAGATTTCACAATTGAAAAAAATCAAATTATAAAAATCTTCTATCGAGGTAAGACACATCTCACTTATGATGCTTCCTATCAAATTTGTCCCACTTCTATTTAAGGGCCGAGCCCTAATTTTATTTTGAGAGGGTCATAACTAAAATAAAAAACAAGTTTTATTTTCACAAGTTTCTTTTGATGTATGCAATACAACCAACCTTAACAAAATACACAAAATGTTTTATTATTGAAACATCAAAGAAAATTAAATATCAATGAACCAAACTTTGCACCGATGATTCTATTGATATCTTATTTAGGCTGTAAGAGTTTTAAACTAATTGATCAAATTTTGTAGGCTTAATTAGTTTCGTGGGTTGGATTTCACTTATATTTTATTTGCAAGGCTTCTTGTTGGAAAGGTATCATTTGAAGATTATGTTTTCCTCTACTTATTTAGAATCAGAGGAACCATTATAATGTTTGATGACTCCTCATTGTCCTTCACCATTTGGCATCGTTCCCTATATATTATCAATGTTGTTGATGATTGACTGCTGAATAGGTGAGAGACCCACCTTAAACTAGTGCTCTTCTAATATGGAAATTTCTATTTGAGAATTGGGAAAACCCAAAATGTTTATGATTTTAGGTCAAGTCAAGGAGGACATGCATGGATTCTGTGTGAGTTATTAGATATTACAAAAGGGACTATATATCACTAGGCATGTTGCATGAGAGCTCTAGAGGAGGAGTGTCACAAATTGACCAAAACATTTTATCGTCTTATCATGAGTTAATTTAAGCTGTAATGGTGGACCTAAATACCGATTTTATAGTCTTCATACGCCTACGTACACTTTCATGACAAAAAAATCATCATCCATAAATAATAGTGGATTTCATAATACGAACTCTCATGAAAAAAAATCATTCATAAAATAATATAGTGAAATTCACAGTAAATTCTACTTCAAATATTTTTTTTTCACTTTTCATTAATGGCTCCATTAGGTGATCTTTGTCAGCTAATTTGTTTTTTGTTTTTTCATATGCTGGTTTGCCTTCTTGCCCTATAAGATTTCCAAAAATGATAATTCGAGCAAAACACAATGATCAAAATATCCAACCTATTTTTATTGGCATGGACATGATAAGTTAAGAATGGTTTATTTTTATCTACCATAGACAAAATTTCATTAATCATAAAATGAAGGAAGTTGAGGTTTCACCCCAAAATCAATGGATAATAGGAGGAATGTCGCAAAATATGGGACAAAACATTGCACATGTGGCCGTTGAACCCAACACGCGAAACCTTGCTATAATGCCACGAACCACAAAACCACTTTTCAATGTGGACAAACACATTCAACATAAAATTTGAAAATTGAATGGCTATTAAATATTTTATTTAACAATTTCTCAGCAGTATTCTCTTCTTCATGATCTTCCCCTACAATTAAAAGCAAAAAGAATTAAATAAATAAATAAAGAGAATTAATGAAAGGGTAGGATGGTCATTCAACGGAAAAAGAATTTGCTTGTGCAAGGCGACACCATGTTAGCAATTGCTCCTCTCTAAAAATCCCCAAGCGTCTCGTTATCCTCAACCTCTCCTCCATCTCACTCTTCAGACTCAAGTCGGCGGCGAGAGAGATCCCCCCATATATTCTTCACTTTGAGTTTCTTAGGTTTGTATCTCTATCCTCCAGTTATTGCTTTAAGCCTTTGTACCCATTTGAATGTTTGTGGCTTTAAAGTTTGGTTTTGTTATTTGTTTTATTTAAGTTAATTGATGAATTGGGTTTTATTCAAAGATGGGTTTTAGACTTGGTTTTCTTGTAGAAATTGCATGTGGGTTTTAGGTGTTCTGTTGATGAGTATTATTGTTTGCTGGTCGAATACAATCTTGTATCTGCTACTGGAAGATCTGATCTGATTGGTGCTTCTTGACATTTGTTTATGGTGTTTCTTTTCAAATGTTTGTGTTATATATTATTAGGCTTCATTATCTGGTTTGTGGATTTTATCAGTTCCATGTGACTCGTTCCCTTGAAGCAAAATTAATAGGTGTTGCTTTTCATAATTGTTACTTTGGTTTTGAATTTGTGATTTTTTGAGCAGTTAATGGAGTCGAACCAAGCCAAACCCGGCCTACTGTGCAACCCTGAAGCCTCTCAGAGAACCCTGTATTCTATTCTCATACTTCTGGCTTTTCTCATTTTTAATGTTAAATGTATGATGCGTATTTTTGGTATGTGTAGACCTAAAGATCGAATGGAATGATACATAGACAAGTAAATCCCTTAGTAATTTTAAAGGACTCCTTTACTTTAATGTAAGAGGATTCATCATTCGAAGGGAAGTAGACTACTCAAGAATTTCACATTTCGTTTATTTTATGTCAAAATTGAATAAAGAATTCAGAAAATCTAATAGTAATAAAATAAAAAGAAGAAGGAATCATGAAATGTTGCTTGATCTTCTTTGGGAACTCGAGTAAGGAGTAGTTGGGGTTTTATAGAATTTTAAAGTGGGAACCCCTCTCTTTATCTTTATTTGGTGTAACTACTTGAGCCGGATGAGAGGAAACTTTCACGTCCGGTTTTGGAAGGGAGAGATCCTATAGGATCCTATCCAATTTTCTTTTGCTAGGCCCATGGCTAAAAAACCTACTTTCTTACAATTATGAGGTTCATTCGAATATGAAATCCAATCATGGGGTTTTGGGGATTTTGCTTTTTATATGACATTTCAATCCTTTAATTCTTTTTTTTAAAAATATATTTTTTGCAGGTACCCATATGTAACATCTGTGGTGGCTCAGAAGTACAAAGATGGAATTTTGATGGCTGCTGATATGGGAGATTAGCTGCCAATCCAATTTAGATTGTGTTTCAAATTTTAATTATTTTTTGACATAAAGGTTAAAGTCCATCGCTTTATGAACAATGCTCATCATCTCTCTTTTGGAGTTTCAATACTGTTTATGTTGCCAAATTTAGACACCCATGTATGTTCCTTTTCATGTTTCTGTTTAGGTTTGTAACAATATGAAATGATGCATTTACTAATAGGTTCTTATGGGTCTACCCTGCGATGCAAGAGTGTGGAACGAATGAAGCCTATTGGAAAGCATTCTCTTCTTGGTGCAAGTGGAGAAATAAGTGGCTTTCAAGAGCTATTACGTTATCTTGATGAGCTCATGTAAGCATTGTTCTCAAGAAAAATTATGTACAAGATACCTTCTCTAATGCTTTCATTGTGATTTTTGCTATGCTTCTTGGTATCATTTGCAACTGGAGTTAAAAGGATTATTCATTTTGAGTTTTATGGTTGTAGCCTATATGACAACATGTGGGATGATGGCAACTCTTTGGGACCTAAAGAGGTCCACAACTATTTGACCCGTGTGATGTACAATAGGCGGAACAAGTTCAATCCACTGTGGAACTCTCTTATCCTTGGTGGAGTGAAAAAAGGACAAGTACCTTGGGATGGTAGGTCTCTATAATCCTTCCCTTAACACGTTGTAGCATGCTGTGTGCAATTAGGAAAGCTGATTATTTATTTATTCAAGAATAAAGTTTCTGAATGAGCTGACTTAGTTACTTGTCATATTCTTTTATCCCTACCCAGGCTAGCATGATTGGTGTAAATTTTGAGGACAATCATGTAGCTACAGGATTTGGAAATCACCTTGCACGGCCTATTCTTCGTGATGAATGGCATGAGAACTTGACTTTTGAAGAGGGTGTAAAGCTACTGGAGAAATGCATGCGTGTCCTTCTCTATCGTGATCGGTCTGCTGTCAACAAGCTTCAGGTATAATAATTAATTAATCTTATTTACTCTTATCTTCTGTCATCCTATAATAATAACAGTGCTATAAGCTATCGATTCCATAATATTAAGGCTTGTAAGAAATTATGATTTGACTAGCAATTACTGAGGGCCTTCTTATCTATCTGTCTTTTTATTTTTTTTGATCTGCTATATAATTCACCTATCTGTTATCTTTAATCGTCTTTAACATTTATAAACCTTTTTAAATATGAAACCTGGTAAACCTTTTTAAATATATTTGAAGTGTTTTGTTTGTAACTTCTCTCTCTCTCTCTCTCTCTCTCTCTCTCTCTCTCTCTCTCTCTCTCTCTCTCTCTCTCTCTCGCATACACATGTTCAAGTAGGTTTTCACTAAACTTTTGTCACTCTTGATCTTTCTAGTTTGTCATGTAAGAAACTCTCATGAGCCTGATAAGTATTGTAATTCCCTTTCACTGGTGAAGTGCTACTTATTTACTGGACTATTAATTGGGCTTTAGCTCCGGAAAGTGTTTAAAGTGGAGACAGAGGAAAGGGAAGGAAAAGTATTATGCTAATGAACATAATTGCATGGTTTTGATTTCAATTTTCTGTCAGAATATTTTCCTATTTCTACCCAACAAGTTTTCTAACATCTGTTCTGTATATATTTTATGCAAATCAGAAATCACATTGTACAATGAGTTGCTTGGTAGAATTTACTCATCGTTTCTATTGGTCATACTTATAAAAGGAAGGATTTAGGTGATGATGGGTCATTTAAGAGGGAAATTGTTTTCGATCTTTGGATGTGCTTAATGCTAGATATTGTGTGGTTATGAACATCACATGATTTTAAACACCACCTTCGTCTCTGAAGAGGTGCTGAAGGTTTGTGGCATATGTTTGTAGATTTAGTTTGGTGTGAAACAATTTCCTCCGTTTTGCCTCCTTTGCTAGTAAAGTGAAAACACTTATTTCTAGAAAGTTCTATTAGTAAAGTGATATTGCACATTTGCACACATCAGATAACTGCAATGAGATATTATTTTTGTTTTTAAAAGTGAAACTAATAGTTTGGAATTGGCATAGTAGTTGCAAGGCCAAAAAGGAAAATCCAACAATCAGTGTTTAAGGATCTTGATAATTTTGTGCATTGTAAGGGTGGAGTGTATTGTTTTGCTTGAACATGGATTGGCACTTCCTTGTAAGATGACACACTTTAAACTTTGAAATTGCAGATTTCCAAAATCACTGAAGAAGGTGTAACCATCTCTCAGCCCTACTCTTTGAAGACTTTCTGGGTTTCTCTCCTTTCGAAAATCCAACATTGGGTGCTGAAGGATCATGGTAGTTGAATAGAGGCATGGCTTCTGAACATGAAACCGCCAACTAGGAGCTAAGTTGAACTTTAATGTGTTTCTATAGTTATTGGAACCAAGAATTTGTAACAATGTTGACTCGAATATAGCTGGTTGGCTTTTGAGAAACGTTTTAGCTATAATACCCATCGTTTTCTTAAATTTGGTGTTGCAGCATCCAACGAGTATGAACTTATTGTAGTGACACTTAAAGCAATGTCTATTTTCCTTTGAATCATTTGGCCAGTATGCGGTTTGAAGATCATATAATCGGTTGCGGAATGCATACATGCATACATTTATATATATATATATATATATGCAATAATAGGAATAGGAATTCTATCTGGCATCTGGTTTTCTTTGTTTTCATACAAAATAGAGTGGTCTTTTTCTAGAATTTTTGGGATACTGGGGACAGTAGGAGGATATCATGGATTGTTGTTAAGCAGGAGAAATGAGTTCTTGTCTGTTCTACACGGTATTGAAGCTCCACAGTGCTTCTTTGTGGTAGGAGTGTTTTTTAAAGTTGAGCTAGGAGGGGATGGTTTTAATCAGTCTTTGACAATTGGAAAGTTTCTTTAGATTATACAATATTTTTGGAGCCGTCAGATGTGAAATGTATGATCTAAATTCTTTGTGACGAGACGATTATATTTATGCTCTCCAGATGGAAGGCAAAACTGTCAGAAGCTTGAAACACTTGACCAAAATTGTTCACGTCCTGGGTTACTGTCGAAGAAAATTAGCGTTTTACAAGAACAGATATTGCTTCAATATCTTAACGCAAACAGTATCATTTTGATGGATAATGTCTACTTATAAAACAGTGTCTCGATTGAACATACATTGAAAGTTTATAGCGTGGTAATGGAACACTGTCATGTGGTATGATCAATCTATGTGCTATAATTAAGTGGGCGACAAAAGTTTTACTTTAGGGTATAGTATTATAACTGATTTATGTGTAAGCAAGTAAACAACCTTTTCATAATAATAAGGGAAGCTTACCAACCGGAAAAGAAGTCCCAAGGAAACCAACTAAACCCGGACTTACCCGGAAACCAGGAAAACAAGAAGAAGTAAGAACAAGGAAATAATTCCCAGCTTTTCTCGCTACCCCTCTCCCCCCTCTGACTGAGCTATCTAGCTGCATGCACTGACACAATCATTATCTGAGGGCCTATGATCATCCAAAAGCAGTACCTGGCATACTCCTAATAATCAAAAGAATATGGATGAATCTTGGCTAAGCATACATAGAAGCAAAAACAGAACATTACCTGGATCTAGCTTTCTGGTATGCCCGACTCATTTGAATCTTAGACCAACAAATTAACAATCAAAATGAATTTTAGGTAAAAACACTTCATTTCCAAGAGAGTACATGTAATGTTTACAATAATTTGGATGAGTTATCAACTATCAAGGAATATTTTATATGAGATGACATTCTTTATTGTTATGGAAACAAAAAACAAACAAACAAAATAAAATAGAAACATCGGTAACCAAGTTTTATGCAGCTAGTTGTTTAGATGCTTGTAAGCTTGGAAGTGTGGGCTCCTTCTTATGCTTTTCTTGGGGGAAAATATCATGCCATGAAAGTCTAAGCTTGTCACAGAAGAAACCGAGAGAACTTGCACCAGAGACATTTATGAGCTGAAAATGCAGGCATTTTGCACCTGCAAAACAAAGAGTAAACAGAAAACTGTAAGGATGAGAACAAAATGAAAATACTACTCTTCCGAAGTGTACTAAGTTTGCTGTGCTCTTAGTATTTTGCTAAGACAAAGAAAATTGAACCCCATTTTCATCAAAACTAAAACTTCTGGTTGCCATTGTTTGCCGCGGTAGTGGTTTTCATGCATATGCAAGGTTTCCTATGCAGAAGAGATGACGCTGGCGTCCCAGCGCCCCCCAACAGGGTCATGAACGACGACGGCGCCATCTCTCCTGCGTAGAGAACCTCTCAATGCTTTAGTCTCCTTCCATCTATGATTTGGTTTTGCTCTACAAAAGAGGTATTTTGTAGTAACCCATCATGGCTTTGAATATTCTGTGTACTTATCCAGACTGTCTCCAGCCATGTATACATATATATATATTTCCATGAAGTAAAGACTCAGCCACAAGCATATATCAGCCCCAATAAACCAGTACACAAAATTTACATGTTACATATATTTTCATGGAACTAATAATTATAAGAAAATAAAATTCCATTTAATTATGAGGTCATTTGCGGAACGTCAGCCGTACCATATATAAGACAGGAGCTAAAAGGAGACCTATGCTAGCTACTAGCTAGTGTCGGGGGTATCTTGTCAGCTCGGCAAAACTCTAAACTGCATCATTATCCGCCGCAGCAAGTGCTGGCCCCACCAATTTATATAGCTTAAAGACAGAGCAACCTGAACCACAAACACAAAAAGCAGCTAAAGCAGCAATTGATGCATGGAGTTAAAAACTCTCTCTCTCAATCACTTCACAAGAGAAATGCTAAGCTGGTCATCAAGTGGACTGATAAAAATTTACAAGGCATCAACAGTTATGTAATTGGAAGCATCAGGCTCACCAAATTCCTATTCATCTAAGTAGTGTCACTTGATTGTTATAAATATGGGAGAATATCTGAAAGTGAAGGATGCTATGCGAGCATCGACATGTCTTCTAATGATCTGAATCATCCTCGTTGTTTAGTCAGTTGATTACCAACAAAATAGTTTCCTTTTAATACATGTTGTATTATCGATTTAGCTAATGTTTCACAAGGAAAACCTTAAGAAGCGACCTGAAAAATAGGCGACTACGAGCATTGAGTTGCACTATTGAGTGGTCACATTATGTAGAATCCAGTTCAATGGTTTAAGAAGGAAAAGGGCACAATCATGTCTCAGCCTCTCATGTACTCACTCTTCAAGGGTGCCCTTTATTCAGTGAATAGCATATGCAGGTCTCATTCGTTCATTGAATCCTCCTCAGGATCCATCCATATTGTTATTTACTTTTTTTGGTTATATTGGGAGGAAAGACAACTCACCACCACTGTGGTGGACCCATTGGCATATTGTTATATACTTCATTTTAGGTGAAAGGGTGACTTTGCTACCGATTGTGTACGGTTCCCTCCTCTTGGTAACTGAACCAGCCCCACCACCACCAAAATAGAGAGAGAAGGGGCTAGGGATAATGTTGGGTTTGACCCAAAAAAGAGGAGTATAGTTTCTTGAGGACTTTTCTAAACATTCGAACTCAATGATTGAAATTAAAGGTAAATATAGCACCTTTCCTCATGACTTCATGCGAAGAGGTAAAAACCTATATACTTGCAACCACACCTCATTTTGCAAATCAACAACGAAGCCGGAACGAACAAGATTGAAGATCCTAAATTTGTACAATCAAAGATTGGAATCGTACTAGACAATCATTAGACCCAAAAACTTACTTTGTTACGGAGTTAACCAACAATGTTGGTTGAGCTTAAAAAATCTCTTAGAGCAACTCCAGCGGTGAGCTGAGCCCAAGGCTGGGGGGAGAAATAAAAAAAAACCCAATTCCAGCGAGGAGCCCAAGCCTGGGTTGGGAGTGGGACCCATGAAGACGGGCTGGCCTGAAGGCAACGGTAAAAAAAATTTAAACTCGCGTGCGCTAACGCCAGCCCTGTGGAAGCTCCAACGGGTAGAAGACAGGTGTCAAGCCCTAGGCGCTCCGATCTGCTTCTCCTCCTCCAATCCAACGACTGACATTTTTTTGGCAATAAAATTATGAAAAAGAATCGAATTTTTTAAAAAAAAAAACCAAAAAATTCTGATTTTTTTTTTCTATAAATACCTATCAATACCCTTCACTTTCAACACCAATCCTCATACATTTTCTTCTACTTCTACTATTATTCAATCTTTACTCAACATTTTTCTTTCTTTCAAATTGTATTTTTATTTCTTATATTTATGGCTTCTTCTATCGAAACCAGAGGCGCGTGGAGCACCATGGAAGATGTTTCCTTGTGTGAGGCTTGGCTCCAAATTTGTCATTGTCCCATGTCAGGCAATGAGATGAAATTTTTTCATATGTGGAAAAAAATTCATGCCGAATTTTGTGAAAAAATTCCGGGGTCGACTCGTACGGAAATAGCATTGTCTGGTAGGTGCAAAATTCTCAATAAAGAATTGGAAAAATGGAGGGATGCCTTGGCAAAAACGATGGACAACCATAGAAGCGAGGAAAATCTTAGTAACGAGGTAAGTATTTTGTAATTTTCGTTTTATTATGTTTAATGTCCTAATATATATATATATATTTAATGTTTATTGCATTTTCAATATTTTGTTAATATTTCTTGCATTTCCAATTGTTTCTTAATATTTCTTGCACTTCCAATATATTTGTAAGGTTAATTGCATTTCCATTATTTTTTTTTTGTTACTTGCATATCCAATATATTTGTAAGGTTAATTGCATTTCTATTATATTCCGGCGACGGCCGACTTGTGAACCACGTCGGCGACCTTGGTTCTCTTCATCAAGCAAAGCCACTGCTATGACAACTTGTTCATCTTCTTCTCTCTGCAACATATTTCTTTCATCTGCTTTACGACTTCTCTCATTTGTTTCTCTCTCTTGCCTCTCCAAGCATCTCCTAAAATCTTCCATTTGAGAATGGAGTATGAATTCTAAACTATGAGAAATGAAAATATAGAAAGATGTGGTGTGAGAAGTCTGAGCTGAGCCTCTGGTTTTATAAATTTTTTTTGCAAGATAGAGATGCCACGTGGCTTGATTTGATTGGATGAAAATCTTATTTGAAATTTGAACCCAAATTTATCTGAAATTTGAAATTTGAACCCAAAAATCTTATCCAAAAATTTTATCCGATTATGAATAGTCTTGATATGTAGGAACCCGAAAATCTTATATGAAAATATTATCCAAATTAATTATTGAGGTAAAAAAATTTATTGAAAAAACAAAAAAATGAATAGTAATTGCCCTTTGCCATGGCAATGGGTGGAAACACACAATACTATTTGTAAGGGCAACCACTATTCATGTGAATAGTGGCGGCCCTAACTCCCCCCTTGCCATGGCAAAGGGCAAATGGGTGGAGTTGCTCTTATACTACAAGTCATTCTACTTTGTGAACTTGTAGAATGTTGTAGCTACTTGGCTTTTTTTGTTGTTGCTGACTTTTCATTGCAGATCACTCATCAACTTGTTTCATTTATGATAATGCAGACCCATGAGAAGCTTTTGACCTCTCAGGTTTAAATATCTCATTATACATGCAATAAATAATAGACTAATAGAGCATCCGTGACCACTCTTTGGCCATTCTTCTGGTGCTAGCCTCCCTTAGAGCACTTCCAGCAGTGCTGGCAAACCTGGCGGGGGGGGGGGGGGGGGGGGGGGGGTGGGTCTTTTAGGCGTTTCCAGCAGTGCATGGGAGCCCGGGCAGGAGGTGGGGGCCAGCAGATTGGGCTGGCCCGAGGTGGGGTTCGGCCCGAGCACTTGCCCGCAGGCTGAGCTGACGTCAGCGTTTCAGTTAATTTTTTTTAACGTTGGTGCGTGCGTTGCACCCGCCAACGTTAAAAAAAATTTGACGCGCCCGTTACAGTGCCCCCCCAATGGCTCTCTTCCACATGGCTAGCTCTGGGCTCTCTGATCTAATTTTTTTTCCAGCAATCCAATATACCTAGGACACATGTCCCAAGAGTTTGGTCTCGACCGAAAGGTCGGATTACTCACGATCGTATGATCGGACAGTTACTGTAAACCTATCCCTAGTGTTGGCATTTTCGGAGTATCCGGGACTCCGATTTACAATCCGTCGACTCCTACACGGTCTTGGAATTATCTAGATCAACATATCTGAAAATGACTACGATCCAGCTGCTCAAATGTATCGAACCCTGAAATCGCACACTAGGCGAAATCCGTTCAGGGTTGAAACGTTGTCCGAATTGAAATCTGCGAGTACCTACGCATTCGTGAGGACCAAGGGATTATTCTAGGACTGAATGTGGTCTCCACCATGCTGCCCACGCGCAGCCACACGCGTCGGCAGCGCGTTGGTGACTTGATCAATTCCAATGACTGGAAAACTTTGAAATTGTAAGCCCAGCTTCCTACCCTAGGTTCATAACTTGATTTGGAGCCACTTTTGTTCCTAGACTTACCCCAAAATTGGCCGGAAGTGGCCGGAATTGAGATCCCAAAACCGGCCAAACTCTAACTCGAAAATCGAACTATCTACGCTTCGAATATAAGAAAACCTACCCAATCATCAGCTAGAGCTCGAAGAGTAGATGATATTCCATAACTTGATCACCGAAAATGGCGGTCGGAGGAGAGAGATCGATGCCGTGAAGTTTATGTCAAAACCGGCGAAATTTCGAGCTCTTCCCAACGAAATCCGGCGGTTCCAAGGGCGGGGGCTGGTTGGAAAACTTTGCTGGGGTGGTGGCAGTTCTAACCCGACCGGTCTCGTGGTCGGTGGTGGTCGAATGCGGTGGTTATGGGGAGAGGGAAGGGCGGTGCTGTGTGAAAAACCGAAGGGGGAGGGGGCACGACCACGGGAGAGAGTGAGGAGAGAGAGTTTTAAAAATCTGACTTTTCAAAATTATGATTTTGCCCCTCATCGTATTTTGGTTGTATTTTCTTCGTTATAACTCCAATTCGAGCCCACTACGTGTCTTCGAACTCATACTGACATACTCTATGCAATGTTATAATTGAAATTCCCAATTTCCTTCTCGATCAAAAAGTTAACTTTTAAACTCTTAAATTATTTTCGGGGTAAATTCGTCTTTTACTTGAATAAATTAATAATTAAATATTAATTTAGAATTGGGTTGTTACACGTTTGGCCCTGAAATCTCCCTTTGTTAGGGTCGGGGACCCAACGAAGACCTGCCCTCGCAGAGATTTTTGATATCCCTATTTCCCAATGAACGGGCACCAACCGAGGTTGCAAGCTAAGCAGAAAGTATAAAACTCACATGGGTGGGGGTTAAATTAGAAAATTAGTGTTTTTTTTTTTTTTTAATTAGTTTTGCTTTTTTTGAAAGTAGTTGACATCACCAAAACCTATGGCCTTTCCCACCAAGTTCTCATTCTACCATAACATAATCCATCCTTCTGAATCATGGGTCGTGCTTGATGGTGAAGCTGAATTTGAGCTCAAGCCCTTTGTTTTTCTTCACCTTCTTCATTGTCTTCAACACCAACCCAGATTAAGCAACTAGGGCACTTGGCCTATATCTTGCTAAAAAACCCAACTAGTCGCTCAGCCACCCAACAAATCCACTATCACATTCTCACCTCTGGTTCTCCTCCATCACTCCATTTCAACTGCCCATCTTCTCCTCTTAAACACTTTGCTTCGTTGCTATTCCTTTGGCCCCTTCCCTCGTGAAGCTTTCACTTGCTACAAACACCACCAACATTTTTCCCTTTCCTTCGACTCCTTCACCTACTCCTTTCTTCTCCACGCTTCCATTACCTTAAAATCCAACAACCCAGGTACCCAAATCCATGCCCTCACTCACAAACTCGGTTTCCATTTCAATGTCTATGTTTAAACTACCTTGCTTAATATGTATGTTGCTTGTGGCTCTTTTCTCCTTGCTCTCCATATGTTCTACGAAATGCCCGATTGGAATTCTGTCACTTGGAATTTCATGATAATTGGTTTGGCCAAATGGGGTGAGCTTAAATTGGCTCGGTCTCTCTACTGTTGTGTCCTATACTGCTATTATTGATGCCTACTCCTGAAAGGATCAGCCCCATGAAGCTGTTGCTTTGTTTCGAAGAATGGTTGTTGAAGATTGCATTGAGTCTACTGAGGTTACACTTCTGGCCTTATTTCCAGTTGTTTCGGTTCTTTGGGCTCTTAAATTTGCCAATCTTCATGCTTACGATGAGAAGAGAGGATTTAATGCATCTGACATACTTGTCACCAATTTCCTTTTGGATTCTTATGCAAAATGTGGCTGCATAGAGAGTGCATTGAGATTATATGAGGAGATATCTGTTGAGAGGAAGAATTTGGTGTCATGGACATTTATAATCACTGGGTTTGCAATGCGTGCGATGGGGAAAGAAGCCGTCGAGTATTTTAATAGTATGGAGCAAGTTGGTCTCAAACCAAATCAAGTGACACTCTTGAGTATTTTCAATGCTTGTAGTCATGGAGGATTAATTGATGAGGGGCTGAACTTCTTTGGGAAGATGGTCGACGAGTATGAAATTGCACTAGATATCAAGCACTATGGGTGCTTAATAGATATGCTAGCGAGGGCAGGGAGATTAGAAGAAGCAGAAAATATGGCTTTGGAGATTCCTTCCAATATCGTTAATGTTGTGATCTGGAGGACCCTGTTGGGTGCTTGTAGCTTTCATGGTAATGTGGAAATGGGTGAGAGGGTGACAAAGAAGATACTGGAGATGGAGGGGACTACGTGCTTATGTCCAACATCTTTGCTGGGGTTGGAAGGTGCAGTGATGCCGAGAAAATGAGAAGCTTGCTGGATATATCATCATTCTTGTATAGCTTGAGAGATAAACACACAAATTTCGCCAGAAATCAAAGTCCTAGTGCTAGGACTTTAATTTAGACAGTTGTATCCTGGTGGAGCAAACACCTATAGAACTACAAGAATTGAGTATGGGCGAAATTCTGTTTCAAGGTGATGTAGGGCAACGACTATAAGCTGCTGTCCAGTGACCCAAACATACCCAAAATACAAAGAATAGAAGGATTAAGCAATATAATTGAAGTTGGAAAGAAGATAATTAAGTTATAGGGCAAAATCCCAACATAAACTCTATAGACTAATGTCTGAAATTATATAGATCAACAAAAACTCCTTACAAGAGTCTTTTAATAGCCTATTTATACTAGAACATAGAAAACCTAAGTGACATAGGAAATTAAAAACCTAAACAACAAATTGAAAGGGGTTTACCTCTTCTACAAAATCATCCTTACGACCACCTTCTGGTATGTCTAAAGGTTCGTGGTTGTGTTCCGGAATCTCCATACAAGCATCTACGTGTTCCTGTCTTTGGAAAGCTTGCATCGCTCTCGACAACTCTTCTATCATACGCCACATCTCAGCCATCTATGTTTGTTGGGCTTGGTTCCCTCGTCCATAACCTTGAGCACGTCTAACCATCGTGTGAAGCGAGGATTAACCTAGGCTCTGGTACCAATTTGATGCAGGGCAGTGGCAATAAGCTACTTTCCAATGACCCAAACATACACAAAATGCAAAGAATAGAAGGATAAAACAATATAATTGAAGTTGGAACGAAGATAATTGAGTTCTAGGGAAAAATCCCAACAGAAACTCTATAGACTAATGTCTGAAATTATATTCATCAACAAAACTCCCTACAAGAATCTCTTAATAGTCGTTTTCTTTCTTTTTCTTGAAAGTTTGTTCAAAAGGGTAAAATTGAAACCCAACGTCTAGCTAGAAAAAACATTTAAATTTCCTTTTTAAAAGACATGTTGCAATATCTGGGTGGAAACGTACCATTCTATAACACTAAACCTTGATCAATGGGGCAAAGTGAGCTACTTTAATTCCCGAGAGGCAATATAAGATTTTACCATACTTTAGTAAATGCTTGTTTGGAGTGATTCTGGATATGCCAATAATCACTTCTATGGAGAATCACTTTAAGTGGTTTTAAGTGAATTTATGGAGAAACACCTCCTATATGCTTATCCCCATAATCACTTAAAATCGCTTAAAATGATTATATGGATAAGCACATGGGAGGTGCTTCAGACCTATCTAGAATCACTAAAAATGAGCACTAAATAAGCCTTAAAATGAGATGACTTTAGGCAGAGATCTGGGTTAACAGAAAGGCCTAGAAACAATGTCACTTTTTCAATGCCTATTTCCATCAATGACAGGAGCTCCTGGGTTTGATCGGCGAAGGTAGGCTGAATGCGGCAAAAGACCAAATAGAGCCACCCACTTCAAACTACACGACCACAGCTCCTACAACGTCGAAATATTGTATCGGTTCCCTTTGGAAAATCTGGTTAATTTAGTACATATTGAAATTTATTGACAAACAATTAATTAAGATTAGATTGGTGGTTGTGTTTCAAATTGGTTCTCAAAGACAATGAGCACGAACCGATGTGGAGTCGCACTGTTCCAACTAAAAAACCCATTTATGTTTTATTTTCGATTTTGGGGAGAGAGAGAGAGTGGAGAAAGAAAATGAGAATATTAAATGTTTTAGAAAAATAAAATAAATTAATATGTTAGATCTAATCTCAGCCTTTCAACACTGTGTAATCAAATGATTTTAAAAAAGTTAGGGTTAATGACCTAAATGGTCCTCCAACCATTGCTCGTATCATTTTGGTCCACAAACTAAAATTTTCATTTGAAACGTTCTTAAACTATTTATTTTGTACTAAGATGATCCATCCGTCAAAGTCTGTGTATTGTTCCGTGAAATAGAGGGACAAAACCGTATTTTTAGGTGAGTATCCTCCTCTAAAAGGGTTATTGATTCCAATGGTCCTCCAATTATTGCTCCAGTATCATTTTGGTTCATCAACTAAAATTTTCATTTGAACCGTCCTTCAACTTTTTTTTTTTTGGGTATCAAGATGGTCCTACTGTTAAAGTCTGTCAATTTTATTGCTAAATTGAGGGGTAAAAATGTCTCCATGAATTAAAATAGGAATATATAATTAAAAATTAAAGGAAACTATTATAAAACTTAGAAAATTTAAACAAATTGAATCTCACCAATCATTTTTTTTTTTTTTTTTTTTTTTTTTTTGTGAGACTGACCTAACAATTAATAATAAAAAGTTCTCTATTGTTTAAATTAATTAAAATCACATAAATATAAAAATAAAATAATAAAAATTTTAAAAGAGTAAACAATAATTAAAAATTATAGGAAACTATTATAGGAACTTGTACCTAATTTTAAAATTGAAAAAATTGATCTCACCACCAACATGGAATTTTTTTGCTGACATGGACTTAAAAAGTAATAGTTTTTTTCTCTATTGTTTAAATTAATTAAAAATTTTAAAACAAGATAAATACAAAAATAAATAACAATAAAATAGACGGACTTTGATGGTAGAATCATCTTGATACAAAAAAGAAAAAAGAAAAAAAAGTGGAAGGACGGTTCAAATGTAAATTTTAGTTGGTGGACCAAAATGATATGAAGAAATAGTTGAGGGATCATTTCAATCATTAATCCTTTTTTAAATAATATTTTACTTTTTTGCCCCTCAATTTAACGGAATATTTGACAGACTTTAATGTTAGGACCATCTTGATACAAAAAAAAGAGTTGAAGGATGGTTCAAATGAAAAATTTAGTTCGTGGATCAAAATGTTACTGGAGCAATAGTTAGGGGACCATTGGGATCAATAACCTAAAAAAGTTATATATATAAATACGTTGCATTGCACGCAGGCTCCTCTAATGCCTCACAAATTGTCGAATTTCATCTCTACCTTTTTGCATTCCATAAGGATTGCTCTCGCTGAATCCATTTCGACTTCCTCCTATGCGCATCTTCTTCCGGAACTTTGATGCACTGCTGTTTAAGTTCAAATTCACCTTGGGGGTATTACAAAAGCAAAATGAAGCTGCGACCGCCTGTAGGTATTTTGACATCCCAACAACAACAGCAGAGATTAAAAGATAAATAATTTCCTTTCCAATATCAAGGAAAATTTTGGGTACCTGCAGATCGAGACGGTGAACGTTAAAGATGTCCTTCATAGAGTGTGAATTATATGCTAATAGATAAGATTTATATGCTTCTTTTGCCGCTTGGCGCAGATAGTAGTTGCCCTCAACCATCTTCTCCTGCATCAGTCACGGCAATACATAAGTTTCCTCGGAACCAGTTATTGTGTAGTAATAGGTAACAGCTGAAGCCTGAAGAAAGGAAATTACCAATTGAGACTGCACATTTTTCAGCTTATTCTTATTAATTTGTTGCTCTTCAACGGGGACCTTTTCAGCCTGAAAACAGAATAAAATAAAGAATTTAAATACAGACACCCTTGTGGAAAGAATGGCACTTTTGTTGTGTGTGCTCGTGTGGGGGTGGGGTGCTGGGGTTTCGTTGCTCCTCTTTATTTTTTCTTCTTGACTACATCATACCGTCAAATAGCGAATAAACTGCATCTCTTCGGGAATGAGGAAAAGAAATGCCTTTCCTTTTCCACCTTCCCCTCGAGCTGTTCGACCGACCCTATGGATATATTCCTGCAAGCAGATATCCCAAAGCGTTTAAGAAAGGGAAAAAGAAACGGAACTCAGGAATGGATATATTCACCCTGCTAAAAAATGGATAAAGAAGAACTTTTTGATACAAAACTCAAGTGAAATCTTTTAGTAAAGAAGGAATTAGACACCTTGGGATCATCTGGAGGATCAAACTGCACAATCACGTCCTACAAGCAAAGAAAAAACAAGCATTAGATTTACCACGAGCATTCGCTTATTTTGATGTGACAGAGCGTATTGGCATAACATGATGTTAAAAAAAAGTGTAGGGAAAGTGCAAAAAGAAAGAGGAAGCATACCACAGCAGGAATATCTAGGCCACGAGCAGCAACATCAGTACAGAGTAAGATTCCTTTCTCTGCTTTGCAGAAGTCAAAAAACGTTTTGGTCCTCTTCTGTTGCTTTTGCTTTCCATGGATATCAAAGCAATCCACATTAACGTATCTAAGAAGGTCCGAGTGGAATTTGACTGAGTTACAAGAAGAGAAGAAGACCATCACTTTCTTAGACCGAGTCGCCACCAGAAATGAATATAGGAGAATAAATCTCTCCTCACTGGGCACAATAAAATAGCCTTGTTTCAGCCCTTCATTGGTGACCTGTATATATTGCACACAACGTCAGATTTTAGAGATCAGGGCTAAATCAAAACAAGAAGAAAAAACATATATTTAGTTACGAATACGAAGTAGATTTAATTTCAAAATAGACATGATGAACACAAAATAAATGTAAAAGGAGAAATACGTCAAACCAGCTGAATTCCTACCTTAGTTCTCCCACCATCCACATCAATCAAGTGATATTCTTTCAACGACAATCTAACAAGATCTTGAACCTACAGGTTTCAAGGCATCAAAAGTTAATGAACTATTAACTCTGCGTAGCGTATCAATTTATGCTAAAAATATTTAAAAACAATGTAGAAAGCAAGAGATTGACTATAACATTAAGGATATATATATAGAAATAGAAATATGATGCACAAACCTTCGTAGTTTGGGTTGCTGAAAATAAAGCTGTTTGCCTTTTCTGCACATCCATTAGCAACTCAATCAGCCAAAGGACATAACCACGTAAAATCCATTAACATTAATGTATCTTGGCAGAATGCCGATTATAATCATACACAATTAACAAAACTCCAAGATATGTTGCGAGCTGGATGCATCTACTGTTCGCAGCCTAGAGTCTTCGTAACACAATGTAGATTATTAAATCAAATACTGTACCTTGGGTAGAAGCTTAATAATCTGTTTCATTTCTTCCTCAAAGTTTGCTTCCATAATCCTGTCAGCTTCATCAATTATGAGGCACTGCAAGTCCAAGAGAACAATTAAGCTAAGGATCATCAAATGATAAATTTCGTCAAACAAAGAATATTCAAAGGATCGTCAAACAAGATAAATTTCGTCTCTAACACAACAATCGAAATTGCAAAAGGACTCCAGTATCTCGGCCAACGGATTAATAACCACAAAGAATATTCAAATGTCAGAGAAACATTACGTAGAATTTTCTTCCAATAAGAAAATACAAATACTTTTGAAAAACTACAACAATATTGCCGAAGAATAGATGCGAATGACCTTCAAGTTCTTATATATGAATCCCTTGGTATTCTGGAGATGGTCAAGAAGTCGACCAGGGGTTGCAACCAATAGATTTACTCCTTTTACAAGACGTTCTGCTTCACCTCTCCTAGCTGCACCACCGATAACCAACTCAACAGTATGTGAGTGGTACTTCAGAAGGTTCTTCGCCACGGCATAGGTCTGAATTATTTGAAAGGAAAAGTAGTCAGTGTAGAAAGAACAATATTTCCATTTTCGGCTTCATTCTTTCATAGTCATGTCAGCTTCATCAATTATTTAGAGAATTTATTTCATTCTTTTTCGAGTTGTCATATTTTAAGCCCAGTAATAATGGGATCATTATTCGATGAGAAGTAGGCTTTAACGTTCAATGCAAAAAATAAAGTGCTCGCGAGTACTTTAGAAAGCAAAAATTAAATCCAATTTGTTCAGGCATCAAAACGATGCGTTCTTGAATTGGAGCGAGATCAATATGAGAAGAATGACGAGAATGTGTCAGTGTTTCACCTGAATTGCAAGTTCCCGTGTTGGACAAATAACAACAACACCCGTTCCATTACGAGGAGTAAACTTTATGTGATATAGCAACTCCACAGCTGGTATAAGAAAAGCAAGAGTCTTCCCGGATCCTGTCCTAGCAGCTCCCAGGACATCTTTTCCGATCAATAGTGATGGGATTGCTCTTGCTTGAATCTGCAGGTGTAAATCTTTTCCGATCAATACTATAAAAGGCCAAAGCCTTATTAATCAACTTATAACCAATCAAGTTCAGCCAGAAAATTTACCTCAGTCATATACTGAAAGTTTAGTTCCTGAATGGCCTTGAAAGTGTTGGCAGACAAATTCAATGAATCAAAAGAGTCTGTGCTCATAATCCCAGTTCCTCCACCTCTCTTGACATTCTTCTTCCTCTTATTCTCCTCCTCCACCCCCTCTGCTTCTTCTTCTTTGTTTTCCTCGTTGACCTCTTCCTTTCCCTTCAATATTTTCGTCTTCTTCTCCTTATTGTTATCATCACCTTCTCCTTTCTCTTCTTCTTCGTTTTGTTGGGCCTGATAAGGGTTTCGAGGCTCTGATTCTTCCGATGGTTTCTTCCCTCTCTTTCTCTTGCGCTTCTTGTTCTTCGTCTCGTCGTCCGTAGATGTGTGACGTATTGGGTCTGTCATGGCAACTAGTTCTCAGAAGAGCTCTCTCGCAGAAACTGTGAGAATGAGGTTTTAGGGTTTGGAGTTTTATGGTACCGGCATGGTACAAGACGTCATCTTACCTTTTTTTCAATCTAAATATATAATGTCAAGTGGGCCGTGGCCCTCATATCAGATATTCATATCAGATATTAAACTGATAAGGAATTTGGGTGGAGAAACTGCAGAGAAAGAAAGAAGGAAGAACGAAAATAGAAAAGAAGAATAACGATTGCAGGAGTTAATTTCACGTTGTTATTCCATTAGGGCTTCTTCTTTTTTTCTTTTTTCTTTTTTCTTTTTAAATTATTACGTTTGACAAAAAGAAAATAATAATTTAAGGATATTTTAGGAATAAAAGATAAGATTGTGTTTTTTAAAATTGACATTGTGGGTGGGTGGGGAAATAGGATAGGGTAGTGGAAATAGTAGCACTCTTTTCGGGTTGCTTGATTAAGTTTCACAATTCTCTGCCTTTTGCTTTATATATATATATATATATATCTATTAGGATATTATTTTCCTAAAATGATTTTAGCTAGGATTTTTATTATTTTCTTGTTAGCTAAGTTTATGAATATTCTAGAAACTAGGGTTTCTTTATTTTTTATTTAGGCCAACTCATGGCATTGCATTTGTCAGTTTATTCTTATTATTAATCAAATTTAGAGATTTTCGTTATTTTCTGGTGGACTCCAGATCACTCATGGATTCCGGCATTATTACTTTAGGGTGACCGCTTGAGATCCCTGTATAGCAGTACTTTAGTTTTGCTTTTTCTAGTCCCCCCAAGGTGAATTTCAACTTAAAACAACAGTGCATCAAAGTTTCGGAAGAAGATTGTGGGGACCAAATCTAACGTATCATGGCCTAACCCATATGCCACAACTAAAAGATGTGGGATGATCGAACTTCCCCATATGCCACAACTAAAAGACATGGGATGATCGAACTTCCCTCCCACTAGAGGAGAGCGGAACAAGGAAGACACAAATCGCTTGTCTGATCCCATTACCATGAAGTGAAGGACTAGATGCGCAAAGCTAGGGAAGTAGGGCTAAACCCAAGACCTCGGAGAGCTATAAAAACCCAGCTAGACCTCCAACAAAGGTACGAGAAATTCAATTGAACACTAAGAGTACGCTACACAAACACTAACTTGAGCGTTGGAGTGACTTTTGTAGGTACTCACCCCATTTCTGTTGTTCGGCCTCGGGAACGTAATTCGGAGTTCTCTTTCGACCAAGGAAGCGTGCGGACTTCAATCAAGAACCTGTGGAGGTATTTCTTCTTGAAAGAAATCCTGCTCCAATAGTTGGCACCGTCTGTGGGAATTTCGCAAAGTTGATCATAAATATGACTGAACCTGTATAGGGAACTCCAAACACCTCTATCCCGGGGAATGCGACGTCCACTCCTCGACCCGGAAGCGCAAGGTCCAACGCCCAGGATGGGGAACCAAGCCTTGTTGCTATCCAGTTGAGGGAGATCATGAAAGAATTGCGCGAAACGAGAAAGGTAGCGAAGAAAACTATGGAGAAGGCGCAGAACACTGCTTGCCGGAAGGGCTCAAAAAAGGGCAAAAGAAAGCAGAGACATGAGATCTCTGAGGGAGACTCCTCCAGCAGCACACACTCGAGCGTCTAGGACAATGCCACGACAGAAGATCAAGACAAAGATCTCGACCTGCATAAAATGGCGAAAAGGGCGAAGGACACTGATTTGCGCAATCATATCGAGAAGATTGTCAGAGAGTACAAATCGCACACACCCGCAGAACTAGCTTTGGAGGCGGCGAAAGGAATTTGCAAGTCGCCATTCATGGAAGACATCCTGAAATCCAAGAAGCCAGTTAAGTTCGCCCAACCTAAGTTTAAGCTATTCGAGGGCACGACCTATCCCATTGAGCATATCTATCATTTCCAACAACAAATGGTGCTCGAAGGAGATGACGAGGCCCGGTTATGTAAACTGTTCCCTTCAAGCTTGTCAGGATCGGCCTTGATTTGGTTTACACAGCTGAAACCAAGGTCTATTGGCGGTTTCACCCAACTCTATGAAATGTTCATATCTCAGTACATTTGCAATCAAAAGAGGAGAAAATATGTCATGATCTTATTCAACACGAAGCAAAGTACCGGAGAAAGCCTTAAAGACTACTTGAGGCATTTTACGGAGGAAATGTCTACTCTTGAGGAATGTGATTCTCATACTGCTCCGTTGGCGTTTCGTGAGAGGGTTATACCTGGAACAAAAATGCATAGGTCTTTAGTGAAGGCCCTACCAGTAGATATGAGGGAAGTGATGGCCTGGGCGGATGGAATCATCAGACTAGAAGAAGAAGAGTTCACCCAGTCAAAACGAGCCACTTCCACCATTGCGATCCCAAAGCCTCCACCGGAGCAAAAGGTGGAGATGAAGCGATATTCCTTGAGACAAGAACCTAGCAACGGACCTAAGCAAAGCCGACCTTTCACCAGGCTCACAATGAGTTTAGCCAAAAAATTTCACAAGAACAAGGGCAATGGTATATTTCAAACACCACCTGTGATCCGCGAATCCCCAGAAAAGCGAGACAGGAACAAGATGTGCGCCCATCATAATGACTTTGGACACACTACTGATGAGTGCCGAAGTCTTAGGTATCAGGTGGAGGCAATGCTCATAAAGGGAATGTTATCTCAGTACCGCACTGAACCTGAGAATAGGGCAAGTGAAGAGGGTGGGTAAAAAACAATGACCGGCAATATCGCAAATGAAGAACTGTTGGAGATCAACACCATCCATGGTCGACCGAATCCCGTAGAGGGAAAAGATTCTCGATCCCGGTTTTAAAAAAAGACGAGTCGAAAAGGTGAGATACATAAACGGGATCGCATCTACCTCTGAATCTGCCAAAGCCCTAGAAAAGATTAGAGTCATCTCATTCACGCAGAAAGACATGGAAGGAATTGAGTTCCCTCACAACGACGCATTAGTGGTGACCCTCCGCGTTGCCAATTCGATGGTAAAAAGAGTGATGATTGACGGGGGAAGTAGCGCAGACATGTTATTTTGGAGTACCTTCAAAAGAATGAAGCTGGATGAAAAGAAGATTCAACCAAACCCAACACCGATCTACACATTTGAAGGGACGAAAGTGCAACTGATCGAAGATGTGACTCTGCCGGTCATTGTCGTAGGTAAGACCCTATTCGTTACTTTCGTGGTTGTAGATGCGCCGAGCGCGTATAATGCTATAATGGGAAGGAATTGGACTCATCGAATGGATGGAGAAGCATCGACACGTTGCCAGGTGATGAGGTGCATATCCGAATATGGGAGAACCACAATTGATATCAAAGGGGATCAAGTGGAGGCCATAAGATGCTACAGCATAGCAACTAACCTTAAGGCTGCGACTTCGCAGCATAGCGAGGATTTATAGCAATTAACAGATAACCCACCAGAACAAGAGGAGGAGGATAACTCGGAGCTTCCGACGATCGAACCACTCAGGGAAGAAGCTCTGGATCCCTCTTATCTTGATAGAAAAGTGTTGGTAGGCTCCCTCCTATCTGAAGATGAGGTAGACCAGCTAATGAAGTTATTAAGAGAGAATAAAGACGTGTTTGTGTGGTCACATATAGACATGTCGGGGATCGACCCGGAGATTGCATGTCATCGGCTGAATGTTGACCCAAACCACCCTCCGTACCAGCAGAAGCAGAGGAGGTTCGCATCTTAGCGGAACCAAATTATTAGCGATGAAGTGGACCGATTGCTCGAGGCAGGATTCATTTGAGAAGTGTGGTGGTAGTAAGTAAAAAGGATGGGAGATAGCGTGTGTGCGTAGACTACATCAACATGAATAAGGCATGCCCGAAAGAATTCTATATGATACCAAAGATCGATCAAATGATAGATGATACCACCGGGTATGAACTTCTCTCATTCCTAGACGCTTATTCGGAATATAATCAAATCCCAATGGCAATTGAGGACTAGGAAAAGATGGCATTCATCACCGAGCGAGGCTTGTATTGTTACACAATGATGTCATTCGGGCTGAAGAACACAGGGTTGACGTATCAAAGATTAGTGAACAAGATGTTCAAAATCCAAATCAAAACGATGGAGGTTTACATCGATGACATGGTCGTCAAGAGCCAGGAAGAATCCTAACATGTTAGGCACTTGGAATAAGTCTTCAACATACTGAGGAGATATCGAATGAAGCTAAACCTGAAGAAGTGTGCATTCAGTGTTTCGTCAGGGCAGTTCTTGGGGCAAATAGTGAAGAAGCGAGGCATCGAGCCCAACCCATCGAAGGTGGAGGCGTTGCGGAATATGCCTGGTCCAAGAACACCTAGAGATGTGCAGGTTCTAATCGGGCGAATAACGGCTCTCAGCCGGTTCATTTCAAGATCGTCATATCGTTGTAAGCCATTCTTCCAGGCAATTTGAAATAAGGACGGAAGCATATAGGGGCAGATGTGGGAGCAAAAATTAAGGCCCAAGTAACAAGCCACTTCCCATGAACCCTAAATTTATGGAGTGGTGGGAATCAAATAACATGATATCCACTACTATTGAGGATGGAGATAAATAAGGGATATGGGACGTGGAGTCCAAGGGTTCAATGCCTATAAAAGGCTAACTAATCCCCCATCATAAAGGGAGAGAGGTATGATTGATTCTACTGCAGTATTCATGAACGAACACTGACTTGAGCGTCGGAGTGTTTTCTTGCATGTACCCCCCTCCTCACTCAATGGTGATAATCAAAGATGGTGTCTGGCTTCTCAACATGGAAATCAAAAATTACTTGTTGGAGGATCCGAAATTTTCCTCTCAAACAGTTGGCGCCGTCTGTGGGAACCGTACAAAAAGTCATATTAAGGAGCAAGGGACACTGTATAATTGAAGGCTCACCCGTGCTACAATGGGGGCAAGAGTTTACTCCCCCAATAAGAGAAGAATTTCTAACTCTTTATCTCTCACAATTTAACGATTGGATGAAAATATTGCATTCTATGATTGCACTTCTTCATATACTCTGAAAGTTTTATGTGGGCATTATCAAAGTCTTTTTTTATTAACATTGCTTATTGCATCATGTGACAAACGGATTGAATTGGAGGGCACATGCTAAATCCTTCGAACGGGGATATTTCATTCCCACTTGATTATCTACATAGTGTAATATATTTTGGGTGCCAGATTTTAATCTCTCTGTTATTATCTCAAAAACATTAATCATCACAAGGATATACTCGATTGTCATTCTCACGGTCATACTCATGACAACCCAATTCTTTTGTTGTGATGAGATGGGGGCAGGCAGTTTAAATGCTTCAAATGATATCATTTCTTATCACTGACATACATGATGATACTACCACTACTTCGACTGAAGCTGCTCTGTCTACGCTACATGCTCGACATTGGATGGTGAATCGATCTCAAACAGGGAGTTTAAAATTCTCTTCGAGGTATGCTTTGCATCTCCGGGTTGATCCTAAAGATGTTGAGCCTTCATGTTTTAGCAAAGCTATCAAACACGCAGAATGGAGGACTGTCATGGCCACATATTTCAGTGCTTTGTAAAGGTGTGGGGCGTGTACTTTGGTTCCTTTTCAACATCACATGAATGTTCTTCCCAACAAGGGGTTATTTAAGATTAAAAGACACTCCGATGGATACATTGAGCGTTATAAAGCGTGTTTCGTGGCTAATGGTATCCATCAACAGGAGTGGCTCGATTATTCAAAGACATTCAGTCATGTGGTTAAGCATACCACAATTTGTATGGTTCTTGGGGAAACCTATATCTACACCATGTATTTCTGGTCCGCAATTGAGTCTTCACTATAGTGAGCCTATTTTGGATCCTTCTAAATATCGCCAAGTTGTGGGTGCCTTACAATACCCCATTATTACTTCGCCTGACTTATCTTATGTTGTGAACCAAGTCTGCTAGTTCATGCACTCATCTACAACAGTGCACTGGCATGCAGTGAAACGCATTCTGTGGTATTTGAAGGCCAGATATGATCATGGGCTTTGGTATCAACCTGGCAAGCTTGAATTAAATGTTTATTATGATGTTGACTATGCAAGGGATCCTGATACAAGATATTCTACTGGTGGTTTTTGTGTCTATTTTGGTTCTAACTTAATTTCCTGGAGCTCAAAGAAGCAGAAGATTGTTTCATATTCTAGTACAGAGGCCAAGTACAGGCAATTAGCTTATACCGCTACTGTGTTATCTTGGTTACGCTCCTTATTCTGAGATCTATATATTTTCTTATCTACGCCTACCATATGGTGTGATAATGTTTCCTCTATTGCTCTTGCTTCCAATCTGGTTTTTCATTCTCGGACTAAGCATTTAGAAGTCGACTATCACTATATTCGGGAGAAAGTGGTTCGTGGTGAGTTGAATGTTAATTATATTTGCTCCCAAGATCAGGTCGCTAATTTGTTCACTAAAGGTCTCAGTTCTTCTCTGTTCAAGACACTTGTTTTCAAGCTTCATGTTCTCTCAGGACCACTCAGCTTGAGGGGGCTGTTAAAGCAAGGTCTGTCGTGGATAAGTCTACTGAGTTTTTGAATTTAAATTCATCTTGTTTGAACGACAGTTCTTTATCCTATGTTTCTTTTGATGAGGAGCTTTGTGTTGTATAGGACTTTATCGCTTGATAGTTGATATCCTGGTTTATAAAAACAGTTTTATGATTTTCAAACTTGTACTTATCTATACAATCATTATAAATACATAGCTACAATCATATTAGTTTTGCAAGCTTTCACGCCATTTCAAAGTCTTATAGATGAAAAGTATAATTTGGTCAAATATAAAAACGTGGGTATCAAATTGATGAAATTAAAACGTCATACCCCATTTTGATACAACACATAAATCTCGATCGACTAAAATGTCGTTAATCCAAAAATAAAAAATAAAAAAAATCCTTTCAATTATTGTACAAGCCAAACATTAGAATGAGAATAAAGTCTATTACATGGTTATTATTTTCAAGCATTTCCAAACACCGGAATTAAAATCTTTTATTCCCATTCTCTATAAATAGGGACTCATTCCTAAGCAAATCCCATGAGCCAAACGGAACCTTAACGTGGTTGCAAACTAAACTCACCGTTACCTTTCGCTCAGAAATTTGTTGGCATCATCGCCATCTGGGCTTCTAGGCTTAGAAACATACTTACTGGACCTTACTTAACATACAAATTAGGCTTGCTTTAAACCCAAAAGCATGAAGCAAAAGCAAATCTTGTAATAAGACAGCAAGAAATGAGAGCCCATATCCTTTACCATGTGGCAAGCTTTCACAGTAAATGCCAAGAATGCATCTCTCCCTCCCATGGTCCTCTACAGTGTGTCAGATTTTCTCTCTACAATTAGATAGATCAGCCGCTTTTGCTTTAATTACTTTTTCAGAGCTACACCAACTCATTTCCCAAAATAAATCCCCAAAAACCAACACTAGAAATAGATACATACATTATACATACAATCTAAAATTCCCTCAATTATTTTTTCTCCACAGCCATCAAAAACCAGAGAAAAGAAAACAAAAATGCAGTCTATGTTAGAGCAACTCCACCCATTTGCAATGGCAAAGGTCAAGGGGGGGCTAGGGCATTTACTTTTCTTGTGAATAGTGGTTGCCCTTATAAAAAGCAATGTGTGTTTCCATCCATTGCCAAGGCAAATACTATTCATTTTTCGTTTTTTTTTAAACCTAAACAATTAATTTGGATAATATTTTAGGATAAGATTTTTGGATTTGTACATGTCAATATTTATTATAAAATTCATATCTCATAAACAAATAAAATTTTCGAATAAGATTTTTGGTTTCAAAATTTAGATAAGATTTTCACCATCTAAAATCGTGTCACGTGTCATCCCTATGTGCCTAAATTTTTCTATAAAACCAGAGGCTCAACTCATACCTCTCACAGCAGATCTTCTATATATTTTCATTTATCATATTTTAGAATTTATACTCCATTCTCAATGTCAAACATGAGGATATGCTTGGAGAGGTAAGAGCGAGAAACTAATGAAAGAAGGCCTAGATGAGCTGAAGGCAAAAGGGTGCAGAGAGAACAAGATCAACAAGTTGCCATAGCAGTGGCTTTGCTTGATGAAGAAAACCAAGGCCGCTGCCGTGGTTCACAAGTCAGCCATAGCTCGAATGTGGACAAACATAGGCATTCTCGGGATAAGAATTTTTTGGAAGATTATTTTATCCCAACTTCTTTGTACTCTGATGTTGATTTCCGAAGGCGATATAGAATGCAACCCCATTTGTTCAATAAAGTCAGCATGATATTTGCAATTATGATGCATACTTTGTTACAAAGTGTGATGCTGCTGGGATTTTGGGACTTCTTCCGAAGCAAAAGCTTACAACTATTATACGAATATTGGCGTATGATTCATCTACTGATCAGGTGGATAAGATTGCCTGGATGGGGAAATCCACTACCTTGGAGAGCTTGGTAAGATTTTGTGATGCAGTTGAAACTCTGTACATCAGGGACTACCTGCGCAGACCTACGCACAGGGACTTCCAACGGCTTCTACAAAAAGCCGAAGCTCCAGGATTTCCATGAATGATTGGTAGCATCGACTGCATGCACTAGCAGTGAAAGAATTGCCCAACTGCCTGGCAAGGAGATTATGGAAATAGAAAACAAAAAAGTATCATCCTTGAAGTTGTTACTGGATTCGATTCATGGGTTTGGCATGCCTTATTCGGAGTTGCCGGATCTCAAAACAACTTGAACTTGCTTGGTCAATCTCCGGTGTTCAACGATGTTTTGAGAGGTGAAACCCCGAATATCACCTATGAAATCAACAATATCGTCTACCAGAATGGGTATTATCTAGCAAATGGCATCTACCCGAGGTGGACTATATTTGTGAAATCAATTCCGCATCCCCGATCGGATAAGCAAAAATTATTTGCTGCCTATCAAGAGGGTTACAGAAAATATGTGGAGATGTGTTTTGGTATCTTCCAAGTGCGGTGGGCTATTATTAGGGGTGCGGCACGACAATTTGATGAAGAGGTGCTGAGGAGCATAATGATGACTTCCATCATCCTCCATAACATGATTTTGGAGGATGAGTATGATTACAATGCTGTAGACGTGTACAAACCAGATCCCATGAACACGGCCTTGACAAGAATTTATGAAATGCCCATAGGGCCACATGGAGAACCATTGAAGCATGAACCGTTGGTTAGGGACGGTCATGTCATGACCCGTATGATTGATCGATATACGAAGATGCAATCGTCCTATATTCATGAACGACGTCAAGTTGACTTGATGGAGCATTTATGGGCGGTGAAAGGCAATGATAGTGAATGAAGTGAAGTGAAGAAGTTTTATTTTTAATTATGCTTTGGTTATGTTTTATTTTTATTTATGCTTTGGTTGTGTTTTTTTTTAAATTTATGCTTTGGTTGTGGTTTTTTTTAAAATTATGTTTTGTTTGATATATGGAATGTTTTGAATAAAAAGGTATTTTATTGAATGCTTTCTTTATTCACTCAAAGAAAACCAATACAAGTAATTAATAATTACTACTAATTAAATAAAATACATGAATTACAACTAATTTTTAAAACAAAACATTAAAATACAATGAAACAAAAGACAAGAAAACTTACTTAATGGTTTTGATAATTTAACCAATCCGTGTTGCTAGGTCCATCGTCACGGAAAAGTCTTCTTCTCATAACATCCCTTCGTTCTAGCTTCCAAAATGGTTTTGGTTCAGGGGACATATGGCTTGTATCCATGGCTATGGTTTCTCGATCCTTCTTGTCAATGTTTTCCTTGCGTACATACTCCCTTTCTTTTGCATATTCTACTTGAATTGCCCTCTCGTCTTCTTGGGTTTTGATGTCTATTTCAATTCTCATGGCACTATGCCTTGCAATTTCCTCCAAATTTTTTGATGTATTATTGCTAGAATTACTATTTATCTCTCTTTTCGCCTTCGCCGCCTTTCGGCCAATAGGCCGTGGCTCGTTTTTAATAGGTGAGTCTTGACTCATCGGGGAATCCATAGGCAAATCCAATGCCAGTGAATCATGGAGTGGTGTCTCGTTCAACACAACAGTCTGACTCGTTGGAATAATTCGGAATCTCAAACAATTCTTCACTACCTCCCAACATTGGTCATGGTTGAAAGTTTTTTTGCCTTGCCCAATAGCACCAAACCACATTTGTGCTTGCATAATCTTTATAAAAGAAAAAAAAAGAAAAAAAAAGGGAAATGCAAGAAACATTAAAAAATATTGGAAATGCAAGAAATTTTAGCAAAATATTGGAAATGCAAGAAATATTAACAAAATATTGAAAATGCAAGAAACATTAAAAAAAAATAATGCGACACTTACCACATTATTATCCCACATTTCTATACCACATGATGTGACATGTCCATATCATATGACATATCAATTAAATGAATGAAGTGTATTTTAATAAATACAATTAGAAAAACAGAAACTAGTATTTTACATGATGTGGTATGTACACATCAGCCGCCACATCATGTGGTATAAAATTGTGGTATAAAAAATGTGGTAAGACTAGTATTATTCTTAAAAAAAAATTAGAAATGCAAGAAATATTAACAAAATATTGGAAATGCAAGAAATATTAATAAAAATTGTTTATGCAAAAAATATTAACAAAATATTTTATTGCAACACCAAATATTGTTTTGGCTTGGGCTCCCCCCTTGCCCTGGCTTGGGCTCCTTAGTGGAATGGCTCTTAAATCTCCTTGGCACCTTTGGCCTTCCTCTGTGTGTTTCAGGGATAACCCATCATCATCTCACCTTTTCTAAGGAGTATATTTATCTCTCTCTCTCTCTCTCTCTCTCTCTCTCTCTCTCTCTTGAATATGCGTTTTTGGTTTTTGTTCTTTTTCCTTTTTGTGTGTTGTTTTGTTTTAGGATGGCAGATCATGATCGCAGAAGGGAGGCCATGAAATGCCAGAGATCACAAGCCAGAGTAGAGCTGCATACAAATCAAGAACTGGGTTTTGAGAGAAGCAGCGGAAGCGTGAGAGATGAGATTAGGGAAGGTGGGCTTGATGAAGATCTGTGTTGCAGTTATTTGGCTTATACTGCAAAAGCTGCATAGCTTAATTAGCTTAGCTTAGCTTATTAATTAATCAAGGCTTAAGTGCTACAGTGCCCCTAGAACATTAGTCAATTCTCACTAAACCCCCTTAAAAGTTAAAGTGACCCACTTTCCCTCCTTAACCGATGTTTTGTGTCTCACTTTATCAATCACCGTCAAGTTTGTTAAAAATTCCATTAAAAATGATGACATGGCACCAATGGGACCCACTATTTTGCTAATCTAAATGCCATGTGTGAAGAAAAAAAAAATCCAAGTGTGAGCTCCAAATCATCAAATCCCACCTCATGAATCTTCTCTCCAATCCAGGACTTTACCTTTGGGATCTCACTGTCAGGCAAGTTTTGGTGAGCAACAACAGGCTTCACAAGATTGAAAGTGGAAGAGGCTGGCATTGTTGACAGAGAATGAGCAAATCTCTAGAAGAAAACCCATTGCCTAGAATCAACAGCGGAAGTATCAGACTCATCACATTCAGGAATGGTAGCTGCTGGAAAATGGATTTGGTGACTGGTCGGGCTTGCTAGAGTATAGATAGCATAAAATGGGTAATTGAAAGAGGCCATGGATTGTTTAGCAATGGAGTCCCAGTTTGGAATTTGGTTGGGGTTTCTGGAGGTTGGGGATGAGAGCAATGAGGTTACAGGGGCACTATTGGAAATTCGCAAAGAAGGGAGAGACGAAGGAATTACATAGCACAAATAGTGAATGGGATTGGATGAATTATGCTGGGATCGAAACGGCTCGGGCTTGGATAGGAAGACGACGAAAGACTGGCTTGGTAGGATGAGATTGGACTAGGATTTAGAGAAGAGTAAGGGTTGATCATGGTTGATGTGCTTGGTGTATCAATTTGGGTTGGCTTCAATCCCTGTACAACAACACCACCATCACATTATTAGAATTCATCAATAAATTAATTTTCAGGTGGATTTTTCCTTTGGATCTGCGCTATGACAATTATGGGAAAATAATTAAAAATTAATTTTTTTTTTGAAAAATTAGGACAATTAAAGTGAATTGAAGAAGAGAAGGGAAGTGGGACCTTGCGATAGGTGGTGTCGTCGTCTTCAATGGTCCAACCAGCCTGGAGGCAGAGAGCTTTCAACACCTCGTTGTTGTCGCAGTGCTTGGGCAAATTGAAGTTGCCCTGAGCTCAGAGCCCTGCGAATATCTTTGTAGCTATGGCTCTCCTCCTCCTCTCTCTCCTCCGATTGTTCTCTCTCTCCCTCCACGACTGCTTCCTCAGCACCACTGTCGCCGCAGACATGGCTCCATCCGATGTCATGCTCCGATCAATTATATTCCCTCTCTTTTTTCTCTCTGTATCAGGCGCTGTGCAATTAAGTTTTTTTATAGTATTATTAATTTTTTTAATAATTAAATTACGTTTTTTAAAAGTTTTTTTTAAAATTTTATTTTTTCACACATGGCATTTAGTTTAACAAAATAGCGGTTCCATTGGTGCCACGTCAGCATTTTTAACAGACTTGACGATTATGGGCAAAGTGAGAGACAAAACATTAGTCAAGAGGGCAAAGTTGATCACTTTAACTTAGTTTAGTGGAAATTGACCAATGTTTCAAGGGGCACTGTAGCACTTAAGCCATTAATCAAATATTTATGTTTTTGGATCTAGCTAGACGTCAAATGTTTGCATTTCACTGTGAGACCATTATCATAGGACAGGCATAAAATCTATTAGCTCTTTTTCCAGGATAATTCCAATGTCTATTCTCAGAAACAAAAGCAAATTGCTGCACTATCCTATTATTTCTTCCATTTCAATTTTCAGGCTAACGACTGAATCATTTAGCCGTTTTTTTCATATTATAAAATATTTTCCTTCTACGATATGCCAATAGCCTTCTAATAACCATAAGTGTCCGCATTATAACAAGTTGCCCGTCTAGCTCAGTTGGTAGAGCGCAAGGCTCTTAACCTTGTGGTCGTGGGTTCGAGCCCCACGGTGGGCGCTAGTGCTTACCTTTTTAACCTTTTGGTATTCAAACTTCATCTTCAATCTTCAAAAGCTTTTCACAGCACTAATTTTTTTTAAATTTTTTATTAAAGGGAAATTTACATAAATATTATATGAACTTTTAGGCATGTGCGCTATTATCACATAAACTTTTAATTTTTATTTTTAACCACCTGAACTTTATAAAGTGTTGCAATCCATCATCTATGTATGATGCTTAATCCAATATGTATAAATAAAGCCGTTTTCTACAGCCTCACAACGCACAATCCCCGTCATACAATCGTCACTTATATTGAGGGATCTAAATAGGCAACTTCACACTAAAAGTAGTGAAATTGGGCACAATCAAGGAAATAAAAAAAACGGGGGGTAGTGCAGTTTGATACCACGTACCAACTACCAAGAACTTATTCTTGGCTGCTATGCAAGTGATGAGTTTCAAATTAAATTTTGGGACATGGACAATGTAGACCCGTTGAATGCTACTGATGTGGAGGATGGGTTAACGATAAGGCAGCTCTCTCTCTCTCTCTATCTCTCTCTCTCTCTCTCTCAATTCAGTTTTTTATAATTAATTTTACTTATATTGAATAGACATAAATTCTCTTACACTTAACAGATACTTTAACGGAGTTAGACATAGATGATGGATTGCAACACTTTCAAAATTCATATGGTTAAAAATAAAAATAAAAAGATAAGATGGTACTTGCGCACATGCTTAAAAGTTCAAATGATATTTACGCAAATTTCTTTTTTTTTTTAAAAGTAAATTTTATCACAGAAAGACAACTAACCATTAACGAACACAGCCACAGGGACAGACTACAAGGCATGCAATTAATTCAAAAAGCATCTACAGATCAATAAGGCTGTTCAAAAACACCATGACCAGGTAAGGGTACTAGTGGAAAAGTAAGAAAAAAATAATAATTTAATTTCAACTATTGTACAAACCAAATATTAAAATGAGAATAAAGTCTATTTCATGGTTGCTATTTTCAAGCATTTCCAAACACGGGAATTAAAATAATTTATTCTCATTCTCTAGGAATGGGGACTCAATTAAGAAAATTATTCTGTGAACCAAATGAATCTTTAAGAGCATTTAAAATCATGTTATCTATTTTTTAGTTAAAATTTAGCTAAAATAATTTAAAAACTATTTTAGGAGCTCTATATAAAAATTTAACTCCAATCATACTCTCTAGTTTAGGAAGTCATAAATGCTATAATTCTTTTTTAATTGCTCAATCTCTCTCTCCCTAGATTTAGGAGCTCCTAGAAGTCTTCATATTTTAGAAGGTGGATATCAGCATGGTTGAAGTTATATATTTATCTAAGGATGTGATTTAAGGAGCTCATTGTGAATGCTCTAATGATGTTGCAAACTAAACTCAACGTTACTTTTCAGTCATAAATTTGTTGGCATCATCACCATCTGGGCTTTTAGGCTTAGAAACACACTGGACTTGACTTAACATACAAATTGGGCTTGGTTTAGACCCAAATGCATGAAGCAAATCTTTTTGCCTTGTAATCATTCAGACAGCAAGAAATGAGAGCCCATGTCCTTTCCCTTACCATGTGGCAAGCTTTCACAGTATGCATCTTTCCCATGGTCCTATAACCTAGTGTGTCAGATTTTCTCTCTACAATTAGATAGATCAACCCCTTTTGCTTTAGTTGCCTTTTCAGAGCTTACACCAACTCATTTCCCAAAATAAATCCCCAAAAACCAACACCAGAAATAGATACATACTTACAATCTAAAATTCCCTCAATTATTTTTTCTCCACAGCCATCAAAAACCAGAGAAAAGAAAACAAAAAATGCAGTCCATGTTAAACCTCCATGGCACCTTTGGCCTTCCTCTGTGTGTTTCAGGGATAACCCATCATCATCTCACCTTCTATAAGGAGTATATTTTCATCTCTCTCTCTCTCTCTCTCTCTCTCTCTCTCTCTCTCTCTTGAATATGTGTTTTTGGTTTTTATTCTTTTTCCCTTTTGTGGGTGGTTTTGTTTTAGGATGGCAGATCATGATCGCAGAAGGGAGGCCATGAAAAGGCAGAGATCACAAGCCAGAGCAGAGCTGCATGCAAATCAAGAACTGGGTTTTGAGAGAAGCAGTGGAAGAGTGGGAGAAGAGATCAGGGAAGGCGGGGTTGATGAAGATCTAGCTAGTGTGCTACATGATCTGTGTTGCAGTTATTTGGCTTGTACTGCAAAAGCTGCATAGCTTAATTAGCTTCGCTTAGCTTATTAATTAATCAAATATTTATGTTTTTGGACCTACTTCTGCTTAATGTTTAATATTCTCTGTGGGGTTTGTTTTAATTTTTATGTTCATATCTTTTGAGTTTATCTTCGATCTGGTTTCCTCCTCGGCCGGTTTGGCTTTTTTTTTGCCTTTTTGTAGTTTTGTGATCTTGCTTTGATGTCATTGTTCTTGTTTTGGACTGTTTCTCTGCACACATTGTTTGTGTTCAAATTCTTGTTCACAGACAAATGAAAGTTTCTAGGCAATTCATCCTAAAAAGAAGAAGAAAAAGAAAAAGAAATAGAATCTCGAGTAAGAAAAGGAAACAGAATCTTTTGGGAAGAAAAAGAAGCAGAAGACAGATCATTGAAATTACCTCAGTGCAGAAATTTGTAAAAAAAGAAAACCAGCGAGTGGCATTATTATATGAATAATATATAAGCCACATATTCTCTTCGTTGACGTCCCTCTCCTCTCACAGGCCATGGGCTTTTCAACCTTTTATTAGCCACGCATTCTTTCCTTCCTCTTCACCTTCAACGTCCACTTCCATTTTACTCAGCCACAACCCTAGAACTCATACATGTATGTATAAACGTTTGGTTCAAGTTCAACAACCCTACATGCTTCTAAAAGGAAGAAAGGAAAATAAAGAAAAAATTATGTTCCATTGATAAGTTTGTTAAATTGAAATTGGTAGGCGATTCAATGTAGTGGTTGGAAGTTCATCCATTCGTCCACTGTGGTTCCTACAATTTTGAAAAGGAAAGTGTGGAAAAGGGCTGGAGCTGTGTTTCAAAACTCTTTGATATTGTGTTCCATTGTGAGATATGTGCAGCACTCAAACAAGTGAGTTACCATAGAAGGTGGGCACCCACCCATGACTGCAGCATTAGTCTCTCAGTTTTCAAAGAGACGTAAGAAAATAGGAATGGTAGACGGGAATAGCGTCACTCTTTATTTAAAGGGTAAAACTGTAAGGGACTTGTAACTTAAGTGGTTAAGAATATTTATCCATGTATCCGAGGTCCTAAGTTCGATTTCTCCTTTTCCAATATCGCTTGTATCCAATAAAAAAAAGAGTAAACTAAATACGAGTGGCGTCGTTACTAGAATAAATGAAAGGGTTGGTCCGAACAAGCAAAATAAGGTGTATAGTGTAGTAAAATTTGGAGAAAGGTGAAGTGATAATGTTGTGGTTTTCTTTCCTAGGGTGTTGGGTTGGAACAAACATGTGGAAGACATGAGCAAAACACCACATTAAAAGCAGTGGGGATAAATGGGACGTATGATGAAACAACTGACACTGTTGATAAATAAATACAAACACCCATCTTTATCAATTTGCACACTTTTTTGGCCACGCCATCGTTGACATCTCTCTATCTTTTACTGTCGAATTAAGGCACCACTGATATGTACTCTTGTCCTGTCTTCGATGTCATGGACTGTAAACCAATTTTTACCATGGGGCAGCAATGAATGTGTCTCCGGCTAGAATTTGAATGGAGATTGTGATGGCTGAGATTCACTGTTTAGATCAAGAAAAGAAGAATACAAGATTCACTGTAAGAGCCAAGTTGTCGCTGGCCCATCGAGTAGGCTGAGAATTCTGCAGTCGCTGGGCCCTAAATTTTTACATTTGAATATAATATCGGCTTCTTATCGAGTAGTTCTTCAAAATGACGGTCATATTATTACGTAATGTTACTAAAGAGTCAAAATATAAATAAAAAGATTCACAATCACACAAAAACACAAGTTATGAATATGTCAATAGTTTACCCAATGTGGGGTTTTGTCCACAGAATTTGTATATATAGAGTGTTTTTACTAATAATCAATGAGTTTAGCATTTGACGCATATACAGAAGTCATAAGAAGAAGAAGAAAAAACCTTAATTTCTAAATGGGAAAGTGTTCCTTTTTATTGGGGGAAGAGAGAGAGAGAGGGAGAGAGAGAGAGGGGCATTGCCTCCACGTTGTTTCTTCAATGTGGGACGAAAGAGTCCTTTTGTGGACCTCGCATGCGAAAGTTCCCTCCTTGTATCCATCTGAGATTCACATTTGTGATTCATCTAGTATTACATAATATTTCATACTTGCCTCAAAATTCGAATATAAGATTTCTGAAATGCACAAAAATAGTAAATACTATGTCATACTCCACGGCAGCAACCAGAAAGAGGACAGGTCCTCACAAAATCAAAGAAGAAAAACCCATAAGAAGAATAAGGTTTCTCATTCATATAGTATTTGTTTGACTCTATTCCCTAGAAAATAGTGGCCAAAGGGAGATCAATATGACTGAGTTAAGTCTCCCACTGTATTTCTTGAAAAGATCCCACTTAGCTTAAATGCCCATATTCCCATGCGCATGATTAGTGTCTATGCGCTATAGACTTCGTATTGTAGATAATCCTCTTCCGTAGGGTATGACCCTTCGGAAAGTATTTGAGTGTGATCGTCATACTACATTGTGGCCGTTGGAAAATACTTGAGTGTGATCTTCATACTACCATTTTTATAATCAACACATGTGTGACAAGTTTATACTTTAGAATACTGTGTCTACTGACAAAATACGTGTTATGACAGAGTAATCGTCATACGATTGTGTGATAATCAATATACGTATGACAGGTTTATGTTTTAGAATATTATGTCAACATACAAAACACTACGATATGATAGTCACGCACGTTCAAAAATTTCTAATTAACAAAGACTTTGTTGCCCCACGATAACAAAATGGAATATAAGAGAGCAATGCATATGCACGCTTGATTAATTGTGGAGATGTTGGGACAAAATTGCTGCCAAAATGTGATGCGATGAGTAGGGTTTGGGTGGATCCCTATAAGCTATGTAGATTAGGTTATCTACTTTCAAGGTTTCAATTATCAGCATTGTCTCCCATGCTTTGCTATCCTTTATTTAAATACAAATTTATAAATAAACCCAATTCTAGACATGTATTTATAAAAAAACCCAAGCACTATTTAAACATAGAAACACACCCAAAATCAACCCCAAAGTCAACTTTTTGGGTGTGTTTATAAATGAGTTTTGAGTGTGTGTAATGATGGGTTTTGGGTGTGTTTATATGTTTAAATAGTACTTGGGTTTTTTTATAATTTCAACCCCCATTTTGGGTGTTTTAGTGAAACTCCCTTATTTAAATGTCGGTTCTGGATCAGATTACTACTAGTAAAAATGAGTATTAATACTCTTCATTTAAGTCTTATTCAAAAACACATATGGTTGCTTAATGCATTCCGATTTTCTTCCGTTTACTAACACATGAATATTGAAATTAATCGGAATCCAAATTCACCATGCTTTTACTAACCAGACTCCACAAGTCTAATCCTTTTTGTCAGGCAACACAGCACAAGTCCAATCCCACGATAAAACTAAACCAGTGTGAATAAACAAAGAACAAGAATGCCTCCGAAGGCCGAAAAGACAAATAACCCATATCCACTATACACTAGTAAGATATCGCAGGATACGGTTAGATTTGGCATCCACAAACATGCTGCATCAAAATTCATACACCACAACAGGACAAAGCACATGAGAGGAAACGTGAAATACCAAAGGGATATAGAAGCATTACGACAATAAAACATAGTTTTTTTAAATTAAAATCCAGAGTAGCAGAACCAATCACAAAAATATTTAACCGAAGGACAAGGACTCCGTATGCTATGACGTCGCCACCGCCTGTCAAGCACCCAATTCTGGGACTGAATGCCTAACAATGATGACCAAAAACTATAACATATAAAACAGTATGACCAACAAACCATAGTAATAGTGACAATAGGTAAGTTTTTACTACTATTATTATATTTATATAAGATTTCCCCTGCGGAAATCTGATGAGCCAGTCCGGTTCACTTCTTCTTAGCAGCGGCCTTAGTGATCTTGGCACCAGTTGGATCCTTCTTCTCAACACTCTTGATGACACCAACGGCAACAGTCTGTCGCATGTCCCTCACAGCAAATCGTCCAAGTGGGGGGTACTCAGAGAAGGTCTCAACAACCATGGGCTTGGTGGGAATCATCTTCACAAATCCAGCATCACCATTCTTCAAGAACTTGGGCTCCTTCTCCAGTTCCTTACCAGATCGTCTGTCAATCTTTGTCAACATCTCAGCAAATTTAACAGCAATGTGGGAGGTGTGACAGTCGAGAACAGGAGCATATCCTTGTCCAATCTGGCCAGGGTGGTTCATGATGATGACCTGAGCTGTAAAGTTTGCTGCTTCCTTTGCAGGATCATCCTTGGAGTTGGAAGCAACATAACCACGCTTGAGATCCTTAACAGCAACATTCTTCACGTTGAATCCAACATTGTCACCTGGAAGGGCCTCTACGAGAGATTCATGGTGCATCTCCACAGACTTAACTTCAGTAGTCAACCCAGTGGGGGCAAAAGTAACAACCATACCAGGCTTCAGGGTACCAGTCTCAACTCGTCCAACAGGGACGGTACCAATACCACCAATCTTGTACACATCCTGAAGTGGAAGTCGAAGGGGCTTGTCTGATGGTCTCTTGGGCTCACTGATCAAGTCAAGGGCCTCAAGAAGGGTGGGACCCTTGTACCAGTCAAGGTTGGTGGACCTCTCAATCATGTTGTCACCCTCGAACCCAGAAATGGGGACAAAGGGGATCTTTTCAGGGTTGTACCCGACCTTCTTGAGATAGGATGAGACTTCCTTCACAATTTCATCGTACCTTGCCTTTGAGTACTTGGGAGTGGTGGCATCCATCTGTAAACAACAGTTGATGTCATGTGACAAGTTAGAACTGCTTCTGAATAACTACAACAATGGCTGATATCGAATACCAATTGAAATATAAAACATAAGGCTCACCTTGTTACAGCAGCAAATCATCTGCCTCACACCAAGAGTAAAAGCAAGTAAAGCATGCTCTCGGGTCTGACCATCCTTGGAAATACCGGCTTCAAAACCACCAGTGGTGGAGTCAATAATGAGGATGGCACAGTCAGCCTGGGAGGTGCCAGTAATCATGTTCTTGATAAAGTCACGATGTCCAGGAGCATCAATAACAGTGCAGTAGTACTTGGTGGTCTCAAACTTCCACAAGGCAATATCAATTGTAATACCACGTTCACGCTCAGCCTTGAGCTTGTCCAGCACCCAGGCATACTTGAATGACCTCTTGTTCATCTCAGCAGCTTCCTTCTCAAACCTCTCGATAACACGCTTGTCGATACCACCAAGCTTGTAGATCAAGTGACCAGTGGTAGTCGACTTACCAGAGTCGACATGGCCAATGACCACAATGTTGATGTGGAACTTCTCTTTACCCATTACAGGATTTCCGAAAGATAACTGAAATCACAAACCGATTACCAAAACTCAATCAGCAAATTAGCTTGAATAGACTACAAGATCATCACAACATGGATATTCGTCAACAAACAATAAACACACTGCAGAACCATGAGCATAACATAAGAACGAAAAAAACAACTAACATTAAAGACTAATGAAAAAAACCGGGAGATGCATTACTATTACAGAACTCAGTCCCTTAGATGTTCATAAAGATTTGCAATCATGTCTGCAAATCATTACAGGTCTGTAGGATCATCACTGTTTCCAACAAATAACAACTCACAACTATAATCTAAAAAAGAAATCTCTCATTTTTGTAATCTCAACAAAATACGTAATGGGAAAATATAGTTGCTCCTGAAATTCCCCAAATCAACAAGATTAAAAAAATTTAAGGGATATTTTCAAAAAGCAACACCTATTACTATGGCTAGGCGTCAAGGGAACGAGTCACATGGAACTGATCAAATCCACAAACCAGATAATGAAGCATAATAACAAAAGGGATTAATATTTTACAAAAATATAGGGACAGAGTATATAATAATACCAAACCATCATTCAGATACATGATTGTACTTCCATCAAAATATAAACAAATATCAAAACAAAATATTTTCTTTTTTTCCGAATCCTAATTAAAGAGGCATGAGAACGGATTGAACAGAACCATAATCCAAAAACAAAATCAGATGGAAAAAAAATATTCCCAAACATGATCAGGAAAACGAAACACCTAAAATCCACATGCAGTTTATACGAAATCCTGATCTAATCACAAAACACCAACAAAACCCAGTTCATAAATTCATCAGTTCAACAAACAACAAACAAAAGGAGAATTTTTCAAAAGCTTTCGAGACATGAACATCTAAAAAGAATTAGAGCTAAATCGGAGAATAGGATCGCAACTGAATTTATTAAATAAATAATAAACGCTGTTTCAAAGAGACAAAGATTTGAACCTGAAGAAACGGAGGAGAAGAACTGGAAAAAGATTCAGAGGTCTCTCTCGCCGACTTTGGTGTGATGAGCGAGAGAGCAGAGGATGAGAAAAAGGAGAGGAGCTTGTGAATTTTTAATAGAAGCCAATCTGCGTCACTGTGGTTAGGGTTTCATTTCGCCGCCCTTGGATCTTGGATTGATCGAACGGCTGTAGTGTTTATTGCGAGTTAGGCTGCTGATGTCGTCATCCATGCACGTGTGACGTGTCATAATGCGCTGCGCTGGCATATTCTACATTTCGGGTAATTCCATTTCGCTATTTTTACTGCTACCGACATTCATTGAATATTATAATTTTTTTTAACTAAATTCTTAACGGGAATCAAATATACAATCCGCCAAAAAATGACACTCGCAAATTTATTATAAAAATTAGTTAAATACACATTCCTAAACATAAAACTATAAAAATACCCTATACTATTTCATATAAGATGAATTCAAATTCAAGAACTCAGTAGACTTATCCACGTCAAAGGTCTAACAGCCCCCCTCAAGCTGAGTGGTCCTTGGAGAACAAGAAGCTTGAAAACGTGTCTTAAATTGAGAAGAATTGAGACTTTTGGTGAACAAATCAGCGATCTGATCTTGGGAGCAAATATAATTAACATTCAACTCACCACGAACCACTTTCTCCCGAACATAGTGGTAGTCGACTTCTAAATGCTTAGTCCGTGAATTAAAAAAAAGGATTGGAAGCAAGAGCAATAGAAGAAGTATTATCACACCATATGGGAGGCATAGGTAAGAAAATACACAAATCTCGGAACAAGAGCTTAACCAGATAACTCGAGCAGTATAAGCTAATTGCATGTACTCAGCATATGTACTAGAACGTGAAACGTTTTCTACTTCTTTGACATCTCGATACCTGTTAGAATTGTAGGGGAAACAACAAAGTGATTTTATTATTTTGGAGGAGAATAGTACATAGCATAGTGTAGGTAATTGGCCTCTTAGTTTTATGGCTTATTGGCCATTCACTTGGTTTAGATTGGTTTGGGCTATTGGCCCTTCCTTAGATTAGTTGGGCTATTTGGCCTTACACTTGATTATGAGCTTATAGGCTCTCAACATAGTTGATTTGGGTAGCTCTGGCTCCCTTAGTTTGGGTAGCTTTGTGCTCCCGCATAGATTGGGAGTTCTATTAGATGACTCCCCATATGACTTGGGTTTGGGTAGCTTGTAGCTCCCTAATAGTTTGGGAGTTCTTTGTTAGACTCCACCACACTTGTAAGCTGCATGCCTATTTATAGGCACCTTTGCCGACATGCACAGCCACCAACTTGGACTTCTTAATTTCTTAGCCAACACATGTGTCTTGTACTAGAATATTCTTCAAACTTCAATTGCTGTTGTTCCATCGCCTTGAGCATTTAGCTTGTTCTAGAATATTCTTGCGTTGTCATCACCATCTTTTGAAGTCTTGACTTCTCTAGAATTGTGTAGAACACAAATGAGCATTATTTTTCAACAATACCGAAGCCATGATCTACGAGACTTCATATGCCGCATAATGCATTTCACTGCCTGCCAGTGCCCTGTTGTAAGTGAGTGCATGAATTGGCAGACTTGGGTTCACAACATAAGATAAGTCCAGTCGAGTAATAGTGAGTGTTGTATGAAGCACGAATTAAGTGGAACAGAATTGATTGGGCGGTAGAGTCGTAAGGCAAATTATCAGAAATCGAATTTATTTTGTCCCAAAAGTTAGAAATTGACATATCTCCCTTAATAATACACAACAACTCATTTCGCAAGTGTAAAATCCAATTATGTGTGGTGGACGCATAACGACTCTCCAATGATTGCTAAGTGTGGCGAGAAGTGGGGGAAAGATTGACAATAGCCAATACTGCCGGACTCAATGAGTTGTTGATCCAACTGAGAATGGTATGATCTTGTTGCACCTAATTAAGATAAATAGGATTCAGTAGAAAAGTATTTGTTGCTGGGAGATGCTTGGGTGGACATGGCACCGAACCATCAACATAGCAAAAAAGGTCATGATTGCGAAGAATGGGAGATATTTGAGCCAACCAAAGTGGATAGTTGGTTATGTTGAGCTTGATGGTATCAATAGTGGAAATTGTGAGTTAAGCAACATTGTTGGGTGTGGCAGAACTGTTGGTTGGAGGTGATGATGGGTTTGCATCATTGGTGTAGGCAGGAGCATCACTTGAGTTGGTAGCCATGAGAACATAAAAAAAATGCATCATTTGACTAGAGGCTCTGGATACCATATAAGACTTCGAAATAGCATGAAAGCTTGCAAAACCAATATGGCTACAACTTTATGTATTTATAATAATTGTATAGATATAAGTACAAGTTTGAAAATCATAAAGTTGTTCCTACAAATGAAATGATGTAGTTGTTAACTTCCAGTAAGTGGTATGAATAGTATAACAACTGTTCATACATTGCAACTAAGTTGATATCTATGACATAGTATTAACAGTGTACTTCTATGACATAGTATTAATAGATTTTCAGTGACATAGCGTGTTTTATATTTTGCTCTATATATAGCTGTGCACTTGAAGTTTATGATATGCAAAATGTGATTTTTACTAGGAAGATAGTTCTATGACATAGTATTAACAGTGTACTTCTATGATATAATATGAGTATTTTACTAATTTTCTATAATATTAACAGATTTTTTAGTAACAAAGTATGCTATATATAGTTGTGCACTTGAATTTTATGATATGCAGAATGTGATTTTTAGTAGAAGATAGTTCTATGACATAGTATTAACAGTGTACTTCTATGACATAGTATTAATAGATTTTCAGTGACATAGCGTGTTTTATATTTGCTCTATATATAGCTGTGCACTTGAAGTTTATGATATGCAAAATGTGATTTTACTAGGAAGATAGTTTCTATGACATAGTATTAACAGTGTACTCTATGATATAATATGAGTATTTTACTAATTTTCTATAATATTAACAGATTTTTAGTAACAAAGTATGCTATATATAGCTGTGCACTTGAATTTATGATATGCAGAGATGTGATTTTTAGTGGAGATATTCTAATGACATAGTATTAACAGTGTACTTTATGATATAGATTAACACCTTTTTTTTTTTTTTTTTTTTTTTCTTTTTTTTTTTTTTGTAGATGGTGGGGGTTGTTTTTCCTTTTCTTTCTTTCTTTTGCCTTTTGCAATTGTTCTGGTGAAACTATGGACAATTGGAGTTGGTTTCTGCCCATGATATTAGATGTCTTCTAGGTTTTTTTGAGTTTTTTGTATGAAATGGTTTTTTTTTATGAAGGTATTAACAATGTTTTTTATAAATTGTATTAACAATGTACTTCTATGACATGATATTAATAATGTACTTCTATGAATAGTATTAACAATGTACTTCTATGAAATGGTTTGCAGAGGTTCGGTGGAGAAGGAAGGGTTGTAGGGACATGCCTTTGGTTTTGTGATTTTTTTTTAAGTTTGGATTTTTTTAAAATCTGGCTTGCCTTGCTGGGCTTGTTTTGGGTTTTTTTGTGTCTTTTGTATTGGGCTTGTTTTAAGTTAATCAATGACAGAGATGTAATATATAGGAAGTTCACCACTTATTTGTTATGTAGTAATGTTTTGGGGTATGTTTATAAAGTGATCCCTTATTTTGGTATGCTTTTTTATAAAATTGGGGCTGGGGTTTTTTTTGAGGTGCTTTTTTTTTTTTTTTTTTTTGTTGTTGGCTTGGTGAGTGGCAGTGCTGTAATTTATTGGAACTTCAATACTAATTTGTTATTTAATAAATGGGTTTTGGGTGTGTTTATAAAGTGTTTTTCATGTGGGGTTTTTATATAATTTCAGCCCCCTATTTTGGGTATATTAGTGAAGCTCCATTATTATACAAAATTAGTTAAATACTCATTCCTAGACATAAAACTATAAAAATACTTTATACTATTTCAAACAAGATGAATTCAAATTCAAGAACTCAATAGACTTATCCACGTCAAAGGTCTAACAGCCCCACTCAAGCTGAGTGGTCCTTGGAGAACAAGAAGCTTGAAAACAAGTGTCTTAAATTGAGAAGAATGGAGACTTTTAGTGAACAAATCAGCGACCTGATCTTGGGAGCAAATATAATTAACATTCAACTCACCACGAACCACTTTCTCCCGAACATAGTGGTAGTCGACTTCTAAATGCTTAGTCCGTGAATTAAAAAAAAGGATTGGAAGCAAGAGCAATAGAAGAAGTATTGTCACACCATATGGGAGGCGTAGGTAAGAAAATACACAAATCTCGGAACAAGAGCTTAACCAAGATAACTCAGGAGCAGTATAAGCTAATTGCATGTACTCAGCATATGTACTAGAACGTGAAATAGTTTTCTACTTCGTTGACATCTCGATACCTGTTAGAATTGTAGGGGAAACAACAAAGTGATTTTATCATATTTGGAGGAGAATAGTATATAGCATAGTGTAGGCTAATTGGCCTCTTAGTTTTATGGCTTATTGGCCATTACACTTGGTTTAGATTGGTTTGGGCTATTTGGCCCTTCACTTAGATTAGTTTGGGCTATTTGGCCTTTACACTTTGATTAATGAGCTTATTGGCTCTCAACATAGTTTGATTTGGGTAGCTCTTGGCTCCCTTAGTTTGGGTAGCTTTTGTGCTCCCACATAGATTGGGAGTTCTATTAGATGACTCCCCATATGACTTGGGTTGGGTAGCTTGTAGCTCCCTAATAGTTTGGGAGTTCTTTGCTAGACTCCACCACACTTGTAAGCTGCATGCCTATTTATAGGCAACTTTGCCGACATGCACAGCCACCAACTTGGACTTCTTAATTTCTTAGCCACACATGTGTCTTGTACTAGAATATTCTTCAAACTTCAATTGTTGTTGTTCCACCGCCTTGAGCATTTAGCTTGTTCTAGAATATTCTTGCGTTGCCATCTCCATCTTTTGAAGTCTTGACTTCTCTAGAATTGTGTAGAACACAAATGAGCATTATTTTTCAACAATACCGAAGCCCATGATCATACGAGACCTTCATATGCCGCATAATGCATTTCACTGCCTGCCAGTGCACTGTTGTAAGTGAGTGCATGAATTGGCATACTTGGTTCACAACATAAGATAAGTCCAGCCGAGTAATAGTGAGGTGTTGTATGAAGCAGGGATTAAGTGGAACAGAATTTACTGGGCGGTAGAGTCGTAAGGCAAATTATCAGAAATCGAATTCATTTTGTCCAAAAAGTCAGAAATTGACATATCTCCCTTAATAATACGCAACAACTCATTTCGCAAGTGTAAAATACGATTATGTGAGGTGGACGCATAACGACTCTCCAACAATTGCTAAGTCTGGCGAGAAGTGGGGGAAAGATTGACAATAGCCAATACTGCCGGACTCAATGAGTTGTTGATCCAACTGAGAATGGTATGATCTTGTTGCACCTAATTAAGATAAATAGGATTCAATAGAAAAGTATTTGTTGCTGGGAGATGCTTGGGTGGACATGGCACCGAACCGTTAACATAGCAAAAAGGGTCGTGACTGCGAAGAATGGGAGATATTTGAGCCAACCAAAGTGGATAGTTGGTTATGTTGAGCTTGATGGTATCAATAGTGGAAATTGTGGGTTAAGCATCATGGTTGGGTGTGGCAGAATTGTTGGTTGGAGGTGATGATGGGTTTGCATCATTGGTGTAGGCAGGAGCATCACTTGAGTTGTTGGTAGCCATGAGAACATAAAAAAATTAATGCATCATTTGACTAGAGGCTCTGGATACCATATAAGACTTCGAAATGGCATGAAAGCTTGCAAAACCAATATGGCTACAGCTATGTATTTATAATAATTGTATAGATATAAGTACAAGTTTGAAAATCATAAAGTTGTTCCTACATTTATCCATGTCAGACCTTGGTTTAATATCCATAAACATTTAACTTGAATAATGGCCCATTTAAACCAGGAATGAGTGACAAATATCCTTTTGTGACTAGCATGTGTTAACTTTATTTTTTTTATACAAATAATATTATACTTTAATTTAATTTAAATTATGGATAATGGGAAATAGCATATTAAATTCACACACACAACACGGATGCTAGAACTCAAACCCAGAATCTTGCCTGAGGGAGTAAATACTTCAAACCACTATACTAGTGGGTCCTTTGCCATGGTTAACAATTTTTTGTTTTTGTTTGTTTTGTTTTGTTTTTTTTTAGGACCTTTCCTATTGAAATGAGCGATAACATATTAAACTCACACACACAATACGGATGCTAGGACTTGAACCCAGGACCTTGTCTGAGGAAGTAAATACTCCAAACCACTACACTAGTGGGTCCTTTGCATGGTTAACATTTTTTAATAGAAGTTAACGGATGTCAACAATTTAATTGCCACCACTCATGATTTAAGAGTGACATCTTTTTCAAATTAAAGTTGAGTGTTTAAATTGATTTACTTATTTAAGTTAAGAGAGATTATTTTTAAGAAGAAAAAGAAATTAAGAGAGTTTATTCGTAATTTATCTTATAAATTCCAAATTTAGCAAAAATGTTCACCATAAGATTAAATACATTTTTTTATTTTAGCAAATTTAATTCAGGTTAATAAATATTTCCATAATTCAAGTTTGGTCGATGTACATTTTACTTTTCAACATAACTCCAATGCATAAAAATTCTTCTTTCTTCAATACACAAGAGGGTGCTTTTGCTAATTTTCAAATTTAGAAAGAAAAAACAAAAAAACACAACCTCGTCGCATCACATGCCGACTTCCTCGTCTCTCTCCAGCTCGAGCTCCCTATCGCTATTCTTCACGAACTCTCAAGTGGACCAGCCCCCCTTTCATTTACTGTTATAGCTCAGGTTCGTATCACTCTGTTATGGCTTTTGTTAATATAAAAAAACACGCTATGTTCTCTATGTTTGATTCAGCTCTCAGCTTTCTCTATGTGTGGTTCTTTGGTTGAAAGCCCAACCTTTTGTTTGTTATTTGTCCGACTGAAATGAATTGATTTTAACACAATTTTCTTTAGGTTTCTGTATATATCGCCAATGGCTTTAGGTGTTCCTGTCAGTTCTCAGACGATGTTGGAGAAATTTGTTTTCTGGGTTTAGTTTTGAGATTTTGGATTCTGGGTCGGCTTGATTTTGTTCTCATGTTTACTTGGAGGCCATCTTTTATTAATATCAATAAAATCAAAACGTGTACGTTGATGTATGTGATTTTTGGCTGATTGAATACAATCGCGTATGTGATTATAGAAAGAAAAAAAAAAGAGAATGGTGCTTTGAATTTAATTTATGTTTCTTCATTGTTTCAAAATTTAGGTGCTTTTGTTTTCATCCTTTGTTTTCTGGTCTTGATTGAATTAGTTTCATATGAGTCGTTCCCTTTAACCAATAGGAATAGGTGTTGCCTTTTGGAAATCCCTCTGAAATTTTATTTTTCATATTTGATTTGGAAGATCATTGCAGGAGCAACTGTATATTTTTGTTGTTTACTTATTTATTTATTTATGGTTGAGCTTCTGTCTATGCATTGTATTTATCTATCTGCTGATGAAACGGCCATGGTTTGATGATCTGAGAAAGTATTCCTTTTGTTGTGTATAAGTTTAATTATAATAAATCTAATTGTCTGATTGAGCATTGATAATTTGTGTGTTGTGATTTCAGTTTTCTTGGTGAAAGTCCATAATGGATTAGGAGGCCCAACCAAATTAACAAGTTCAGCAGTAAAAAACTTGGTGCTTCCCATCTTTTGGTAATCATTCAGTAAAATGATTTCTGTTTGTAGATATGGCTTTAGAAATAGTTACATGAACAGAAACTTCAGTAGGCTCTGTTATGAACATTCGTTTCATCAATACTTGTCTAACCCGCAAAGGATGGCCATCCTTTCATATAGTTCAAATCCAGTTAACAGCACTTTGAGGCCTATACAGTATTTGAGTCAAACCCAAATTGACCCAGTTCCCAAAATTGCTTCAAATGGATTTCTTGGTATATATGAGCAGTTGTTGTCGTATAACTTTTACTCAACCAAGCCCCCTTCGCGATCTTTTAGAAGGAGAGAAAGTAAAAGAGTCAAATCCAGTAAATCAACTCTTGATGAAGTCCAATTTCAAAGGGCCATATCCCAGTTGTTGCCTAGATTTACACCTGAAGAACTTTGCAATGTTATAACTCAGCAAGACGATCCTATTGTGTGTTTAGAGTTGTTCAATTGGGCATCGCAACAGCCACGGTTCAAACATGATGTTTCTACTTATCACATTACGGTAAAGAAACTTGGGGTAGCCAAAATGTATGAAGAAATGGATGATGTTGTCAATCAAGTGCTTGCTATTTCCTACATTGGTTCTGAGGCACTTTACAATTCCATTATCTATTTTTTCACAGAAGCCCGGAAGTTGACTAGAGCTGTCAATATATTTAAACACATGCAGAATAGCAGAAACTTGAATTGTAGGCCTTCAATTAGGACGTATAATATTCTTTTTACGGCCTTTTTGAGTAGGGGATCTAATTCTTACATAAATCACATGTATATGGAGACCATTAGGTGCCTGTTTAGGCAAATGGTGGATGATAGGATTGAACCTGATATTTACTCTTTGAATTCTATGATTAAGGGGTATGTACTTTCCCTTCATGTCAATGATGCACTTAGAATATTCCATCAGATGGGTGTGGTCTATAATTGCTTGCCCAACTCATTTTCGTATGATTATCTCATTCATGGGTTATGTTCCCAAGGCCGAACAAACAATGCTAAGCAGCTGTGCAATGAAATGAAGAGTAAAGGGTTTATCCCAAGTAGTAAATCATACAACTCGCTTGTGAACGCTTTAGCTCTGAATGGAGAGGTTGAGGAGGCAGTGAAGTATTTGTGGGAGATGATTGAGAAGCAAAGATCAGCTGAACTCATTACTTATAGGACAGTGCTTGATGAAATCTGCAGACAAGGAAGGGTGGGAGAGGCAATGAGGTTGTTGAAGGAGTTCCAAGAGAAAGACCTTCTGAATGGGCATACTTACAGGAAGCTTCTATATGTGCTTGAAGATGACTATGGAGATTCGAGTGCCCACTCTCAATTCAGGTAGTGTCATTGATCATCTGTGAGCACATTTTTCCGATTACTATGATGTTATCTTCCACAAATCTACCGGACTGCCAGTATTGTTAGTGCGGGATAGTGCCTAAATTAGAGCCTATATGTAGTTGGCAGCTGGTGTATGGCAAAAATTTCTGAATAGGTTGTTGATAAGTGGATCTGGTAAATTGGATATGAAGAAGCGATAGTATAAATTTTGAATTCTTTTATATACCGTTCATATCAGTCACTTGTAGCCTAATTGGCTGTAAGATTTATACAATCTTTGTAACAAGTGTTTGGACGAAGGTTTTTATGTACCTGTCATATCAATCACTAGTAGCCTAATTGGCTGTAAGATTTATACAATCTTTGTAACAAGTGTTTGGACGAAGCTTTTTATATACCTGTCATATCAGTCACTTGTAATAAGTTTTATCTATTGGAACAGGTTGAGTTTCCATCTGTTTGAATTGGGAAGTATGTTATCTTGGAGTGATAGTTATTAGTTTGCAGCTTACTCAATTTGCTTATTTGGATGTGAATAAACTCTGATCCAGTGCCTTCTTTGTTGCAGATAAACTGAGTTCTAAAAGTTGCTCTTCTTTTACTGTTGAAGTTAAGCCATTGCATCACTACATAGAGTTTGACAATCACGAAAAATGTTGCCATTTGGTTGAAAATCAGTTTAGGCAATAATAACATTTTAGCTCACCTCAAACAGTGCTGTTAAGAAATCAGCACAACCCTCTCTACGAGAGCTTGCTGCCAAATATGTATTCACCGGCGTCTCTTCCACTGGCACATGTTCTTGTGGCATCGTCCTCCTTGTCCAGGATAAATCCAAGTGATCTGGAAGACTCTTTACTCCAATTGGTCCAAGAGCAACACCATGCCTCCCTCGGAATCCACAAACTCACTGGTTAGTCTCCCCAACACTTGATCTTGGGTTTTATCCTTTATATTGCAAAAGTTCTTAACTATTGTAATGAATTAGTTACTAATTAATTAATTAAGAGTAATGTAAGTGATTGTGGCAGAGAAGGCACAGAATGAAGCCACTAAAAAGGCAGTGTGTGGCAGAGCTTCTGGTGGAAGCAGTGAACGGTGGGATGAAAGAGTTGTTTATAAACGAGAAATGAATTGAGCTTGAAATACGGGTATTGACTGCCACCATTTCCTCCTTCATCCAACAGACTGATTGGTGGCTCTCACTCACGCGTTCTAATAACACTGCCATCAAGGTTTGTTTATCTTTAAAAAAATAAAAAAGAATAATTAGCTTTTGAGAAATGTGGACTAGAGTCCCAACAGAATCCAGTTTGTGCGTAACTTTCCAAAATATCCACATGTAATTTTCATGCATAGCGTGTGTTGTTTTGATTTTCTTTTTCTCTTTTTAGCCAATAGCTGTGCCAAAAATTTTTGTCACAGCTGAGTCAAACTAATCCTTTGTCATGCTTTTTGGTCTTTTTATTCTGATGTTTACAAGAGTGGGATGTGCTTATAGTTTGACTCTTTTGTGGGTTTGTTTGTGTCGTAGGAAATCGGAGACTTTGAGAACTGGATGAAGATAATGGAATTTGATTCTAAAAGCATCAATGCAGCTATCCACAATATTCACCAGGCATAATCTCACAGGTCACAGCACGTTGTTTCAACAGTCACCGTTCTAATGAAGTACCTTAATCATGGAGTAACTTAGTACTGCACTACATAGGCCCTCTTCTCCCCCGCCCCTGTTAATGTCCAAATTTGTTTTACGGACACTCTGCACTATGCCTTCGCCAATCTCTCTACAACCAAGGGAAAAGGAAAAGGAGGGTTTAGTAACGAGGGAGGCACTACTTGTGTTTGAGTTTTTATCACTGTGCACTTTTCCTCACTTACTAATTTGTTGGACGTTGTCTTGTGGAGTCTCCACGTGTTTACCTATTGTTTTGAATGAGTTCCCTAAAAACATGAGAAGGATTTTTTGCCATGTATTTTTACGTGCTTTATCTCATTAACAAGTTACTTGGAATACCATATCGAAAAATCAACTAGGAATTCGATTTAGTTTGATCTTGTCAAAAATTATTGTCTCTGCGTTGAATGGTAGTGATATAATCCCCAAGAAAAGAAAGAAGGAAAATTGATCAAAGCGTATCATTACACTTGACAGACTCTGGCGTCTGCAATCTAGGCTTGCGAGTTGCGACTTCTCTTCTCCTCGATACCTGACTGAGAAAATCTACGTCGAAGAATGTCTAGAACCTCTTCCATTTTCACATCTTTAAGGGCCAGCAGAACCATGGCATGATAAAGCACATCTGCCATCTCTGAGGCAGCTCGTGGCTTATCTTCATGGTCCTCTAGTGTTCGGCATAGCTCATCTGCCTCTTCCCTGGAGCAACAAAGAAAACTATGAACAAAGGTTTACTGGTGAAAATTAGGATAGTTCATTTACTAACATAGTTCTCTGGTAAGGATAAAATGCATAAGAGTTCTCTAGTTCCTTTTGGTACCTTTGATTTCTTGAGAAGTTATCATACAAGGTTAAGAAAAACTTATATCATTACAACTCAAATCTGACACAATTTGACAATTTGAACATCATACCTTATTTTTGAACACAACAACTTCTCATCAAGTAGTAGTCGTCGGGTCCACGAGGGCTTTCCACTCTCTGGGACTTCTAATTCTCCTTTTCGCTGGGCAATTGTAGACTCCAATGAGTACAAAGTGGTCAATGCTAATTTATCTTCTTTGTCCTGCCACAAATTATCTGAATCACTTACAAAACACTGTAATTTGATTCATGAATGAATGATAAAAATATGTAAGCTCTTTTAGTTCATTAAATGCTGAAAACCTGTTGATTTTCTAACAAATCAAACACTGGGGTGTAATAGCAAGTCTCTGATCCTGTGTGGCAAGTAGGTCCATCAGGCTTCCCGAGGTAAATTATCTGAGAAATAAGTCTGAGTTAAAGTAATTAAATCGAGCACATAAACATAGATAAAAAAATATATTCCAATTAAACTAGCCAGCAACATACAGAGTCTCGATCACAATCAAGGAAGATGTCATGGACATTAATGAAATTATTGGAGGTCTCTCCCTTTGTCCACAACATTGAACGTGACCGACTGTAGAATGTTGCTTTCCGTGAGGAAACTGTTGTAGCCACTGCTTCCCTGTTCGCAAAGCCTTGCATCAAGATGGCTCCTGTGTCAACATTTTGAGCTATGGCAACCGCCAAACCTCTGTCATCCCATTTTACACTATCTAACACTGTTTCAACCTGAAATAATACTAACAGATATTACAGTCTCATCCATTTGCATATCCAAAATACTATCTTGATAATGGAGAAAAAGGAAAAACATGATGTACAGAATAAATTAAGACAAAACCTATAATATCTGTCACCAGTATGAGATATGGCACTACAATATCAGTCACCATGCGCATAACTAATTTTACATGGAGCAGTTATGGCTGATAATCAGAAGACAAAACCTACGGGTTTGACAGAACTAAACAGCTGAATCAAACAAAGGCAAGTTAAAGAATATGCTAATATGGAAAAGATAAACCATACAAGTCTCATTGAAAGGTTCATTCAAGAGCAAGAATACAAAATATAATACAAGTGAAATTTAAAAACTTGGCATCTGTGGCAAATCACACAGATGAAATGGCATCTGGTTTTCGTCTAGTTGTTAAACCTGTGTTTTAGCTTTCTTTTGTGGTCATTTTGACCACTGCTGTATTTTCTTGTTATATGCAATAAAATTTGTTTCTTTAAAAAAAAGTTCTTAGAAAATGATAAATTAAAAAATGTTTAAACAGTAGCCAGATGAACATGACGAAGTTCTTAAAAAGATCTTTAAAAGACAAGTATAAAAAATCAAGGATTACAAAGTTGAGACCGTTTGATTATCAGATAATCAATATGAAGAGAGAAAATAAATCCTTTTGGAATTATTGATAACACAACACTGGAATGATGAACACCGTTAAGACAAAAAACATTAGAGCAGCAGGAACACCATTCTCAAGTTTTGTCCTATCTTTTGCCAATAGGTTTTATGGTCCTCCTATGTCCTATTTAATATACGGTAGACACTTACCAGCACTCTCCTAAGAATGCTTCGAAATTGTATGGAAATTTGAGTCTTTTTGAATGCACACTCAGAGAAAGAAGTTTGTAAAATTAAGTTTTGATTTCTGACAATTGGCTGTTACCCACACACATATGTGACAAAATCTGGCTGAAGAAAAGGAAATTTGAGTCTTTTTGAATGCACTCTCAGAGAAAGAAGTTTGTAAAAGTAAGTTTTGATTTCTGACAATTGGCTGTTACCTACACACATACGTGACAATATCTGGCTGAAAAAAAAGGAAAATTATAAGTATTTGTGAATAATATGAACAGTAAAGAAAGGGGGTCAGTATGTAGAGTTCACATGTGGCCAAATATAGCTACACTTATACGTAAACTATTGGGGAACATTGGGTACTTTTCTAGAAGATGAATCATGCTAAAGAACAGGTATTGAAATGAACCAGTGTAACAAAATTTTATTTTATTTGAGAAACAGCTAAAGAACGGGTGTTATATGTAGTCAGTATTGATTCTATAAATGCTGATGGGTTTATCAAGATAAGATAAAAACAAAGAAGAATCCTTCTGTATCACTTATTAGAAATATTTCTATGTAATACTTTTTCTTTGGAAGTGATGAGCGTACAGTCCAGATGGTATCGAACAACAATGGACAGCTTCAAGATATGCTAACGAGTAAAAACCATCCAGCAATATCATTCTCTATTTTCTCTGTTTAAGACCTGTAAGTCCGTACCACAAAACAACAGTCCGGGTATGATCTGACTGCATAAATAGGTACCTTTGATTGAAGATGAAGGTCCCTGTCCAAGTTGTTGGTGGAGGCATAAACAAGGGAACTGCTCTTTCTCGTGAAATTGTCTCTACCATGATAATAATTGTTAGAAACGGAAGGACGGCAGGGGAAAGAAACTCTCACAGATTGCAGACAGTGTAAATGTGAAATCGCCATTCATGTCAAGCTTCCTGTGACAACATATACAAGATGAAGCCATTTCTCACCAAAAGGAACTAAAAAGGGAAAGAAAAAAAAACACAACGCATTCATGAAAAAAAGTCCACAATGATATACCTAGGAATCAAAGAAATATGTGTGAGGTACTCAAGATTAAAATCTTCAGAGGAAATGAGACAAAGGAAATGATATCTGCAATAATAAGATAGATAAATCGTGAGAGTAATGACAGTACTATGGGCGTCTCTATGTTCTGTGTGTGGGTTTGTGTGTGTGTGTGTGTGTGTGTGAGAGAGAGAGAGAGAGAGAGAGTACCATAGCAGAGAAATTCTTCTGGCACCCTTTTTCTGATTCTTATGATGTCCTGAATAAAAAGAAAGGTTTATGATAATGCTCTGTAGATAAATAAAAAAAAAGGCAGGTTCACCCAATGATCAGACTTGAAAAAGCAGTCCCACGCAAAAAAAGAAAATGAAAAAAGACTTGCAAAGGTAAGAACTAATAAAACAGATCATCACATATTGGCCTAACCTAACATTGGATATCTCGTCACATAACTAACATATGAAGTGAATATAATTCTACAACAGATTCATGCTGATGAGGCAAATATAGAACATCATTTCTCTAGAGAGCTTTTTTTATTTTTATTTTGCAGTGATTTCGTATTGTAATCACCCACTGGCAATGGATGTCACCGTAATCTGGTTCAAGTAACCTCCTTTGAAGAGGGCTTGATTAAACCAGTTCAATCCTGTCTGAAATTTTGAACTTGCATTAGCAACAACCCCGGCAGCAACATTAGGGGGAAGAACAACTTTATCAAGCACAATGACAAACTCTTCCTAAGCTATTGCTATAACCACATAACTGTCACCGCATTCATGCAGTTCAACTAATCAAGGACTACATGGGCGTTTTGTTGTGAAAACTACGCTGCTGTAATGTGAATGATTGCTGCAAAACTAGAACTTGAAAGTGTCCAACAAGTTTGGAATCACACTAAACACATTTTGAAGATGCCCTTCTACTTTCTTTCTTTTTGAATACATGCTTAAATTAATAAAACAGGGAAGACCACTGCACAACAACAAAGGCCTAAACAAATCCGTAAAGAGTAAAGACAAAGACCAGGCCATACAAGGCACGCAAAATGATCAAACAAGATACTTAAATATACATAACAGTATTTCAAATTCAGAAAGATCACAAGGCTACAAGCCGAATTTCTTTTAGGCTCAACAAATATGTTTTCTTTACAACATCTGCATAAAAGTTCTAATTCTGTTAAATTCCTTGGCTCATATTCAAAGAAAGGAAAACAAAATTTGAATTTTTCCTGTGTCATGAAATCATAAGTTGCAAATAGGTAACTTTAGTTTCATAATCAAAATTCAGTACAATAAATACAAGTTCAGTTAAGTTGATCTGCAATGATAGCAGAAGAAAAATAACAAAAGAAAAGTATATGTGAATCCAACTCTACAGATACAACCAAATGTCAGCATAGCTTAAACAGGAACCTTGAATTCAACTAGACTAGAAAATAAACCCAATTACCAACCACATAATATCAAAGTCATCCATTTCACATCGAAAGCTATTCGGATTGTTATCACCATTGAGAGTTTTCAAATTCTAAAGGAATCCCACTTGGGTTTCATTACTGTGTAACCAAATCAATTATCCTTTTCACATTACAAAGCCAGTACAGTTCACATAGTAGATAACAAAAATGGAACAAAACACTGCAAGGGAAAGGGAAAAAGCAGAGCAGAATGCTAAGACATTGACAAAATCAACTCAGATCTGAACATGCTTTTACAAACAGCTCAATTCATAAGTAAGTAAAACTAACCAATCCTAAAAATGCAAACAGCTCAATTCAAGAATCATAACATGCTTGAATTTGCATTGAAATTTTTACGTCTCATGCCATGCGTTGAAATAAAAATACAAAGAGTCAAAACTAATTAACACCACCAACGGCAGAACTAAAAAAACCCAACTTAACCAAACGACTCTAAATCCGAAAATCAACAGATCTCCCCATCCACTTCTCCCTCTAACAGCTTCAGCAAATTCTTAGAGAAGCCACTGAAATTCATATCCAACCCACCAACTTAATCAAATTCTTAGAGGATATAATGCTAAGTTTTCACCATCAAAACCCACATCAGTGCATTCCAGTATCACATGATTCAGATGTGAACAAGCTATGTGGGTGCGTTTGTGTGCTGATATACCAACTCAGCTTCAGATTTAGAGAAAGAGAGGCGTAATGCTGCTGATGTTGCTGTTGCTGCTGCTGCTGCTCTGTGCTGCCGATAAAACAAACGTATGTCTATATCGAATGTAGACAAGCGTGCGTACTCTCTAATATTACGGGCTCCACGGCAATTCCAAACCCAACCCAAATTTTGGCCCAACCCAAGCACGTCTTTGCATTGATCTGCACACCTAATTTTAATGTCAAATCTACCCTTATTTTAAAGGGTTTTTCGCAGCTATGGTCTCTCAACTATACCTGTAATTGCATTTGGGTCATTGAACTCAATTATTAGTTGCAAAGGTCACTCAACTATGTGTTTCGTTGCACCAGCAGTCCTTCCATCAAGTCCGTTAGTTTTTTCGGTTTAAAATGATGATGGGGCAAGATCTATCCAATTATTGATGACTTTTCAGTTAGGATTATTTGTAGCAATGATCCCTCAACTATACTCGGAGTTACATTTTCATCACTTAACTCCGAAAAATAGTTATAGAGGTTACTCAATTAGGAGTTGTGTTGCACCATTAGTCCCTTCCGTTAGAGTGACTTGACGGTAGGGACTAACGGTGGAAAGAAACACCATAAACAAATGTCAAGAAGCACAAATCAGATCAGATCTTCATGTAGCAGATACAAGATTGTATTCGACCAGCATACTCATCAACAGAACACCTAAAACCCACATGCAATTTCTACAAGAACATCAGATCTAAAACCCATTTTTGAACAAAACCCAGTTCGTCAATTAACTTAAATCAAACAAATAACAAAACCAAACTCTAAAGCCACAAACATTCAAACGGGTACAAAGGCTCAAAGCAATAAAGGGAGGATAGAGATTCAAACCTCAAGAAACTCGAAGTGAAGAATGTATGGGGGGATCTCTCTCGACGCCGACTTGAGTCTGAAGAGTGAGAGGGAGGAGAGGATGAAGAGAATGAGAGGCTTGGGGATTTAAAGAGGAGCAATTGCTACATCTGTTTGGTTAGGGTTTCTTTATGCACCGTTGGATCTTGGTAGAAGGAGAGGACAGGGAGAAGAGAGGGAGAGCAGAGGGGGAAAGAGGGGGCAGCTGTGGTGGAGAATAAGGGCAAAAGGGAAGAGACGAAGTAGAGGAAGGGCGATGAAAAGTTGCAGGAAAAAAATGGAATTTTCATTAAAACAAAATTATTTATTTATTCTTTTCATGTCACAATGTGATTGGATATGTAGGCTCTATTTATCTTCCATATCATACTTAACAGAATTTCTAACCGCAGGGACTATTTATGATAAGAAGCCATAACGTTAAGGACTATTAATGTCACAAAAAAATCTCAAGGATTATTCATAACAATTTTGTAAACGTCAATAACCATTTGTGATAAAAAGCCAATAAAATTTAAGCAAATGGCCCTATAGTGTAGTGGTTTGAAGCAATTACTCATCCATAAAAGGTTTTGGGTTCGAGTCCTATTATTCGTGTAGTGTGTGTGAATTCGTCTGTCTCAAAAAGAAAGGTTAAAAAAATAAACTAAAAAACTAAATTTTAAATAGATATGCGCTCGAGCGAGAGCCTGAGTGCGGCTGATGTCATCGCTGATGCCAGCACGCGGTTTTAAAAAAAATTTACCTTTGGCGCGTGCAATGCATGCGCCAATGTTAAAAAAAATTCAAAATTGCGCGTCAGCTTTTCGTCCAACGGTTATGTGCGACGTGGCGGCCTCTTGTCCTTCCGATTTCGCCTTGTCATCCAATCCAACGGCCTTGCATTTTTCAAGGCAAAAAATTATGAAAAAAAAAGCGTAAATTTTTTAAAAAAAAATACTGACTTTTTTTCTATAAATACCAATACCTACTCTTCAGTTTTAACAACAAATTCTCATACATCTTCTCATTCTCCAACTATTATTCACTTTCTATTCAATATTTTATTCACTTTTTACTCTAAATTGTTTTCATTTTCAAGTTTAATTTTTCTCTATCATTATGGCTTTTTCTCAAAAAACTGGAGGGGCATGGAGCATCGTGGAATATGTCTTGTTGTGTGAGTGTTGGGTCCAAATTAGTCATGATCCCATATCGGGTAATGAGATGAAATTCAGTCAAATGTGGAAAAAAAATTCTTCACGAATTTGTTGAAAGATCGGGTTCCACCCGTACGAAAAGCGCATTGTCAAGTCGGTGGAAACTTCTCAACAAAGAGTTGGGGAAATGGAGAGATGCCCTCACAAAAGCGATGAATAACCATGCAAGCGGGGAAAATCTCAGCGATGAGGTAAATTATTTGTAATTTTCATTTTATTAATTTTAATGTTTCTTGCAATTGGTATATTTTGTTAATATTTCTTGTATTTCCATATTTATTTAAATGTTTCTTGCAATTTTTATGTTTTGTTATTATTTCGTGCCAAACCCATGTATCGAAACTTGCAACGGCTTCAAGGATGATGCTTTTTTGGCCTTTCCGATTTCCGTACTCACCCTACCAAGCAGTTGGGCAATTCTTCCATTGCCAGTGCATGCAGTCGATGCTACCAATCATTCCTGGAAATCCTCTCCGTTCGGCTTTCTGCAAAAGTCGTTACAAGTCCCTGGGCGTGGGTCGGCGCAGGTAGTTCCTGGTGTACAGAGTTTCGACTGCATCACAAAATCTAACCAAACTCTCCAAGGCAGTGGACTTCCCCATCCGGGCAATCTCATCCACATGATCAACATATGCACCATACGCCAACATTCGTATAACAGCTGTGAACTTTTGTTCGGGAAGCAGTCCCAAAACACCAGCACAATTTCTCTTTTGAACAAAGTATTCATCATAATTGCAAATATCATGCATGATTTTATTGAACAAATGTTGTTGCATTCTATACCTCCCTCGAAAATAAACATGAGTACAGAGATGTTGGGATAAAATAATCTTCCATAAGATTCTTACCCTAAGAATGCCTATGTTTGTCAACATTTGGGGCACGGCCTTCATGTGAACCACGACTGCTCTGGTTTTCTTCATCAAGCATGGCCACAGCCATGACAAGTTGCTGATCTAGATCTCTTTGCGCTCGTTTGCTTGCAGCTCGTCTACGCCTTCTTTCTCTTATTTCTCGCTCTTGCCTCTCCAAGACCTCCTCCATGTCTGACATTGTGAATGGAAGATGAAATATGAAATCTAAAATCTGAGAAATGAAATTTTTGAGAAGATGTAGTGTGAGAGGTTTGTGAGCTGAGCCTTTGTTTTATAGAAAAATTTAGGTCGATAGACATGACACGTGGCGAAAGTTGATAGGCTGAAAATCTTATCCGAAATTTGAAATTCAAATGAAATGTATCTGAAATGTGAAATTCAAATGAAAAGTTGAAATTCAAATTAAATTTATATGAAATTTGAAATTTAGATGACACGTGGCACAATTTTATAAGGTGAAAATCTTATCCGAAATTTGAAACTCGGATGAAATTTATCTGAAATTTGAAATTTATATGAATTTGAAATTTATCTGAAATTTGAAAAAAAAATTTATCTGAAATTTGAAACCGAAAATCTTATATGAAAATCTTATCTGAATATTTTATTAGAAAATCTCATCCGAAAATATTGTCCAAATTAATTGTTTAGGTAAACAAATTTGTGAAAAAAACAAAAAATTGAATAGTACCCCCCTTGTCATGACAACTGCTGGAAGTGCAACTTACTTTTTGCAAGGGCAGACACTATTCCCATGAATAGTGTCAGCCCTAGCCCCCCCTTGCCATGGCAACATTCTCACTGCTGGAAGTGCTCTTAAAGTTGAGGTGCTACTTTCCTGCTGTGATGGTCAGAAAAAAGCCTGTAATTGTTAACTTTTTTGTTATTTATAATCTTTTTTATTTTAAGGAAACGATAATTAATTTTAAGGGTCCTTTTAGAATATGTAGAGTGTGTTGCAAGTAAAGGCATAATATTTTGAAGTGTGGGCCTATGTGTGGAGAACAATCAAAAGCTTGAAGATCAACTTTTTAGTGTGAAGAGTCAGACAATCATCTTATTTAAAATTTAGATATGATCACAAGTTATAGTTTTATGATTTACATAAGTAAATTAGTACTAGTATATCTTTGTAGCTTTGTTTCGGGTTATTTGAAAACGACTTGATGGGGTTGAGTGGTGGGTGTATTTTCCTTCTTGATCAAATTAGCTTTCGGCCTAGTACTTTAATTTTTAATTTTTTAATTAGGTTTTGCGATTGAAAAAATCAAACTATAAAAATCTTATATAGAGATAAGACACATCTCACTTATAATAGGATACATGCTAAATAAAAACATGCCCCATTTTCGGCAAAAGGGACTATATATCACTAGGCATGTTGTATGAGAGCTCACAAATCGACCAAAACATTTTATCCTCGATCATGAGTTAACCTAAGCCATAATGCTGGACCTAAATGCCAATTTTATAGTCTTTATAGGCCTACGTCGACTTTCAAGACAAAGGAACCATCATCCATAAATAATAGTGAATTCCATAATATGAAGTTATGAACTCTCACCCCCAAAAAAAATTATAAAAAAAAAAATCATAAAATAATAGTGAAATTCACCGTCTTTTATAATGAGTATTCGACTTCAAATTTTTTTTTTCACTTTTCATCGATGGTTACATTAGGTGATCTTTGCTAGCTAAATTTTTGTCTTTTGTTTTTGTTTTTTCATGTGCTGCTTTGGATTCTTGCCCTATAAGCTTTCCAAAAATGATAATTCGAGCAAAATACAATGATCAAAATATCCAACCTATTTTTATTGGCATGGACATGATAAGTTAAGAGTATTTTATTTTTGTTTACCATAGATAAAATTTCATTCATCATAAAATGAAGGGAGTTGAGGTTTCACTCCAAAATCAATCAGTAATGGGAGGAGTAGGGCAAAATGTGGGACAAAATACTGCACGCGTAACCGTTGGATCCAACACACCAAGCGTTGCTATGATACCATGAAGAAATTGAGATTCCACTATAAAACCACTTTTCAATGTGAAACAAACACTCTCAATATAAAATTTGAAAGTTGAATGGCTATTAAATATTTTATTTAACAATTCCTCAGCAGTACTTTTTTTTTCCCAAAATCGTTGAAAAGTTTTATTAATAGCGAATAATGAGATTCACATCTGCAGCAAAAATTTTAAAAAGCCATTCAGTTTCAAACATATTTCCAAACATGATTAACTCATGTCTATAAACGAAACGAGCTACAATGTGGGCTGCCCGGTTGCAACACCGGGTGCAAACACAAAAGACACCCGACCCGAGTGAGATGAGGCATCAGCTCAGCAGTATTCTCTTCTTCATGATCTTCTTTACCCCACAATTAAAAAGCAAAAAGAAATAAAGAATTAAATAAAGAGAATTAAATGAAAGGGTAGGATGGTCATTCACGGGAAGAAGAATATGCTTGTTCAAAAGTGGCGACACCATGTCTAAGGATTAGGGCATCAGCAGCGCCGCAGTGGCAAGTGAGCAGTGCAACCGTTAGATCAAATCTACCAAGATCCAACGGTGCATAAAGAAACCCTAACCAAACAGATGTGGCAATTGCTCCTCTTTAAATCCCCAAGCCTCTCATTCTCTTCATCCTCTCCTCCCTCTCACTCTTCAGACTCAAGTCGGCGGCGAGAGAGATCCCCCCATACATTCTTCACTTCGAGTTTCTTGAGGTTTGAATCTCTATCCTCCCTTTATTGCTTTGAGCCTTTGTACCCGTTTGAATGTTTGTGGCTTTAGAGTTTGGTTTTGTTATTTGTTTGATTTAAGTTAATTGATGAACTGGGTGTTGTTCAAAAATGGGTTTTAGATCTGATGTTCTTGTAGAAATTGCATGTGGGTTTTAGGTGTTCTGTTGTGATAATCTGTTCTGTTGATGAGTATTATTGTTTGCTGGTCGAATACAATCTTGTATCTGCTACAGGAAGATCTGATCTGAGTGGTGCTTCTTGACATTTTTTTATGGTGTTTCTTTTCCAATGTTTGTGTTATATGTAACTAGGCTTCATTATCTGGTTTGTGGATTTTATCAGTTCCATGTGACTCGTTCCCTTGAAGCAAAATTAATAGGTGTTGCTTTCCATAAATTTTTACCTCAAAATTTACGTCTTGTTTCTTTGGGAAACAGTGGAGCAACTAAATTTTCAAATGGTGTAAATTTTGTTCTTTGTTTTTATTTTGTAAATTTTACAATGGTATAAATTTATTGGTAACTGTGATGAACCTTCAGACCTGTAATGATATGCGGACATGAGCGCAGATCTAAGAACATCTAAGGGACTGAGTTTAATTTTTCTCTTGCTAATTTGAGAACTTTTTTCATTATGCATGCTTTGATATTACAATTTAAAATGAAGAGTTTTTTTTTGTTACAATTATTTTATGGTGATATACAGTTTGTAGTTTATTTATTTACTAGTAACGGTGATGATCCTACAGACCTGTAATGATTTGCGGGTATGATCGCAAATCTTTAAGAACATCTAAGGGACTGAGTTCTGCAGTAATAGCGCATATCTATTTTGTTTTTTTGCAAACCTTTACCATCAATACTCTGTATTTGAATTCTTAGTTGTTGCTTATGTTCAGTCTGTTTGTTGTTTGGTGAAAAGTTCATGTTACTATGATCTTGTATTCTATTCAGGCTAATTGCCTGTTGAGTTTTGACACTTTTTGTTTGCAATTTCAGATATCTTGCTGAAATTCCATCATGGGTAAAGAGAAGTTTCACATCAACATTGTGGTCATTGGCCATGTCGACTCCGGGAAATCAACCACCACCGGTCACTTGATCTACAAGCTTGGTGGTATTGACAAGCGTGTTATTGAGAGGTTTGAGAAGGAGGCTGCTGAGATGAACAAGAGGTCATTCAAGTATGCCTGGGTGTTGGACAAGCTCAAGGCTGAGCGGGAACGTGGTATTACTATTGATATTGCCTTGTGGAAGTTTGAGACCACCAAGTACTACTGCACAGTTATTGATGCTCCTGGACATCGTGACTTTATCAAGAACATGATTACTGGAACCTCCCAGGCTGATTGTGCTGTCCTCATTATTGATTCCACCACTGGTGGTTTTGAAGCTGGTATTTCCAAGGATGGTCAGACCCGTGAGCATGCTTTGCTTGCTTTTACTCTTGGTGTCAAGCAGATGATTTGCTGCTGTAACAAGGTAAAGCTTTTATTTTATATGTCAATGGTATTGTATGTCAGGCATTATCGTTTTTGTTATTTATTAGCAGCGCTAACACAGGACTCATTATTTAAACTGTTATGTACAGATGGATGCCACCACTCCCAAGTACTCAAAGGCAAGGTACGATGAAATTGTGAAGGAAGTCTCATCCTATCTTAAGAAGGTTGGGTACAACCCAGATAAAATTGCCTTTGTCCCCATTTCTGGATTTGAGGGTGATAACATGATTGAGAGGTCCACTAACCTTGACTGGTACAAGGGTCCCACCCTTCTTGAGGCCCTTGACTTGATCAATGAGCCCAAGAGGCCCTCAGACAAGCCACTCCGACTCCCACTTCAGGATGTGTACAAGATTGGTGGCATTGGTACTGTACCTGTTGGACGTGTTGAGACTGGTGTTGTGAAGCCTGGTATGGTTGTTACTTTTGGTCCCACTGGACTGACAACTGAAGTTAAGTCTGTTGAGATGCACCATGAAGCTCTCCAGGAGGCTTTTCCAGGTGACAATGTTGGATTCAACGTCAAGAATGTTGCTGTCAAGGATCTCAAACGTGGTTTTGTTGCTTCCAACTCCAAAGATGATCCTGCAAAGGAGGCTGCCAACTTTACCTCTCAGGTCATCATCATGAACCACCCTGGCCAGATTGGAAATGGATATGCTCCAGTTCTTGACTGCCACACCTCCCACATTGCTGTCAAGTTTTCTGAGATCTTGACAAAGATTGATAGGCGATCTGGTAAGGAGATTGAGAAGGAGCCCAAGTTCTTGAAGAATGGAGATGCTGGTATGGTGAAGATGATTCCAACCAAGCCCATGGTTGTTGAGACTTTCTCTGAGTACCCGCCACTTGGTCGTTTTGCCGTGAGGGACATGCGACAGACAGTTGCTGTTGGTGTCATCAAGAGTGTTGAGAAGAAGGATCCAACCGGTGCCAAGGTCACCAAGGCTGCAGCAAAGAAGAAGTGAGATGTGTTTTACCGTGCCCTTGAGCTAGGCTAGTTTTGTCCAATGCTGTTTCTTTTCAATTTGTTTGGTGTTATTATGGAAGTTTTGTGGACAGTTTTGAATGTTTACATCGTAGTACTCTACCAACCCCTTGTAAGGGTTGTGGAGGAGCTGAGCAGTTGGATCATCCTCCGGTTGCTCTGCTAGCTGTGTTGTAGGCTCCTCGTGTTTTCGTTTTATACATTGAGATGAGTTGTGTAGTTGAACAACTTCGTATTAATGTTTGCAGCTTCTGTTTTTGTGTCTTAACTTCGATTTTTCCTCAGATTTTTGATCTTATGAGATTAGTTATGCTCTATTGTTTACTCATCTAAACAGAGTATTATATTGCTTAGCAGGTTTCTTTGTTTGAATTAAAGGAGTCGCCTTGCATACCCTCTGTTCAAACTTCTGTTTTGATCTGTGGCAAAAGGCTTTCAAACTTCTGTTTTGATCTGTGGCAAAAGGCTTTTAAACTTCTGTTTTGATCTATGGTGTTTACAACATAGGGAATCTAAAATGCACGTTCTTTGTACGATCTCAAAATGTATGAAATTGTGTTGGATTAATTAATTTAGTTGGAAGTAAATTCTGTCGTCACATCTCAAAATGTATGAAATTGTGTTGGATTAATTAATTTAGTTGGAAGTAAATTCTGTCGTCACGAAATAATTGTTTTGAGCAACATTTACACAGGATGCCGTCTTCTCACGCTAAGTTGGATGAAACCCAACATGCTTTACCAGTCTCATGGTCTCATAATGACAACTAAAAAGAATTTTATAGATACCAATGAAAATAAACCTTCAATATAAATATGTTTGGCATATTTAAACATCTTGTAAATCCAAACATAAATTAATTGTGATAACCTTAATTCCACAATAACATAAATCTGCTCAATACTTTGGATTAACCTAATGAACATCCAAAGAAAATCTCCTGTGAAAATGACTTGAGTATTTAAATTCGTTTACGAATACAAGCTGCTATTGCCCATATATCAGTTGTAGTTAGTATTCGCCTCACTGGAGTAGTCAACCCAAGTACAAAATTGTAATGCCAGAACCCAACTACTGAAGATGCGCAGCTGTCCATAAAAGCATATACCGGCAGTCCATCACAATGTGCACTAGTGCTGGTTCAATGCGCAAGTCACATCTGCAGAGGTAATGACATTCAATTGTTACATACAAATTGATCACAAGGATCCCCAGATCCACATTCTCCAAGTCATTCTTTAAACAAAGGAGATATCTCCATTCTTTTTCTTTAATAAGTAAATAAAGGAAATTTCTCAAGATTTCATAATCAACCCTCAGAACGGATTCAGAACCTCTTATGCGGTACAATGAAAAAAAGCTCTACAAAGAGATAATTAGTTTCTACCTGACAATAAATCACAATTCTTTATCACTGTCAAGCTGTGACTTTGTAGCTGCCTTTTCAGCTTCTTCTAAGACAAAAGTCTTAAGTGATTCAACATCCCTCGGCCCTGACCATTTGCACAAGAAACAAGAACTAAGTCAGATACTACACCAGAGAAAGTCTAATAAGTTTTTGAAACAATTAATCTTGACTGCCTGCAGGCTGCACTTGACTCAAGTCTACAAATAATGCACAAGGCAGATGAAACAGTTATTTGGATTGTAACAGAACAAACCCACTTCAAATCTTAAGGGATGGCTTGAATGGCTAAGCCAAATACACACATGTACACAGACACAGAAACATGCAATAGTGGCCTGAACGATCAATTTTAAAAAGACCTAAAAAATCATTTCCCTCATCCACAGATTTTTCAATTACCTATATTTGATTGTGGGACCTGAGTAGTTGACTGTAACCTGAGGTATCAACACTGATTGTAACAGACAACTATGAAAATAATTTCCCTCATCAAAGATTTGCCATTACATATATTTCTTATGGAACCCAAGTAATTGGCTATAACCTGGGGTATCATACATCACACAGAAATTATAGTCATTGTGTTTTTTAACCATGGCTACCAATCTAACAGTTAACAGAACTGATCTCACCATAAAATACTAAATAAGGCGGCCATTATTACACATGTACATACTAACCAAGCCAAGGATCTTTCACCACAACAAATATCATCATTATCACTGCCATACCAAAGCAGCCGATCTCTCACAGGTACACACTAAACACAGCACCCCTTAAACATTCTAGAAATTTCCATCTCACATTCCCTCCTCCATCCAAAAAAAAGGAAAAATAAAATATAGAACCATGCACACATCTCTTTCATCATTGCGGCATACAAAGGTAAATTAATTGCAATAAAGATTACTTTTCCAAGATGATACTGTATTGTCTCTTTCAATATCTGACGCTACCAAATGTTAGGTCTTCTTATTTGTGTTGTGATGAATTTTCAATGTTGTTTATTAAACTTAGGACACTGCAACTGTCCAGACTCTAATAATATAAATTGCCAAGTTGCTGAAAATGGCATGATACTACAGAATAGTTGATCCGGTGGTCAACTAAGATGCCCAAAATAAATTATAACGCTTTCCCAAATGAATCTGTATCAAAATAAAATGATTGAAATCTATTTACTATTTGGCCAAGCCCTCTTCAACAGGAATTTCATAGAAATTTAAAAGGCACATGTGATCAAATTATAAAGTGATAGTATAACAATAAGGCTAAGTTTTGAGATTCAGATCAAATATAAGGCATTATGGGGGGACATAGATGACAATGGATTAAAACACAACTGATCTATAAGAAATAAAATTTGAATCCTACCCTGATATTTTGCAACTTCTTCTCCATCATAGAATAGCTTAAACGTAGGATATGAATGAATATCAACTTTTGAACATACTGGTTTACTTGTGCTGCAATCAACTTCCCCAATCTCTATTTCATCTTCGCCTTCAATTACCTTCCCAAGGTCCTCCCACAATGACCCTAAATTCTTACTGAAAACAAATGTTGTTATTACTAGTAAGAATATCAATCTTAAAAATCTCATAATCATAGACTTAGCACAGCTGGGAAAACTTACCAATGTTTACACCATGGTACACAAAATTTCACAAACCATGCAGTATCTTTCTCCTTCACCTAAGAAAACACATATGGACATAAACAATCAGCAAGGCCATAAATCATAATTAGCTAGCTTGAGATATCTTTCCAAATTACTTCCTACTAACTCAACCTTTTGTTCCCCCCCTTGGAATCCTACATTTCTTATAAAACCCAACTCATAACATTTTTCATTACCAGTTTGATTTCGGTGTACAAATTAAAACAAAATTCACTCAAAGAGCAAAATCAATGTAGGCATTAGGATTAATAAGACCACCAGGGATTGGTGAGCTGGGTTAGGGTTAGGAACCCCAGCTATATGTGTTTGTGTGTAGGAAATGAAAAATATGATCTGCATCAACTCCTACCCAATCTGCCAGAAATTGGGCACAGAACTGAAACACATCTGGAGCAATAAAAGCACAGCAATAACTCATAAGCTTATTTCATATATTGGATCTGGGATTTTGAATGTAAAAAAATGAAGAATTTGAAAAGGGTTTTGGAGTTGTTACCTTGTCGGAGAAGGTGTCAGCGGTTAGGGTTATAACCTCGGCTCTGGTATGAATTGTCAGACTTAGAAGAAGAAAGAGAAGAGCTGACATGAAAATTAGAGAAGCAGAGTGGGTTTTCATCGCTGCTGCGAAAATTACAAATTTCCGGGAAATTAGATTGAAGGGTAAGAACGAAGCCACTCAAATACCTAGAGACGGTTGCTAGTTCTCAAAGCGAGAAAAAACAAGGCAAAAAGGCCACTAAAAATAAAAACAAGCACATGCCACATTGACAATAACGATGAGGGAGGTGATGATAAAAAGTTAAGTGATTACCATATTAACCTTAATTTTTTAAAATATAATATATAGTCTAAATTAGACTAAATTAATCTTATTTAAAGGAGGGAGATTTGAATTTGGGAATAAAGGAACAAACTCATTGATTGGCAAACTAGGATAACCTATATGTGCACTGGGCAGTCGATTCTCGATGTGAGTCTTAATTTAACCAGACCGTTGCATGAATTGTGGGGCCGATTCATGTGACCGATGCTTGCATTTTTTCCTTTGTCGTGCACACACCAACTTCAGAGTTGTTCGTCGGGTAGGGGTGGGCATAAAATCAAACCAAGTCGAACCAAACCGAAGAAGGAGGAATTTTGATCAAAGAAAGGGTATCTAAATATACACTTATCTTTTTTTTTCTTTTTTTTTTGGTTGAAAAAAAGGTAGTAAGATCAATTTAAGATAAATAAATAAAAAATAGCATACTAACCAACGTCCTTTAAGCTGAATTTGCTTCCATCCCTTTTGAACATCCCATTCAAGTCTCTTTGTTAAGGCTTTCTCTACATTTGAGAAAGTAACGCACCATTGAAATTGCAAATACTAGACGCAGCAGAAGCTTACTTTTTTCCCTTTCAACAAAGCCATCAGTTAAGCCATCGAAGTGCCTCAACTCTGGCATTTTCTTGTTCTAAACAGATTCTATCCAAGAAACCAAATTTAATGGAGTATGTAAAGAGGATAAGTTATTATGCGGGATAGGCTTCAGATGTCTGCACCAATGGTTTGAAAGGTTCATATATCATTGCTTTTGATGTTAGTTTTTTTTAAATTGAAAGTGATTTGCTTACTTCTTGTTGGACTTCATCCTTGGTTAGGGGTTCAAAAGACTGCCATAGCTAAATATGTATGTCAATAGAAATGGAAATTCATAGATTCATCACAAAGCACTAAGTGGAAACATAAAGTCGTAGATTTCTTATTCACAAGCAACTCATTCGCAAACCCAGGAACAGATACAGAACCAGAAATTCAACTACAACAAAAAACAACAAAAAAACCTAAACACATAAACAAAAGCTCCTAAAATATCTCTGATAAAATAACAAAAAACCAACGCCACCAAACTCTTGTTCACCTCCACCAAGACTCTTAATCAAAACCCATAACCATGTCAGTTCCAAAACTCTTGATCACTTCTGGCACCCTCTCGAATGTTCCCCTGTCATCCCCCTTTGGTTGCTTCCTCTCATCTCCCTCCCTTGGCTGCTGCCTGTCCTCCTTGTATGGAGGTGCTGCTTGTGCTGAAGGCAAGATCACCGCCTCGCGCTGAGCAATGATAAACTTTCTCAACCGATCCTCACTCACACCGAAAGCAGCTGCAAGCTCAGGTCCTCTCATTGTCTGAAGAACAGAGCTAGCACCAGCCAAAAACTGAGGCCTGTTCTTCCTTGCCGAGGTTGTGAATCCAAAGAACTCAAGCGGCCCGGTTCTTGATGCAATTTGACAGAATGGGAAGTACCTCGGCACCCAAAACACATCACCGTCTTGTACATTGGTGTTCATTGCCGATGTCCCATTTGGGAACACAATCTGTATTGTCCCAGAGCCTCTCAACACAATGCCGTACTCTGTTGCTGTCGGGTTCACATGCGGCGCCATCATAGCCCCTGCGGTGAGGTTGACAAGGTAGACACCTACGCCGGAGTCTTTCAATGGCGCATAATCCGATTCGTCAAGCTCCATGCTCCATCCGTAGTTGTTTCGGAAGTCGGGTTTTCGATCGTAGAGGTTGTAAGAGTCTGGTGCTTTTCCTTTTCCCTTGTCGTAGTCCTCTGCCCTCTTCTTGTTGTCATCTGAACCGGCTCCAAACACCGAGTTCAAGAGCTTCCTCCATGACCATGTTTGTGTTTGGTCTTGATGATGATCAGGTTCTTGTTGGAAGTCAACCATTTTCTTCATTTCTTGGAGCCTGTCTTGCTCTTTCAGCTGGAGGAATTTTGACCAGAGGTTTGGTGAATGAGAATCACTCAAATACACAATTGGACCCTTCTGCTGACTTGTTAACACCTCCATTAGTTCTGATGATGAGACCTGCAAATATTGTGTCGTTAGTTTTTGTAGGGATTCTGATTCTAAGAGAACCATATGATGATGTTTAATTATAAATCACTTAATTAACACTTAATTAAGTACAATTAAGTTTGGATGCTTACATTGAAGGCATTTGTGAGTATGTCATGGTCAAACCCAGCAAGTACAGATTGTGGGTTGATTCCTCCACCAATGAAGAAAGACTGCATTATTTACCCCCCAAAAAAAAAAAAATTCAAAATCAAAATAGGGTTATAGAGATTGAGAATTTTAAGTGCTATAAACCTCATTAATTCAGAAAATTTTATGATGATTAAGAAATGAAATTTATTTTGCCTGCACAGAACCAAGCCCCAAGCTCTCAGATGTGTCAAGGCTGCAGATGATATGAAGCCTCTGTCCTTCCCCTGTATTCACCAAGTAAAATGGAGAACCAGCTGGAATTCTATAAACATCCCCAGACTTCAATCTCCTCTCCCCCAGTTCATCTCTGTAAATCAAACCCACCTTTGCTTCCCCTGCAACAAATTATAATTATTCAGCTCATAATCTCATGCAGAATCTGCCACTTTGCATACTTGCATGCATTGAATTCAATTCAGTTTAAATCCAAGAAGTAAAACCAAATTAAGAAGAAACCAACAGAGCAAAGCAAAATCAAGCAAATAAAATATTACCTGTGCGGACAAAGAGGAAGAGGTTTGAGTCAAGATACTGAGGGATGAAGAGGGACTTGGGCTCCATTGTAATAAACCCAATATGCATTGGCTTATCAACAACTCTCCCTCCCACCCTCATCACAACACTCATCTCCCCTGCTTCAGTTTTCACCACTTGCCTTGAGTGTGGCAGCAAATACCAATCTTCTTTTTCTGATTCTGGTTTCTCATTCTCTGGCCTCCTCGTGCCACCACTTTCTGGCCCTTCTGTCCAGTCTTTCTTCTCTTGCCTCCCTTCTCTCTCTTCCTTCTCTCTCCTCAAATCTTCATCTGGGTCTCCAGTGTACCCCACAGCCACTGAAACTCCATACCACATCACAAGCAGAAGAACCCCAAAGCCCAGAACTCTGTTTCCCATGTTTTCTTTTTCTTTGCTTTTGCTCTCTGATGATCTGATCAGTTGTTTTTGCTAGCTAGTTTCCACTGTATGAAGCTTCTGGGTGAAGTGGTGGGGGAGTTTATGAAGAGGAGAGGGAGAGAGTTGAGGGGGACACGTGTCCTCCATGCAGAGTTTGGGGGGGTTTGCTGGCGGGTTTTGGTTTAGACACAGTAGGGATTTGAAGAGAAATATTCGAACACTCTGTAAGACAGGGACAGAGTCATCGGCATGAATATCTCAAAACAAACCAAACCTGTCCTTCTACTCGTTGTCTTCAGAAATAATCAGATTTTTGTTTGTTTGTTTTCATTCTAGTTTTAAACTCGCAGTAAGTTTCTGGTGTTTACTGTGTCTAAAGACCACATGTCTGAACAGAGCTCTTTCCATTAGCCTTTGGTTTTTTTATTTTTATTTTTTATGTCACAAGCTGTTACATGAACAAATGTATATCATCAACAGATCATGCAGCCTTGAGCCTTATGTTATGTTTATTGATCTATCAATGTAATCAATGCTGAAGAAACTTCAAACCCTTGTTTTCTGATTTGTTGCTAGAAGCTAAATGATGATTTTTTAGGCATTAATGGTAAGGAACAAAGTTTCGTGAGCCTGGCATATCAGTATTTTTACTTCAATTTTACAGTTTTGGAGGGATGACCTCCACTTCTGTTTTCTTCCATTGTTTTTTCTTCTTTTAAAGAACAAGTACGAGTTCTATGAACTCTTAACATATCATCAGTCAAAGTAGCCCCTACCCAGCCAGAGATATCATCAAAGACAACAGCTTCAACACTAAAAAAAAGTCCCCATACTTCAGTTTCTAGGATTTGACATTTTCCAAGATTAGCCACAAAACCACTAGTCCAATCCGTTATGTCATCACGAATTACTCCTCTAGCTCCAATGGTATCAGAATCACGCTTACATGAATACATTGAGCTTGTAATAGCCCAAGGGGGGAGGCTCCCAAGCAAGACGGATTTGACTAAGTAGTCATATTTGAGTACTATACATTTATTAAAGATTGTATTAGAGCTTCTCCAAGGGAAGAGGTAAAAGAAGAAGAGGAAGAGGGTTTGAAGAAGGCACTGATCTTTGATTGCATTTCATGAATGTGTCGAATTTGATATGGGGTTCGATATATGATTGCATTACGCTTCAATCCCAAATGTCTCTATCTCTCTCCCCCCTTTTCTCTCTCTTTTCTTTCACTTCAATTTGGCGAGCCTCCATTTCTCTCTCCTCCTTGCTAGATGTATGGAGCCAAAGTTGGTTCTCCAAAATAGAGAGCCAAGTAGAGAGTCTGTTGAAAAGATGATTTTCCTTCTTTTTAGCCAAAATAGTTAGATATAAGAGAATAAAGAGTCTGTTAGAGATGCTCTTAAAGATGCTCTTGCATGACATTACGCCACACACATATTTATGTATCTCTCGTTGTCACGTGATGATTTCTCTCAACAAGTAACTTTGGGAAATATTACATACAGCGGTTAGCACGTGAATATGGTCTTAATATCTTGTCGCGTAGAGCATAGAGAACTCCATTCGGACAACTGAAAAAAAAATCAACCACGATAACTTGCCGTATAAGCGTGGCGCTCCTAACGGTCATTTTTCCAGAGACTCGCCCAAAATGACCGAGTCACCCTCCGAGTCACTCTCTGACTCGCCCTTCAACCGCAACATCGACGACAAGAAGAACGATATCGTGCCCGAAATCCCAATTGAGATTGTGAGCGAGGAAGAGATGGCTCTGCTCGAAGCTGCTTTGGTCTCCGCCCGCGCTTCCTTCTCTGCAATCCCTGCAATTCGCTGCTCAACATTTTCGTTCCGCAGCAACGTCAGGTCTATTAAGTCGATCACTGCTTTATCCAAGAGGAGGTTATCGGGTTGCTCCGAACCCGATATTGAGGATTCGGGTGGTTTGAAGAGTGCCCAGAAGAAGACTCGGATGGCTGACTCGTTTTTGCACCGGTTTAGGAAGAAGGGCTTGTCTGTAACTGATATTACTGCCACGGTATAGAATTTCTTGGCTTCTAGACTCTTTTTTCGAAGTCTTTGCAAAATGGGTTTGGATTTGTGTTTGTAAATTTTGAGGCTTTATTGCTGTCTGATTGTGGATCATATGGGATTTTAGGAAATGCGTTTGGATGGTTACGCTGAATGTTTGAGAAAATTGATTTTTGAATTATATATTGCAATGACAAAGATTTATGTGCAATAGAATGATTTAAATTTGTTAGTTTTCTTAGTGCCACATCAATGTGTATGTTGGAAATCTAATAGCAAAATTTGATCAGAAGGACATCTTATTATTCCCAATTTGAAATCTTGTATTGGTTGGGTAAATGTGTGAGCCGGACTCCCATTGAGCATCTGTATCTCCCTGGTGTGAGTGTGTGAATGCTTTCACTTTCCATGTATTGTGGTGTTTTCCATATATAGTATAGCCAATGCAGCATAATTTAGCAGTAACTGTGGATAAACAACCTCAATAATTTGTACACTGTTATTATTTTGCGAGAGGTTGTGACTACTTTTTTTTGTCATCCAACTTAAGGATTTCAAAAGATATTTGACTTAGATCTATTCTATTTCATGTTAACAACAGGAATGGTGTGAAAAACAAATGGAGTTTGTTTTACTTGTTGGCAAGCGAAAAGTCAGCAAGGCTATGAAAAAAGGCAGTGCTCGCCATGCAAAACTTGAGGAAGAGGTACTCATTAGAGACTGAATTTTCTACTTTTGTAGTATTTCTGGTTTTGTACTGCATGAATGGTACCTGTTTTAAATTTTTTGCTGAAGTACAAAGCACTCTTCCATACCTTTCTGTTGTTGTAGGGAAATTTATTTGGCTTTCGGAAGTTCTTATTCTTACCTCCATGTTTTCTATGCACTCTTACGATCTGATTATATTTTTGTACAGGTTGTAAAAAAAGTTAAAGTTCGTATCAAATCAATAGAAGATAGATGGGCTCTGAAGCTTCTGAATTTTATAACTGGAGTAAATCAATTATTATCTGAAGGATTGACGCGTGAGCTGCCACTGTAAGTTAAACCATCTCTTGTCTCTGGTTCCATCTTTGATTCCTGATACACTATTTAGGTGGCTTTTAACGTCCAGATTGACAATGGGTTATTATAAAAGTTTTACCCATGTGAGGTCAGAGGTTTATCTTTCTAATTATAAATTTATCTTTGTTGTGAACTTGTGAAACTTAATTAGATAAATGTGGTTTCTTTAGCATGTGTGTTAATTTGATATTATTGGGTCATCATATCAGGATGACCCATTCTTGTGGTAGGGGATATAGTAGTTCTCTCATATATAAGGAAGGACACGGATCAAGCTTGCAGCTCTGATCCTTGCTTAGCAGTTTTCTTATGGGTTAAAGGTTAATATGAGCCCTGGATTGTAAAGATTGTAGTGCTTTTAAGTTAGTGTACATCTTGTCATGTAGCATGATGGAAATGATCCATAATATACACGTGATAGATAGAGAAAAGATTTAGAAAAATTGTATCGTCTTACCTATAGTAAGTTGAGACTTACTCCTTTGAAATATGCTTCATGCTACTCTCAAATTGATAAAATTTATATATTGGTATGTCGGAGTGGCAGGTATGTTCTTGTACTTTAGACTTTCAGTTAAATCTCTCTCTCTCTCTCTCTCTCTAAGAAATTGGAGAGTTGATCTTTCTAACCTCCTTTCTGTCAGTGATTCGCTATACTTTCTTATCATATCAGAATAGGTTTTGCAGAAGGGGTATGGATGGTGGGAGTGATTGATGAGATTCAAATGCCTGTAACAGAAACCATCAGAAACCCATTATTAGTTGACACAAAGACTCGTGTGAAAGATACACTTCCTGCTGAACCACAACGAAGAAATGGAAGGTATGCTCTTTTGTTGGTTTATGTTTCATTGCCATTGATGAGAAATGCTCCAAAAATGAAGTCACTCTGAACATTTGTTTTGGCAGGCTTCAATTAATGTGCTACAAGTATATGTGGGACGATTTAGTTGCTGATAAATTCCCATCCAAAAAGTTTTTTGATTTCTTTTCCTTAAATCCTCATCATATCTTATCTGATGAAATCAGAGAGATGACTGCTAACTCAGGGTTCTCTGCAGAGGTGAAGATTCTCTCCACTTGAATTATTAGATACATACTTCTTAAACCGATCACTTAATAGAAAGATGCTTCTTCGGCAAAGAGCAGCATCTTTTTAGTAAGGGTCTTCACTTGTTATTGATGGTTTGTCCAGTAACCAAATGACATGGATCAGTTCATAAAAATAAAATGGTATCTAACATAAGGTTTTCAGATAATTACCACTTCAAACGCATGTTTCTATAGCTTTTGTAAAAATTTCTCTTGGTTGTGCAGACCCTTGATGATGTACTGAGATACTATAGAAACACGTGTAGCATGCTCCCCCCTGCTCATGACCAGCTGTTATTGAGGTGAGAAACTAAAATTTATGCCAGGGGTTTCCATGTTTGTTTTCATGTTTAGTTTCTTATAAATATTATTATTGAAGTCCCAATGCCTGTGGATGAATATGTTTACCACAAAAGTTTCATGCGGTGCATACTAGTTGAGCACACATTAGAAATGAAAGGTAGCCAGTCCATTTTGATTATCCTAATAATCTGGTCTCTAGCTTTGTCCATCTTAAGTTGTTGTAATCCAGTGGACACCGGTTTTTATTTAATTTTAATTTTAAATAATGGTTTGTAAGAGGTTACATCCAAATCTTATCTCACACCCCTGTTATGTACTTCATGTTTAACTTAGCATCAATGTTTCAAAAAGTAAGGAACAAGCTGAACTTGAATGATAGACATTAGTTGTGATGCATAAGTTTACCGATTGTTTGTTCATGTGGACATACTTGGTGACAATATCTTTTGGAAAGACACTGATACGACTGTTTTTGAGTCAGATATGAGTTACAGAAAGATCATTCATTACTTGGTGAAGATGAGTTTGCATATGACTCTGATTGGGTCAAGAATCAAATTCAGGGTTGTCTTGAGTTCTGGCTAGGAGAGCGAGAAGCCAGTTACACTCCTGAGGAAGAGCAATGGAAATGCGGGTTCTGTCAATATTCTTCTGTCTGCCCTGCTAAAAATGGTAACCATAATGATCCACCAAGTTAGAGAAAAACACTGGCATTGGCGGTGTTTCAATCAGCATCCGCAATAAGGGTACAAAGAAGCACAAGTTTTTAGAGTTGCTTCTTTTGTAATTGCTGTGTTGTATTTGTCCTTAGGATGTGCCATGAATGTATCGTTCAAGTTGTATTGTGACCGTTATTTGATTCAATTGTTGTAAATTATTTTTTGGACGGAGTTGTCAAATTCAATTGTTTGATTAGTAAAGTTTATGAATAGATGTCTCTGTCAAAATTATGTGCAATACATTTTAGAGTTTCTGCAAAGACGTGCATATAATTACTTAAAACTAGTAGAGAGAGCTCCAAGTCAACACATCTTCATACATGATTCATGAACCCTTCAAGTGAAAACTCTAATTTGTCAGCAGTTCTTTGAATTATCATCAACAGCCAGAATATGTAGAAATGATTTAAAGGTTAAACAAAACTTTCTTTTTTCCTTTTTCTCTTGGTATATGAAGTTTGGTGCTAATAATGAAAAGGCAAAGAAAAAGAAAAATAGAGCAGAGTCATGAGACTCTGAAGTCCTAACTCATAAACTAGAGTAATTTTTTTTAGCGTGATACTCACAGCGCCACATTGTATTATCAATCTATTCATGTGGTAACACATAAATTTATTTATTAATACTATACCTTAGATTCATCCATGTTTTAACACATCAATTAGTAACGCCAATGGGGTCATATCATAGTGAAAAAATATGTTTGACCTAAAACTAGTGGTATCAGATTCAAAACCTCAAGACATCAGTGTGAGTAAATCCCGGTCCCCTTCCTACTTTTGATCCAAAAAAAATAACACATCAATTATTAACACCACGTAATTGTATGTATGAGTAATGGACTTTAAAACTGGTGGAGATAAGTCAAAGTAGCAAATAGCCCGCCGAAACTACAAAACCATTTGCTTGTTTGCGCGCTCTCTCCCTCTCTCCCTCGTTGTGCTCCAAAAAACCAAGACCCAAGCTAAGAGATGCCAAGTACTAGTATGCTGAACAAGATCAGGTAAGCTTCAGCGATGAATGTGTGACTTTTGATATCCATGCATTTGTGTGCTTGTGTTTGAAATTCTAGCTTGTCCCATTTAATACTTTGGTTTGGCTTTATCAATATAGCAAATCATTATCTGCCATGAACCTTCTGTGCTATGTTTTACACCTTCATGTGAATCATATCTGTATCTATTTGGGTTCTGGCTGGTGGGTCCTTGCAAACATTTGGATCACTGCTCTGCTCACTACACTAGGCTTATCTATGTTTTGTCCTAAATTGGATGCCTATTGGATGCTCGCCAACTGTTTGCAATAATTCTCTGACGTGACAAGTGAATAATAATGCTAACCCAACCCAAAAAAAAAAAAAAAAAAAAAAAAAAAAAAAAAATGATGTTTCCACTTCACCAAGCAGTTTATGTGAAAACAAAATTTTGTCACAGCAATTGTTGGTATAGTGTAATTTGATAGTCATATATGATTTATCTTAAGTCACAGGTGTAAGTAGATATGTCAAAACTTGGATTTTTTATGGAGAGGAAAACAACATTGTGGTAAAAGAAATCAACAGAATTTGTTTGGCTGGTAATCTGAGGGACAACGTTAGAGGACCCTTTACAACTATGCTCACCCGGAATTTACTCTCAGTCAATGTACCTTGTTTGAGAGGTTTTTCATCAGCGGCGGCTAGTTTTCTTAGAACTGGTGATACATTGAAGCTATCTAGAATATTCACAAGTGAAGATGTTTTAGAGTACTCCAAAGTGAGTCATGACTCTAATCCTCTGCATTTTGATTCTGAGTCCGCTCGAAATGCCGGATTTGAAGATCGACTGGTTCATGGGATGCTTGTTGCTGCCCTGTTTCCCAAGATCATATCTTCTCACTTTGTAAGTCTGATGCTTTATGTTTTTACTTTTGGCTTGTTTTTTGGTTATTCAGAATGTTACAGTACTTTTTATTATCTCATTAATGGGAGAAGGGAAAGAAAACAAATTAATTAAATCAAGCTTACTTTTCATAATCACAAATAAAGAAACAAAAAATTTGATGAAGCCTTATAATAAGAACCAAATTGGGTGAGTATGAATTTCTGTTGTAGAAGTATGTAAGGTTGGAATTGAGTCAGAAATATATATGATCCGAGAGCCACATACAGTTACTTGATAATGAAAAAAATTTAGCTATCACATTGTTGAAAAACATCCTATCCTGGACTCATTAGTGCGAAACCTTTCCGACATTTATGTTCAGATTTCTTTTTTTTGGTCCAACCGTTGAGATCCGAATGTCTAATTTATTGACATTGTTATGGTATTTTCAGCCTGGGGCTATATATGTTTCCCAAAGCTTGCATTTCAGGTTGCCTGTCTATATTGGCGAAGAGATTGTTGGCGAGGTAGAAGCAACTAATATAAGAGAACAGAAGAACAGATACCTGTAAGCTAGATTATTATTTGACAAAGCAATTGTTATGCAGTGCATGACTCAAATTATAGAGACTAACTCATCTGGGTGTTTGCTTGCATGTGTGGTTCAGAGTGAAATTCAAGACAGCATGCTTCAAGAATGGTGCTATCGTCATTGACGGTGAGGCAATGGCCATCTTACCTGCACCAGCCGTGGAACAAGCGAATACTTCGGCATGACAGACAGCCGGTTCGGGTTGAGCTACTGCCGCATTGATTGAAAGTTCAAAAGCAATTCAGTGTGGCTGAAATTCTACGTATGGTTTAGTCGAACTGCTCCATCCCTTTATTTAATAAAAATTTATCTCAAGGAAATTGCATTGTAAACTCTAGATGGATAACATCTACTTTTTTTCTCTTCTTTTTTTGGGCGGATGATTTCAAGATTTCTTCAATCAGCTCCGTTCAGATTATGGATTCCCAACATTACATCCATGGAATTCGCTTGTAAAAGCTGAATTAATGTACAATTACATGTAAATATGTCTGAGGAAATACTAGCATCACTCGTGTGTCACTAATTTCTGGCCCTTGATGTATCAATGGCCAAAAATTAGAATCCCATTATGCATGGATGGATGGATGGCAAAAAAATCACCCGTGTCCGAGCAACTGAATATAGAGATGTTCCTCATATCTCCAATCTACACGAACCCACTGCTGAGGGGGCTTCCCTGCCAGTCTTGCCGTTACTGAGAACCCATAAAACTTTCACAAATTCTTGATTCAATCACCAATTAGCAGTCCATACTTTCCCCAACTTCGAAGTGTTTATTCTAAATCATTCAGTTTGAACTTAAATTTTGCTAAGACTAGAATATACTTATTTTGGTTAACGAAACAGAAATAAACTTGTTTTGCACGAATAAGGAATAATGGCTAGTGTGTAGGAGTGAACATTGGGTACCACCCGCGATCACCATCACCATCACCGCCACTATCATGGGTACAGAATTCCCATCCTGAGAGAGAGAGAGAGAGAGAGAGAGAGAGAGGAGAGAGAGAGAGAGAGAGAGCTTTATTCTATTTCTTTTTATTTTTTTAATTTCAAAACTTCAATTGCCTATATACACAAAACTTCTCAATAGAATCAACTCGTCAAAATTTCCTTCTCCTCCTGACATACAAAATTTTCTCCTTCATTTGAGCAGTGAAGCTATCTCTTCATAGAACACTGGCATCATCAAAGGAAATTGTACGAGGTCAATCTGGCGTGGCCTCGTCTGGTCCATCACGCGTCTAAAATGAATACAAACCTCAGAAAAATTCCAGCGTGCCATCAATGGTGGCAGGTGGGTCAATTGCAATACAGGTAGCCTTTCCCTCTGAATGCAACTCGGGTAACTTGTTGGCCTCCTTTGCTGCAACCCCTTCTGCAGTCCATAAGGTAACATGTGGCCACTCATTTTTCGATACTACTCTTTCTCCTTCAACAGAGCCAAGGCTGGCTTCAAGTGCAGCCATTTTATCCGAGAAGAACAGCTTAGTTAGATCCACAGGGACCGTTTTGTGGAGGAAGGTGCCATAACTAGCCACGGCAGTAACACCGTGACTTCTCTTATGTGCAAGAGTAACATGAGCCTTGTTAAGATTCTCCAAATGCTTTTCTTTAAGGAAAGCTCCAGCTTCACCATTTTTCGCAGCCAACTGCATGAACAGAATACATGCATGAAGAAAAAAATTCAAGTAGTATACAATGCTCTTCTGGAGTGAGAAGGATTTGAGCTCCAAATCCGACTTGATCAGAAATAAGCAATGCATATAATCTGATGTTACCCTTCATTTTAATTAACCAGAAGTATAGTGCAGATGCAGATGAATATTTGTCTATCATTTCATTCTTGGCCAAAATTAAGGCACCGCCAATTCTTTGTATACAAGCAGCAGGAAATCAGGCATACATGGCACTCGAGTGAAAAGAACCAGCCCACAAACACGAGGCTGCACCAGCCTCAGTGGCAGACTAAAACCAGACTATGATAGCCATCCATTATAAATCTTAATAAGCACTGTATTCACTAGATATTAGAAAATCGATATTCTCTCAGGGCTAAAGCAGAGCTGCAGAATCAAAGGTTCCTCTTGGCCTGGGCGAGTACAAAAAATTTCCACAATGTCACCCAAGCCCAAATTGCAATAAACACAGCAAAACATGCCTAGCCCAGAAATCTGTTAGCCGCAGAATCAAAGATATGCTTCTCAAGGACTTTTAACAGTGACTAGGAACAAAACTTCGTAGTTAATTGGCTAATTTAAAAATCATACAGGTTGAAATTAGTAGTTGTTTGTCCAAAAAAGGATTTTATTTCATCAGAAGTCAGATGAAACAAAATAAGCAACTTAGATTCTAGTACATATTATAAAGAAGAGATGAGAAGGCAAATATTCACTTATATTATCTGGTGGATTTTAGTTAAGTTCTACATGATATTGCCAGTAAAGGGACTTGTAAGAATAGATGAGAAAGCAAACATTGACTTACATTATCAAGCAGATCACTGATTTCCGTAACAGGCAAGCTAACAGCAGCAAAAACAATGGCCCCAAACTTCTTCTTCCCAGTATCTGGAGTTTTGTACTCACCTTGTGCAATTTTTCTCAGCTGTTCTGATACGTCCTTAACAGCAGACTCAAAGGGAACCTGAGGACATTAAGATTGTACAGAGAGTTCATTTAATTATCTGAAAAATTTATGGTTCACCAAGCAAATTCCAGTGACTGTCACTGTAATAGAACAGGACAATGCAGAATCAATAGGTCAGAAGGTAAAAAGAAATAAATAAATAAATAAATGATGCCGACCTGAACAGAATTAAGATACTCTGCATTGCCAAATAAAATATCCCGCAACTGTTTCTCCCATTGAGCCCACTCCTTTGCATAGGTTCCCTTTGTCGACTCCAATCTGAGTACAGGTTTACAAGCAAGCAGGTAAGGTAACCACACGAAAGCAGCAGCAACAGTGGTTAATCAATGACTAGCCAAATTATAAGAGCTATGCTATTGTTGAAAAGGGTTTAAAATGGTACTGTTTAAGAAGACAGCCAAAAGCTCTGTTTTTTTGAAATGTCAATTAAGTGGGAAAGTAAGATGAAAACAAAAGAGAATCTCCGTTGTGCTAAAATCTAATTTCATTGGTAAGTCTCAACAAAAAGATTAACATTCTATTCTTTACAATTAAAAGGGGAAAGAGGAGTTTCATTATAGAGGATCTATTACAATCATGAAATTTCAAAGCCAACAAGGAATTGAAAGAACAAGCCTTGGTTCACACCAACATGATCTAAAGCATGCATACAGTTGCATTACCTTCCATGTTTGGCAGTGTGAAGCTTGTATAGATTTATTCCCTCCTCCAGAATAGACTTCACAGGATCGGGCAATGGATTCCTGGGTACGCAAAATAAAACCTCCATAACATCAGCGTAATTGCATTGCAAGAGGACACATATAAGATTTATATTTTACACAAACAAACCCCATAACAATAGTGTAACTGCATGGCAAGTGAGGACAGATATAAGCCTTAAATACAAACGAAAATATACCTCATCGTATGCTTTGTGGAATCAATCCTACAAACCAATTGCATTATCTTTTCTTTTATCCATAACAGTTTTGAAACAGTCGCATTAAGCAGTGAGAGCACAATCTTTTAATTCAAAATTTTAGTAAATAAAAGTTAAAGTGATATATATATATATATATTAAAGATTTTTCATTATTAATTACTCAACCGAACTGAGAATTTCCCTTAATTTTTAACACGACCACTATCCACCCACCCATGAATTAAGGAACGAAAAGAGTGCTCCTAGCAAACACCCCACCTTAACTGGAGAATGATTTGATGAATCATGAACAGTTTTCCCCTGATATTTATCATTACGAAATAATACGAGGTGCATTTTCAAAATAGAAATGAACCAACATGAGAGGTACCAAGCCTTTTGTTTTTCTTTGAAAAAGAAAAAGAAAAACTACCTATCAGATTTCAGCAATGGCATCTTGACAAGTGAGCCAAAACGCTCTACTAATTCGCCGTCAAACTCCCGGCGACTCTGAAAATTTAGACAATAAAAATTCATAAAAACGAAACAAATTTAGGTGCATCAATATAGCATGATATAGAAAATTTAAATACACAAATCATGTCATGCCTTGCCCTCATAAAGGTGATAGAACATTAGCAGCACATAGCCAGCATTTGGAGATTCCTTGTCAAGGTTTCCCTTCAGAAATAACAAGTATTAGGAACATGGTAATAAGTGGAGGTGTCTGATGATATTTTTGAACAAAAGGAAAATGTACAAATAAAATACATACCGGATGATTAGCACGTTGAAGCACCCGAAACATGAAAACCGCTAATGCATCAAGCGAAAACGGATTTGAATCAGTTCCTGCACATTTAAAGACCACAATGTAAAAGCATACAATGCCCTGAACATCATTTCCTACACAAATCAAGGAACATTCTATTCATTATTTGACGACAGTAGTGATCCTAAAGTGAACTGGAACCCAACAAATAACAGCCTCAGGAGCAACAGAACCTTCAGAATCAGGAACAACTGGAACTGCAGAGGCCCTAGTACTGTGGCACATGTCTTCTATCTGGAAAAGAAAAAATAACAGACAAGGAAAATAATGGTGTAAATCTGACATGTACAAAACAGTAAAGTTTGGTTTGAGAAACTTATAAATAGAAAACATAAAAATTCCCGACATTTTGTTTTAATTTACCCCAAAAAAATTGTTCATATGTGGAGCATTTTCCTAATGCGTCCTCTCAATTGAGTTATTGGCCTTAAATTCACAAGGACACTTTGCCACGAAACTGTAGCCATCAATCTTGTTGGTCAAGATGTTCTTTCAGTTCCTTTAGGGTACCATTTTATTTTCCGGATCACTGAACCATTTAAGGTTTTAAAAGCAATCCCCTTTTACCAATTAGTCCTTTAGAAAGTAACTAGCATTGGGAAATAAAGTCTTTGGTTAGGACCTTTAGCAACAAAGCAGCCTCCACATGGGCTAGATGGAACACAATTTCTGGATACTCACGAATGGATTGTAGAACAATCCTTGAAGTGAATCATGGCAAAGTGACTGCCAATAGAAGATTACCTGTCTCCATACTTCTTCATTTGGTGCATTCTTGTCTGCAAGCATTATTGAAT